CACCATCGCCTCTGTCCATCCAGCAGTGCGAATGGCTTCACCACAGTCAGTCGGATCGGCCTTCCGCTGTGTCCACGCATAGCCAGTCGGTACAAAAGTATCCATATAAACATTCCTGCGGAGGGAGCTGGTAGGAACGTTGGGCTTGCTCGGTCAATGGGCAGGGTCAACGGCGGCGTGGTGTATTCCGCAAATATGGCCGACTGTGAGGGCGGGCACAAGCCGGCGTGAGTAGGTTAAACGTTGAGTTTTATAAGGGCACCACGGAGTGACCAGCCCCTCCCCACTCCAGCCCCACCCCTCCCATCCCCCACCCAGCCCCACCCTCCCCACCCAGCCCTTCCCCACCCTCCCCTCCCCACCCTCTCCCTCTCCACCCAGCCCCACCCCTCCCATTTTTGGAATCACGCCGGACGGACGGACACAATAATCCCCTGTGGGCTGGTGGAACCAGGTGGTTCCTACCAGCATAAAGGTTGTTTTGGGTTAGATCGCGTGAATATGAATGCGCCGTTAAACCTCGCTACCACCTGACGCAGCCAATTTGTAGGGTTTGTTGCGTAAACAAAGGGTGCACCAACGAGTTACTGCTTCAGCACCACCGGTGTGTTGGAGAGTAAATCCTGCAAAATTTACAATTCGAGGACGACGTTTCGCTGGTGATTGCAACCAGCCTCATCGGGCGATTAGCCAGAATTGTGAAGAAGCCGGTCTTAAATGGAGTAAAGGTGATTGATGTCAACCCCAAAAAAATTATATTAATAATATTATTGGTCACGAAAGTCTACGTGTTAAACTGCTACAGAGGTAGCTAGATTTCAAGAGCAGTGAGTTGATGATCTCAACTCGATGAAACTAAAAACTAAAGTATATTATTTTTCTTTACCAGGTGAGGCCTACTGAGCCATACAGCTCTTTTTCAGAACCGATTTGCCACAAATGATAGCTCAACGAAGTGGCTAATCACGTGGGCATTAATAGCAGCCAAATACTCTAAATGCACGTTGACTCGAAATGTGTATGGAAAACCGTAGGACCCAGCGAAGAATCCACACAACCACGGGGAGCACATGCACACTCCAAATATACAGGCATCACGGTCGGAATCGAACCCACGACCTCTTGTATACCAAGCGAGGTAGTTAACAACTCATAGTCAAATTTCGATTTAAAGCTTTCGTGACTGCGGTGAAAGACAGTGTCATTCAGACACTGTTTTTCCGACAGACCTGTTCTTCACCTGAGGATGGCTGCTTGCGTTGTGGCCGAAACGTCGTGAGAATTGTATTTTATTATGTTTTTATTATTTTATTATTTCCCTTCTACGTGACTTTACCGAAAGAACCAACAAGATGAACCCACCCCCTATCAGCCTGAGAGCTCGTGGTCGAGGGGGGTGCCCGGTAGTGTGTGGGCATTCAGCATTTAACTGTGGGCGTCTGTCAGTGAGTGGAAGGACGGGGGACATCGGGTTACCTGAGCGAGTGATGGGGTCCTACCGCTCACACCAGCTGTTGTTGCTAAATCGAGGCCTGGCTGTAAGGAGAGCCACATGGCAGGGTGACAAGAGAGGCTACGAAGAGCCTCGGGCTTCTCCACTCAAACGAGCTTTACATGAGTTAATACTCACTTTGCTTATAATTATCATTATCATCATCATGAGCCATAGTCATTTCACTGCTGGATGAAGGCTTGCCCAAGCCACTAACTTTCAACTCACCTAGCTCCTGCACACGAGCTGATTTCTTAACGCCAAATCAACAGTGGATGTGCTCTCGGATGCTTGACGTTCCTTGGCTGCCATTCCTCATTATTCTTCACCCATCGGCCGTCACCACGTGGAGTTGCGTGTCCTGCCCAAGCCCACTTACTTTTCTTAGCAGTTTGAATGGCGTCCTTAACCTGTCTATGTATGCTGAACTTCTTTCGCGCAGTACATATTACCATATTCTTAGGTTTTTTCGGTAAAGTCACGTAGTAAAAAAAATAAAATTAATAAAAATAAAATAAAAATAAAATAAAAAAATATAAATCACGACGTTTCGGAGGCAACATCAGCTTCCGTCTTCAGGTGGAACCGTCACAGCACGATAGCTGTAATCAAATAATTACGGACGGAATCGAACAGCAAGCGTGCTGTGACGGTTCCACCTGAAGACGGAAGCTTGTGTTGCCTCCGAAACGTCGTGATTTTTTTATTTTAATGTTTTACCTACGTGACTTTACCGAAAAAAACCTAAGAATAGCAATCCTTGCAGTCACGAAAGCTTCAAATCTAGAATGAAGTACGTATAACCGACCGTGCTAATCGGAGGTGCGGGGAAGGACAACAAACTGAACACAAACAGCAGTTCTAAGGAAATTAGTTTTCACATCTGGATTTAAAAGTGCATAGCTCCCAGTGGCTTACGAATATCGGAAGGAAGAGCGTTCCAGATGGCCGCAGAAGCGCATCTGAGAGCGTGCGTTGCGGTGGCCACCTTTGTTGGATGGCAGTGGCGGCTCCTGCAAAATCTCTCAGGGGGGGCAAATGTCTGGATGATTGATAAGGATAAGGTCCACCCTATGCAATGGATAAATTAACAGCTTAAGCATGTAAAGGCAACTTCACTTCTTTAATATTAATGAAAAATAAAGTGACTCTTACAATACATCTTGTTTGTTTCTATACTCACTATTAAAACAAACCACTCAAGTTTATTTTATTAAAGATTCCACTAGGTGGCGATAAATTATATTGTTGGATGAAACGTGCTTACGTATGATGACGTTAGCACGTATGATGACGTAAGCACGTTAGTGCATGCCCTCCCGGAAGCCATAGAGAATGCATTGCAGCGCCCCTGTTCGAAAAAAAACATCTTTGAATGTAAGTCTATGGGGCCACTCGGGGCGATTCTCAGCCGGAGTGAAATCGCCCAAAAAGAGGCGGTACTCCACAGAACGTGACATGACGCTGATTGGACTATATCCAGAGGCACAGTGACGGCTAGCGTGACTCTGTGGTTCAATGACATTGGTGGTGCGTCGCCCAATCGCCCTAATGAAGAAACCGCCCCTGGTGGATGGCCAGCCAAAAGCTGATTGACGAGATCAGCGAGGTATTGTGATTAATTTGTGGCAAGCAGTGTGTGTATAGTAGTAGGTTTTTACCCTTTTAAACTGGTACAAAACTGAGACCTTTATTCAAGGCATCATGTTTGCAATAACCACAACACAAGTAGTCAAAAAGGCAAACAAAAAGAAGCAACTCTGATAATGATAATAATATGCACTGTCCTTGAAGTTGATTGGTCCACACCCGAGACGGCTTTCTTTAGAGCCTAGTCCCCATTGGTGTTGGACCAGATGACACCAGAAGGCGTACAACTCAAACACAGTGCAATATCAGAGTATTGAGAGCTCGGGGTAAGCATTTACACTATGATATCTCTTTTACCAGTGGCAAAATATAGGAGTAGGTTTTTACCCTTTTAAACTGGTAGAAAACTGACACCTTTATTCAAGGCATCATGTTTGCAGTAACCACAACACAAGTAGTCAAAAAAGCAAACAAAAAGAAGCAACTCTGATAATGATAATGATATGCACTGTCCTTGAAGTTGATTGGTCCACACCCGAGACGGCTCTCTTTAGAGCCTAGTCTCCATTGGTGTTGGACCAGATGACACCAGAAGGCGTACAACTTCTCTATTCCACGTGTTCCTCTTTTTGTCACTCAGAGAAATTGCATGCAAGCAGCTTTGTACGCTTCTTGACACACTTTTCAACTTTTGCCCTGTTTCTGAACCATATGTCATAGCAGGTGGCACTACCCGAACTTCCTGTACACATACAGTCTACTGAAAGGGAAGTGCTGGTCTCCATTGACACAACTGAGCCAGTGGTGGAAATTCCTCATTCCTATGTCGGGAGCAAGTCTGCATAGCAAGGGGTTGGATTACTGATTAACCTTGTTGACGGATGGGATTTGAACTCGCCAATTCTGAGTGGAACGTTCTGACCACAGACATGGCACGATTTAATTATGCGTGCGTATCTAAGAGTTAAATCTAGCCAGGTGGCACTGCTGATGGAGACATAGGACCCACAATCCTCTAAGGATCTAAGTTCCCAATCCAGTCAAAAGATCCACTCTTGCGACCAGCTCGGTTAATTTTGTTCAACAAAGTTTTGTTCAACAAAATAAGCGATGGAAAAATACTCGCTGACGAAATGTTTTTAATTTTGTCAACAACGACTAAGAGTGGATTGTATTTAAGTGTATTAAGTGTGATTAAATTTTAACGTGAGCCTCTATCTGTGCGGCAGCATCTGTGGGTGCCGCGTTGGTGAGACAATAAACTTTCTCGCCTGGTATGCAGGAGGTCGTGGCTTCCATCCCGACCCTGACACCTCTTGTATATTTGGAGTTCGCATGTTCTCTCCATGGTCGCGTGGATGTTTCTCTGGGCCCTTCGGTTTTTCCCTCCACGTGTGAAATAAACGTGCCTTTAATGTATTTGGCTGCTATAAATGTCCACGTGATAATCCACTTCTTTGAACTAACATTTGTGATGGCCAGATTGCTTCTGAGAAAGAGCGATAGGGCTATGTATATCGTGTATTGTTACATTTGAATCACAGTTCCTATGATTACTGTTGTTACATTGTTTTATAGCTTTATTTTGGTGATTTGAAAACATATGGTGAATCTAAATCGTCTTATGGTTGTTATTGTTGACTTGCACCACATTGGGATTTTGCACACAGCGTTTTAATCCTTTTTTTATATTTGCTGGTTTATTCCAGGATGTTTCTGTTACGCGTCGTCGCTTTAAGATGTTTCTGTGTTCATATTTTGTTTGTTGCGTTTGCACCCGACTTAAGAGCCGCATGTCTCACAGGGCTATACCTAATAAATGAAACGTGAAAACTTAGTGGGCCTTACCTGGTCATTTTTCTTCGCTAGTTTTAATAGTGTGTCTAATGCACTGCCTCTCTGCCCGTTTCTTCCGCAGGCACATCATGAACGAGCTCATGGAAACCGAGAGAGCGTATGTGGAAGAGCTTCTCTGCATAATTGAGGTGAAAAATCCCCCTCGCTTTATAAAACGCAGAGATACAAAGCGAAACGTTGCACGACAATGATCACCGGGGTTGCGTGGGTCTCCCTGGAGACATTGAACGTCTGCTGGTTGCTGTCGTTTGCACGGTAATCATACAGATACTACTACACCACTGAGGTGAAAGTTCATTTGGTCAACCAGGTAAGAATACTCAGGAGACCAGGATAAGTCAAGTTTGCTTCCGGGACCGAGATAATCTGTAAACATTTTATTCTCCCCTCTTCCTGGTATTTGTGAGATATTCTTCTTTAGATTTTTCGGTCAGAATTCCGAAGTAAAATACGTGTCCTACACCCTCTACCACCCGACGCAGCCAGTGAATAAAGTTGTCATGTCGATGCACGTGCCAATTTATTACCATTTGAGCAGCACACTCACCATTTCTTTGGCTGGCCATCGAACAAAGACGGTCACAGCATCGCACGCGTTCAGATGCCCTTCTGCGGCCATCTGGAACGCTCTTCCTTCCGATATTAGGAAACCACTGGAGCTATGCACTTTTCAATCTAGATCAAAAACTTAATTTCTTCAGAACTTATTTTTGTGTTTAGTTTGTTGTCCTTCCCCCGCACCTGCGATTAGCACGGTTGGCTACGTACGGTGCCAAAGAAGTTCAACGTACACACGCACACTGGTGGTGTGTCTGAGAGCAGTCCACAACATGTAAACAACTGGGTCGTACTCAAATTGTAAATGTTGTGGGTTTACTCTCCAACACACCGGTGTGCTGTAGCAGTAACGAATTGGCACGTTCTGTTTACGTGACAAACCCTTTACTGATTGTCTGTGTCGGGTGGTGGCGGGTTTAACAACACATTTATTTGTACGCAATCTCACCCCAAAAAAGAAACCTCTATTATAAACGCGTTCTATGTTGTCTCTCACTCATAAGAGAATCGCTCGTGCGTTGGATTACACCTGGGCCTCGATTGACCCGCTGTCGCCGTTCACACGGACAGTTCAAGCTTCTGTGTAGATTTGCGTTCATTAGCAACGCTGGGAAATGGCCAGTGGCATTTAGTGATTCTTTACTAGCAATTGCCCAAAATAACTGATGGTCAAAGTGGGTGTGTTTGGCTAGGCATTAGCAAGGCAACCATTAGAGTTTATAAGAATTTAAATGTATTTTTAGCAAGCTTTACTAATCATCGCAACGGCTTATGACGGCGCATGCTGTCAGTTGCACAGGACGGGATTTCAATGAACTGCGCAAATGTCGTGCACGTGGCGATCCGACACTTTCAGTTGCTCGCAGCAACAGCGTTCACCCATTGAATGGATGATAGCAGAGATCTTTATCCTCTGCAAATGCAGAAAAGTACAAAGACGCAACAGCAATAACGCAGACTTTGGTCACAAAGGTAACTGCTCTCGTGATAATCTTCGAAAATCACTCGCTTATTGTGTGTCGTGAAATATGATCACGCGGGAGACCGTACTAATTACACAGCTTCTGACTAATACACAGTCACTCGAGCTGCATGCATCTTGTTCATAATAAATCTGAAAATATATTTAAGACCGGGAGCCAGAGCAGAGCCTCACCATTCTGGCGAATTGCCCGATGATGCTGGATGCAATTACCAGCAAAACGTCGTACTCAAAAAAAATTGTAAATGTTGTGGTTTCACGCTTCAACACACCGGTGGGCTAAAGCAGTGAACTATTTGTCTTTTGTCAACGTGACACTTTTTTTGCTGATTGGCCATGTCGGGTGGTGGAGGGTTATGACACATTTATAAATAACGCGATCTAAACCCAAAAACGTTGATTATGAATATATCAAGGATACAGACATTTTTGATCTTGCTTACGTTATGACGCTAAGAGGATGCACATTTTCTTGGTTCTTTCGGTAAAGTCACGTGACTTTACCGAAAGACCCAAGAAGATGAATCTCTGCAGTCATGAAAGCTTTAAATCGAAAAAGATGCACATTCTTCCACGCAGTAAATGTTTTTTTGGGCAATTAATAGCGCCGATTGGAATAAAAACAATTGTTAGCCCACTGACAACTCAGCTTGCGGATGATAAAAAGGAAACTTGCCGATGCTGAGCCTGCAGCATTTCACCACAAAGTTGATTTTCCAAGTGACGGCTCCACTTAGCTCCTTGGACAAAACTGTTCCTATGGGGACACTTTGCCGACACCCCTTCCCCGCTTTGTTACCACATTACACCCTCACAAACCGACACGATGTGTGCTTCATAATCAACGTATTTGGGTTTAGATCGCGTTATTTATAAATGTGTCGTAACCCTCCACCACCCGACACGGCCAATCAGTAAAAAAGTGTCACGTTGACAAAAGACAAATAGTTAACTACTTTAGCCCACCGGTGTGTTGAAGAGTGAAACCACAACATTTACAATTTTTTTTTTAATGTTGTGGTTTCACGCTTCAACACACCGGTGGGCTAAAGCAGTGAACTATTTGTCTTTTGTCAACGTGACACTTTTTTACTGATTGGCCGTGTCGGGTGGTGGAGGGTTACGACACATTTATGAATAACGCGATCTAAATCCAAAAACGTTGATTATGAATAATATTGGTCGCGAAAGCCTACACGTGTTAAACTGACAATGTGTGCTATAGTGCAGGGCGTCTTGGCAGCTGCATCCTGTCTCTGCAGGACTTGTATCATAATAATGATACAGCTATCAACTATTCAGTGTATTGGGCATGCGTGCCATTCATATAGCACGGGGCTATTATAAAATGAAGGCGCTGGTGAGTTGCAAACAGATTTTAGTTTCGCTTAACACGTAGGCTTTCGCTACCAATATCATACAGGTTTTTTTGGATTCGGTCGCGTAGATATATGAATGTGTCGTTAAACCCGCCACCACCCGCCACCGCCAATTAGTAAGGTTTGTCACGTAAACAGAACGTGCAGATTCGTTATTAGTACAGCACGCCGGTGTGTTGGAGAGCAAATGCACATCATTGGCTGCCGCCTGATGATGCGAGTTTTAATTGCTGGCGAAACGTTCATACTATATTCGATGAACAGTTATTTCGGTTAACAGTGGTGGAACGGATTTAAAACGTTAACGGAGGGACTACTTTATTTGTACGCTCGTCGTTGTCGTCGTCGTCGTTATTTTTGTTGTATCCTTTATTTAACCGAAAGCGACGGTGGATTAATACGGCCGCGGTAATAACCAGGACGGCCTGCCGGACTCGAACTGGGAAATTCTGAGACGATGGGGCGACGGCGCTGCCGCTGCGCCGTGTCACCAGCACAGATTGCGTGTTTGGGGTGGTGACGTTATACTGATCGGAGTATGCTCCTACCATTCTTTGATTTTATTATGTTTTAGTTTTATTATTTTATTACTTCCCTTCTACGTGACTTTACCGAAAGAACCAAGAAGATGAATCGGGATTATTGTATTGTTGATTCCCACGAAAAGCCATTAAAACACGATCATTTGAATGGCATTCCAACTGCTGTACGCAGGAGAATGTCGAATCCATTGCGACTCTATTGTCAATCTGACCATGTCGACCAGATTTGCTGATTAAATCTATTGCACTGCTCTCGACCGCATAATATAATATAGGAAGAGTAGGCCAAATACCCTCCAGAAGCAGCTCTCTAGAGCTCCCCAAGGACATCCGTGAAAGAGTGCTTCACAGCTCATCGGATTCCCCCTCCAGCCTAAATAAATAATTTTCTGATTCTCTGGCAGAGGCCCTTCCACGAGCGGTGGCACGAGTGAGCACTTGCAGGGCTGCACCTTTTGCGGCAACGGAGCCACGGCGTGCTCAGTGGAAAAAAAACACGCAAACACCGCGCTCGCGTGAGATGCTCGCCTATGGGAAAGGGGCCGAAACTCACGGTGCCTTTTTGCCGACGGAGATATCGGAAGCGAGGTTGCGCCTGAAATCAGAGGGGAGAGAGAGAGAGGCAACAGCGACCTTCACGCAGCGGTGAATTCGCCAAGGTTGGGGCCGAACGCCGGTGAACCGCCTCTCAGTGAGCACCGCTGTCAAAGAAACAGCTTGAACCTACGGCGTGGATTCAACGCTTTCTTTTGTGTCGCCGTTCCAAAAGTCGAGTTTCTTCTCTCGGCACGGACGTGCGCTGAGCTTCTTTCGCACTGTACGTAGCCAACCGTGCGAAAGTCGGAGGAGCGCCACGCGAAAGAATAAGACGAAAAGCTGCATTTGTCAAAATGGGAAATCGGTCCCCCAATATTATTCTGGACGCTGTTAACAAAGACATTTCCCGGTGTCACCTGTTCCCTTTTCTCATCTACTTACCTCGAGAAACACGTAAAGTTCCTCGAGATGAAAATGGCTCTACACCTCGTACCGTAAACATTATCCGAGGTTTGATTAATAGGGCACTGAGTGCGCATTCCTCCGTCCGCGAGCAACATCGGACACAACGCTGGCAACAACGTTGCGTGCAGCTCGTCGCTGGCAACGCAGGAGGCGTTGCTCCCAAGTAAACAGCCTGCGAACGCCGAGCGCGACAATTAGATTAGCGTCGGTGCCACTATTCTATTCCTGCAACGTGTTCGGGAGCTAAGTGCCAACGTCGAGGTCTTCCTGCCACTACAGGAGGGCTTCAGGAGAGAGTTTGCGTGGCTTCAGCTGTTCCCTCCTTGCGTTGAAGGGGCGCAGATGACAGCGGTTGATTGTACGGCCCATAGTTTGGGTCGCAAGGCCACAATCGCACCACTGTCGCCTGTCTTTAATTTTACATTCGTCAAGGAGATGTGCGCATCGGCCTTTTGGTTTTTTGGCTGACCATCGAACAGAGACGGTCACCGCATCGCGCGCCTTCAGGTGCGTTTCTGTGGCCGTCTGGAACGCTCTTCCTTCCGATGTTAGGAAGCCACTGGAGCTGTGCACTTTTTAAATCCAGATTGAAAACGAATTTGTTTAGAACTGCTGTTTGTGTTCGGTTTGTTGTCCTTCCCCGCATCTCCGATTAGCACGGTTGGTTATACGTACTGCGCAAAAGAAGTTCAGCATACATAGGCAGGTTAAGGACGCCATTCAAACTGCTAAGAAAAGTAAGTGGGCTTGGGCAGGACACGTCACTCCACGTGGTGACGGCCGATGGGTGAAGAATAATGAGGAATGGCAGCCAAGGAACGTCAAGCATCCGAGAGCACATCCACTGGTGATTTGGCGTTTAGAAATCAGCTCGTGTGCAGGAGCTAGGTGGGTCGAAGGGTACTTTTTGTCTTTGAGGAGGATGAGGACGATAACACACAAGGCCAGAAGGACGTCCCCGTCGTTCCGCTCTGTTCGCCAGCGTGGGTGGGAGATGGTGGTGGCCTCCTCGTAGAGTGAGATGTGTGCACGCGTGTTGAACTTCACAGCGGCACCACCTGTCACGTGTTTTCGTGTCACCGGGCAGCGACGCCTGTAAGTTGGGCGTCTAACCAAGGAGACGGAGTGATTCAATTGATATCATGTGATTCCAAAGAACACAGGATGAGATGTTATTATCCTTTGTGCAAGCACTTCCAAGAGTTCATGAACAGTGAGCCTGGTGAAATTTGGGGAGCGCATCGTCAGTAGTGAACCTTTGGGTCCTAGGGTGTTTCGGCCTTTCATACTATACACCCTCCCCAAAGGCGGCCAGCGACAGGGTGATCAATCCTACGCTTGCGTCCCATTCCCAATTAGTCATAGGAGTTGCCTTGTTGTTGATAGCCAACATCCCATGGGACTATGCATGGCAGGGGCGTCCTCATCCCTGAGTCAAGCATTGTTGACTGCATACCTCCTGGCCCTCTCACTTTGGGGCCCAGCTGGGGTCTTTCCTCTTCATCCAGAGCCACTGACTGCTGCCTTCTGCCGCCTCCGATACAGAACTTCTTTTGCACCGTGCGGAGCCAACCGTGATAATCGGAGGTGCTAGGCGGATTGCCATACTGCATATCGTGGACTCAATGAGCCAAATCTTGATATCCAATACAAAAAAGGATTAGGCCAAATAGGAACGACTCAACTGAATTAGAATGGAAATCGGTGACCTTGCAGGCAGTGACATTTGAGCGCGCAAATTCAATATTTCCACTTGTGTGTTACATCTTGACGGCGTTATCGCTGGACGATAAAGTTATCCACGTGGCATTTCAGTTGCGTTCTCCTCGGACGATTCACACAGGAGTGTCTTGCTGCGCTGGTGCCTTGACTTGACATTTTAAGGAAACAAGTGTATTTGACCTCATTCAGTGAGTTATATTCAGCCAAGGCACATTGAGCGTCCGACGCTCTTGTTGAATGGAGATGCCACAAAGCCATGAGGGCCACGATGTCAACGATCGTGAGTTTCAGGAAGCGGCGCCTTTAAATGTCATCGGCTTGCTCTCGTTCTGGACACAAATATGTTTGATTTGACAATAGGCAAGTGAGCGATCTTTGCGCGTCACGTTTACGTTGCTCAAACATTTGATAGAGACGCAGCCTGTTGTCATTCATGGCGTGGATGGTGAGCGTGCCACACATCTTATGTGTTGCACGCGTGCATGTCGATAACAGCGGCCACCACGATTGGTTTACTGACTGACGTCTCATTCATTTACTGACTCCCATCACAACTCATTCATTTACTGACTCCCATCACAACTCATTCATTTACTGACCCCCATTACAACTCATTCATTTACTGACTCCCATTACAACTCATTCCTTTACTGACTCCCATCACAACTCATTCCTTTACTGACTCCCATTACAACTCATTCTTTTACTGACCCCCATTACATCTCACCGGGTTCGATAAAATGAGTTCGACTTTGTGCGCCCCGGGGTTTCCGAAACGGCAGAGGAGCCTCAACGCTCATCGCCCATTCAACGTCTTCGCTCGTGGCTTGTCAACGCTGTCGGTGCCTTTGCAGGGCTACGCGAACCACTTCGAGGACCCGGAGATGGAGTGCCTCATCCCGGCTCAGCTGCGAAACAAGACGGAGGCGCTTTTCGGCAACTTGCCGGAGATTTACTCCTTCCACAACAGGTTTGAGAGCGCACCGCTCGGCAGGCAGACGGAGACTCGAATGCGGTCGTGCACCCGGCAACTCGCGCGACGGCTGTCGATTTCGCGCCAGCCACTCGCTCACCAGCGGGCAATCGCCTCTTCATCACTCTTCTATCGCTACTACCGTCGTTTACTCGCCCCTTGAACTTCCGCGAATTGAGTCCTCCAGCCGCGTTGAGGACTCAATCTCTGCGTATGGACATTTGTACAGTGAACTTCTTTCGCACCGTACGTAGCCAACCGTGCTAATCGGAGGTGCGGGGGAAGGACAATAAGACACTGACTCTACCACTGTGTTCATCCACCACACTGCAGGTCACAACGACTCACCCACCCACTCACTCACCGACTCATCACACTGCGGTAACAACAACTCACCCACCCACTCACTCACCGACTCATCACACTGCGGCCACAAAAACTCACCCACCCACTCACTCACCGACTCATCACACTGCAGGTCACACCAACTCATCCACCCACCCACTCACCCACCCACTCACCCACCCACTCATCACACTGCAGGTCACAACAACTCACCCACCCACTCACTCACCCACTCACCACACTGCAGGGGTCACAACAACTCACCCACCCACCCACTCACCCACCCACTCACCCACCCACTGACCCACCCACTCATCACACTGCAGGTCACAACAACTCACCCACCCACTCACTCACCCACTCACCACACTGCAGGGGTCACAACAACTCACCCACCCACCCACTTATCACACTGCAGGTCACAACAACTCACCCACTCACCCACTCATCACACTGCAGGTCACAACAACTCACTCACCCACTCACCCACCCACTCACCCACCCACTCACCCACCAACTCACCACACTGTAGGTCACAACAACTCACCCACCCTACTCTTGGAGCGCTGCTCACATGCTCCGAAATCTCACCGGAGTTTAGGCGATCGGCTTGGGGAAGAGGTGGGAGCAAAGTAGGCCAAGTACCCCTCTACAAGGGCTGTCTAGAGCTCCCTCTGGTGGAGGTTCTTCTACCAGCAGCGGCCGAGCAAACAATTGCACGGCACGCAACTTTCCACCATCCCCCCCACCCCTCCACCAGTTATATGGACGACACGGGCTTTTGTAAAACACGGATCGGACCCCAAGGAGGCAACGTGGGCGTGACACCGTGGCGCTGCTGCCTGCTGGGGAAATCTCTCCTCGGCGAGAGAAATTAAATTTGGATCATCTCGAGACGCTTCTGCTGCGCTGGCTGCGTTGCTCGCCCAAGGCGTCACGTCCTAGCTCCTTCGCGTGTTCACGCCATCGTTGACAAGTAGCAGCGGCGGCGTGCAATGATAAATTCGCACTGCGATGGCGTTCAGAAATACAGAGTCATCTTCGCGGGCTCGTGTGCTCGAGTGCGCGCGTGTAATTGCGTGTGTCCGTTCACAGGTGTCGGGGAGTGGCGGTGCAGCGGTTAGCGCGACGAACCCGGCCACCCGAGTTCGATTCCCGCTCACGGCCAACACGAGTGACGATTTTCTGAACCGGTCCTGGGCTTCCCCTAGGTCGACTCAGCCTCAAATGATAATCTTGGTGTGGTGTGTAAACATCGCCACTGGGGAGACAAAGGCGGTCGGGCGTGGTGTTGGCCACCCACCCCTCTGTGTGCCGTGCAGCCTTCATAGGTGCTCGCTAACAGCAATTGCCCCAACAGGACGTTAAGGCTACACGGGGGTTCTTTGTATTTGTCCCCGCGGGTGTTGGGGAGTGGTGGTGCAGCGGTTAGCATGCTGCCCTATGAACCCGGCCACCCGAGTTCGATTCCCGTTCACGACCAATAACAGTGGCAGTGAATATTTGAACCAGTTATGGACCTCCCCTAGGTCGACCCAGCCTTAAATTCGTATCTGGTGCGGTGTGTAAACGTCAGCACTGAGGAGTCAGGCAGCTGGGCGTGGCATTGGCAACCCTCTCCCCTTGCGTGCCATGCCGTTCTTCATAGGTGCTCGCTAACAGCACTTGCCACAACAGTCTGTTAAATGTGTAATGGGTTCAATTTAGGCGCACACACTTCTTGGGAGGCAACACTCATTTATTAATTAACACAACGTTTATTCAACAGTTACTCTTACTCTACACATAGGGTGGTGACCACCGACCTACACTAGCTAACACACAATTGTATTTTAGTCTCTCTCCAGCGTGACCCAGCCAGGTGGCTGCTGGCAGTCCGCTCACTGTAGGTCTTCTCTTCTGGCATCTTCACGAGGTGTCTTCATTCTTCTCAGGAACAGCCCTGCTCTGCCTTCACACCACCCTTATATCTCGTCTCTCTGGCGTGGCCGGCTCCGCCCAGGCCACGCCTCCCTTCCCAGGCCACGCCTCACTTCCCAGGCCACGCCTCACTTCCCCCCACCTCTGGGAAGGTCCGGATCCCTCCAGCACGTGACCCCCCAGGCACCCCCTTGGGGCCCCCAGCCCTCGTACGGGCCAACACAGTAGTGACCGTTCTGTCACTACATCACCCCCTCCTGTATAAACACACAGCCGTCCCCGGCTGTAACACAACTGTGAACATCGAAAAGGTGTGCCTCCGAACCAGCAACATCAATAAATGACCGGCGACCGATAAGAAATACAATCACGTAATATATACAGAATCGACGAGGGTAAAAGGGAACCGCATAGAAAACGGGGAATTAACAACAAATATATATGAAAACTGGCTAACCCACTTACGCTACAGCACAGCCCCCCCACCGTTAGAATCACGCATGCAATGACAGTCACCCGTTAGCACCCCCCCCGCCTTTCCGACGTGGCGTCACAACCAGTAGCACGCGTCGGCCATATCGGGGGGGGGAATTTCCATGTTACCACCCCACCGCCTTTCCGACGTGGCGTCACAACCAGTAGCACGCGTCGGCCATATCGGGGGGGGGGATTTCCATGTTACCCCCCCACCGCCTTTCCGACGCGGCGTCACAACCAGTAGCACACGTCGGCCATATCGGTGGGATTTTAACCCAGTCTCTCTCCAAGACTCGCATCGCAGCATATAGCTGTACCGACCGAGCTGAGATGACCCAGTCTCTCTCCCAGACTCGCATCGCAGCATATAGCTGTACCGACCGAGCTGAGACGACCCATCGTTCACTCACTGCACAACATGCACCCTAACAACTGAGGGAAACAGTCTCAACGTAACAGGCCAACTCCACCCGAACCTTACGAATCTCCAGCCCACTGTTTCAACGCGCCTCAGAGGGTCTCAACCTCCGAGCCGTCAGGTCAAGCTGTCAGCCATAGCATGACGGGACCACCCTCCCTGAGCCATGTGAGCGCACAGCCCACAAGGCTAGACAAGCCACAGAGTGTCTCGCTCTCCGGGCTGTCAGGTCAAGCCGTCAGCCATTGCATGACGGGACCACACACTCCGAGCCATGTGAGCACACAGCCCACTAGGCTAGACATGCCACGGAGTGTTTCAATCTCCGGGCTGTCAGGTCAAGCCGTCAGGCACAGCATGACGGGACCACACTCTCCGAGCCATGTGAGCGCACAGCCCACTAGGCTAGACATACCACGGAGTGTTTCAAGCTCCGGGCTGTCAGGTCAAGCCGTCAGCCATTGCATGACGGGACCACAACGTTCATGTTAGACACGCAACACTCACTGGGCCATCCTGGTCAGGATCTGCGCCCCAAGATAAGTGACAGCCAGCACCACAATTCCAAATCCCTGGCAGCATGTCACCATCGCAATTTAACACCATCACAACACATACAATTTGAATTATGATCCCCCACAGAACTGATCCAATGCCGAACAGGTACGCACAATTTGTGACGATCCCGAATATTCAATGGTCACAACAATACACCTCACATCCCGTATCCGTACACATCATCTCCGAGACTCGCATTGCAGCAATGCAGCTGTACCAACCGAGTGGAGAGAGCAATGCAATTTGACGGCAATTAACGGAAACGCACCCCCGATCCATGTAGAACACAAGGAGCATTCCCGCACAAAAGACATCATCTGTGCAACAACGGACAGGAACCAACCAGTGAGTTTGAAACAAACCGAACCTGTCACTTCAAAATCCCCTTCAACATTAACCATGGGACTCAGGGCATTCGAATTTTGAGAGAAAAAAACTGTACACAAACCCCAAGAATCGCCGAATTGATTAATACAGTATATGCAGTATACGAAGTTCGTACAGTCAATCATTTGGCACAATGCACCATCCAGTCCCCACATGGCAACACACACAATCAATACTCCAGACAATCCGTACATAGTAAATAATCACAAGCAAGTACCCAACATTCCATACACTGTTAACAATGACGATCAAAGTTTCTGACAGTTGCAAGTGACAATCACGAGCGAAACTCCATACAGTATACACAATAACAATGGTGATTTCGCAACACAACGATGTAACAACACGAGTCATTAACACGGCAACATACAGGATATCCACGGAACTCGGGACACCAACAACGAATTAATCATTAACTACACGCAGAAGATACCGATCTCGACGCCGTAATTAACAACAAACACTGGTCGCCGCGTCAATTTCTCACGCACACAACCGGACGAACACGTTCCGCAACCCAGCGAGTAAAAAAAAACCACCCGCGATCGCAACCCGGCACACGCAAGATGGGTGAAGTTATTATTATTATTTTTATTGGGGCCGGGTGCTTGTCAAGTCATAACTCGCCTGGCAAACTGTGTATAGCGGAGGGCGGCAAGGTGGAGCACTGGAACGGCCCGAAGAATCTTTGATGGTGAACACGGCCTGCTGTTGCGAACCCATCCACCTCTCACGCTCGAGCAGAAGGCTGGAACTCCCCCTCTGCAGGCGTTGATGTCGGCGGGAGCGGCATTTCGGCAGCAGGAGCGGTGTTTTGGCGGGAACAGCGCCCCGACCAGCCGCCGAAATGGCGGGAACGGCGTTTTGGCGGGAACAGCGCCCCGACCAGCCGCCGAAATGGCGGGCCCACCGCGTGGCCCGCATGCCCGGGCCTCCCCCGCCAGCCACCGCAGCGACGATGGTGTCCTCTCGCCGCGGCTCCGTCGCTCCGTTCCCGATGGCGGCGAAGCAGCAGTGCGATGCAAGTCCCGCCGCTCCGCGTGCAGCGCCATCTCTCTCTCTCTCTCTGTCACCGGGGCTGCCATCCCCGGGGCTGTCCGAAGGATGGTCGTCACACCATCCCCGTCGTACGAAGACGTCCAGATGAGTTTTATATTTGTTTTTCGTGTGCCCATTTTACTTCCCTAGGATAACACCTAGCAATATTTATTTTTCCACAACTTCTGACACCAAATGTAATGGGTTCAATTTAGGCGCACACACTTCTTGGGAGGCAACACTCATTTATTAATTAACACAACGTTTATTCAACAGTTACTCTTACTCTACACATAGGGTGGTGACCACCGACCTACACTAGCTAACACACCATTGTATTTTAGTCTCTCTCCAGCGTGACCCAGCCAGGTGGCTGCTGGCAGTCCGCTCACTGTAGGTCTTCTCTTCTGGCATCTTCACGAGGTGTCTTCATTCTTCTCAGGAACAGCCCTGCTCTGCCTTCACACCACCCTTATATCTCGTCTCTCTGGCGTGGCCGGCTCCGCCCAGGCCACGCCTCCCTTCCCAGGCCACGCCTCACTTCCCAGGCCACGCCTCACTTCCCCCCACCTCTGGGAAGGTCCGGATCCCTCCAGCACGTGACCCCCCAGGCACCCCCTTGGGGCCCCCAGCCCTCGTACGGGCCAACACAGTAGTGACCGTTCTGTCACTACAAATGCTACGTGTTTTTACTGGTAGGATCCTCCTGGTTACACCAGCCCACAGGGATTATTGTGTCCGTCCGTCCGTTGTGCAGGGAGGGACTGGGTGGGGATTGAGGGGCTGGGTGGGGAGGGGCTGGGTGGGGAGGGGAGGATGGGGAGGGGCTGGGTGGGGAGGGTGGCGAGGGTGGGGCTGGGTGGGGAGAGTGGGGCTGGGTGGGGAGGGGCTGGGTGGGGAGGGTGGGGCTGGGTGGGGAGGGGAGGGTGGGGAGGGGCTGGGTGGAGAGGCTGGGGAGGGGCTGGGTGGGGAGGGTGGGGAGGGGCTAGGTGGGGAGGGTGGGGAGGGGAGGGGCTGGGTGGGGAGGGGAGGGGCTGGGTGGGGAGGGGCTGGGTGGGGAGGCTGGGGAGGGGCTGGGTGGGGAGGGTTGGGAGGGGCTGGGTGGGGGGTAGGAGGGGTGGGGCTGGGTGGGGAGGGGCTGGTCAACCCGTGGTGCCCTTATAAAACTCAACGTTTAACCTACTCACGCCGGCTTGTGCCCGCCCTCACAGTCGGCCATTATTGCGGAATACACCACGCCGCCGTTGACCCTGGCCATTGACCGAGCAACCCAACGTTCCTACCAGCTCCCTCCGCAGGAATGTGTTTTGTCTTTGTGCGTGTGTGTCATTGTCAGTGTGTGAGAGTGCGAGTGAGTGTCACTCTGACATTGCCGAGGTCTGTGGGACGTTGAATTCCACCAATGTCATAACCAAGGCAGAATGAATCATCAGCACCCAGTGTGTTTATGTGGATTCATCTGCCAGGGTGAGCAAACGTGTAGCAGTCTGCGCTACGAACCCGTTGACCCGAGTTCGATTCCCGCTCACGGCCAACACCAGTGACGATTATCTGAACCGGTCCTGGGCCTCCTCGCCTAGGTCCACTCAACCTCAAATGAGTACCTGGGTGCGGTGTGTAAACGTCACCACTCGGGAGACAAAGGCGGCCGGGCGTGGTGCTGGCCACCCACCCCCTTGTGCGCAGTGCCAGGCCTTAACAGGCGCTCGCTAACAGCACTTGCCCCAAAAGTCTGTTCAAGGCTATAGGGGTGATCTTTGTCTTTGGTGCATCTGCCCACCATCTCAGTCAGTCAACCCATGGCAACCTGGCTCTGTGCCGTGGCCTCCTGCCAGCGGCCCATCGTCACTTCACGGTGGCCTCAACGTGCATGGCGCAAGCGTCGTGGTGACATCACCGTGACTTAGTGGCGAACGGCGGAGGCTGTTGTTGTTGTTGTTTGTTGGTGTCGGAGAACACCACCACCACGTGACCCAAAGTCTGCTGAAGGCAACAGCAGGGATGTTATCCTTGTTGACATATGGCTTTGACAATGGTGGGTAAACACCCAAGTAACAAAAGCTCCATACGCTCAGGGGCAACGCCAATGATGCTAAAATGTAAAAAAATGTAATCGCCGATCTGTTTGGGAATTGGCCCTTCATGCGCTGTGAAGAAAGGCCATTTCTCACCCTGTTAGGGCAGCGTTATTGGTGGATGCGCGTTTCTCCTTGTCGTACGTTCTGTGTACGCGTGTACTGGACGTGAAATTGTTTTGTTCTGTAATTGCTGGACATTTGAAGCCACCCTTGAGACGTGCACGTTTGGACTGTACCATTACTCCAGGGCTCAGCTTACACTGGCTGTCACTGAAACACTCCAGCTAACCACCCACCCCCTCCCCCCCATAACCTAACAATGAAACGATGGCACAGTCCAAAGCACATGGTCACGCATACATGTTGTGTTGCAGCTGACTGTTGTGAAACATACCACAGTACATAGTCACAAAAGCCATGGTCAATCCACTGCTGGATGAAGGCCTCTCCAAGCCATTTGTGTTTAGTTTTTTGTCCCCCCCACCCCACCCTGCGCCTCCAATTAGTACGGTTGGCTACGTACGGTGTGAAAGAAGTTCAACATACATCACCATCTCTCACAGTTCTGCGGAGTAATATCTACTCGGAGCCCGCGTACGAGTTGATTTCATTTTGCTCCATCTCCTCCATGGGCATGCCCGTTGACTCGTTCCAAACCTTGGCTGCCAATCGATCATCATTATTGGGTTGGCGTGGTGACGAAATGTTTACTACCTCGCCTGGTATGGAGGAGGGCGTGGGTTTGATCCTGACCCTGACGCCTGCTCTATATTTGGAGTTTGCGTGTCTTTCTCCCCGGTCTTTCTCTCGGGGTCCTGCGGTGTTACCCTCCACATTTACAATTGACGTGCGATAATTGTTTTTTTGCCCTTTTATCTGGCAACAAAACTGACACCTTTGATTTTTTTACAAGGAGTCATGTGTTGCATAGACCACAATACCTGTAGTCATAATGCAAACAAAAAACATAACTGATAATGTATGCACTGTCTTTAAAGTTGATTGGTCCACACCCGAGACAGCTTTCCTTAGAGCCTTATCTCACAGGGTGTTGGACCGGATGACGCCTATATTTTTTACTGGCAAACGGTGAATCGACGTGCGTTTAGAGTATTTGGCTGCTATAAATTTTAACATTGATAAGCCACTTTCGTTGAGCTAAAATTTGTGGCCAGGTCGCTTCTGAAAATAGAGCTACATAGCTCAGTGGGGCCTTTCCTGGTCAAATAAAAAATAGTTTAGTTTATTATTCATGGAAAGAGGCCATCGCACATTCTGCCGATGCTTCCTGCCAAGCCCCCTTACATCTGTTTAACACGTCGGCTTTCACGAGCAATATCATCCCTAATAGAGGGGTTATGGATTAGATCGCGTAAATATATAAATGTGTCCATACTTCGATTTAAAGCTTTCGTGACTGCAGGGATTCATCTTCTTGGTTCTTTCGGTAAAGTCACGTAGAATGGAAATGATAAAATAATAAAAATAATAAAATATTTCTCAAGACGTTTCGGCCACAACGTAAGCAGCCGTCCTCAGGTGAAGAACAGGTCTGTCGAGAAGACAGAGTCTGACTTGCGTTGTGGCCGAAACGTCGTGAGAATTATTTTATTATGTTTTATTTTTATTATTTTATTATTTCCATTCTACGTGACTTTACCGAAAGAACCAAGAAGATGTGTCCATACTCTTTGGCTCTTTTGGTAAAGTCACGTAGGTATAAAATAAAATAAATCACGACGTTTCGGCTTTCCCACCTGATGACGGACGCTTGTGTTGCGCCCGAAACGTCGTGATTTATTTTATTTTCTACCTACGTGACTTTACCGAAAGAACCAAAGAGTATGGATTCCTGCAGTCACGAAAGCTTCAAATCAAGATTTAAATGTGTCGTTAAAACCCACCCTGTGGCGGCGGGTTTTAACGACACATTTATATTTACGTGATCTAACCGAAAAAACTCTATTATGGACCCCTTACATCTTTTAATAGTCTGGATGACGTCATTAAGCTGCACATGTTATCGAATCCATGTGTTCCTATTTCTGTCCCTACGCGTGCATCTCTCCTACGAATCTTTGCCCGCCGTGGACTGCAGGCAAGCTGCTAAGCAGCCACACAAACTGGGTCGCCGAAGTTGTTCATTTTTCTAATTATAAGAATACATGTATATAAAGTTGCAGCGTTTATTAACGTTCTTAATAAATTCCTAAGAGATCGATTCTTCCACGCGTGGTTCAATGCGTGTAACGTACACATTGCTTTAAATCGACGCATCCTGACGGTGACGACGATGGAAGCCGCGGCGCCGTCCGTTCGTCCGGACTTCTGTGCGAAAAAGAGCTTTGTTGCTCTTCGGATTTCTCCCAGGCTGAATAAAGATTACGATTCTGTCTCTTTGCAGCGTGTTCTTGCGCGAGCTGGAAGCGTACGTTGACCAACCGGAGCTCATCGGAAGGTGCTTCCTACAAAGAGTAAGTGCAATGGGGGGAGGGGGGGAGTGGGGGAGTGGCAGTACAGAAAGTGGGGCTGCTGTACAGTTTGTAAGGACGATTATTGATCAGTAGCTCCTCGTTAGGTGTGGGTTCTCTCCAGGTGGCAGAGTTCCTTCCCACTCGGTGAAGTGGCTCAAAGAAGCGGGGAGAATGGGGGCGCCACGGTGGCGAGATGTTGACTACCTCGCCGGGTATACAAGAGGTCGTGGGTTCGATCCCGACCCCTGATGCCTGTACATTTGGAGATTGTGTGTTGGACTGAAATCGTTAAAAATGTCATTGCCCGTAATGTCAGCCTGTTATTTAGTACCCATTTTTATTTACGTATACAGGATACGTATAACGCATGTATCATCACGCGGCGTCGATGACAGTCGCGTGAGAGTGTGGGGTGTTTGTTGTTGTTGATTTTGTGCATTTGTGCTTTTTTTCTTCTTCTTCGGCTGATCCATTCCCAACGCAGAAAGAAGACTTCCAGATTTACGAGAAGTACTGCCAGAACAAGCCCCGCTCGGAGGCCGTGTGGAGGCAGTTCGCCGATGCCGCTTTCTTCCAGGTGCCCAGGTCACGAGCATCGGCATCACCGTGGCCCACATTCGCTCCTCGCCTTCCCCTCGTAGCCGCAGCAGCAGCAGCAGCAGCCGCAACAGCCGCTTGTGGCTAAGCCATCGAACAAAGACGGTGGCCACCGCATCGCGTGGCGCTTTCAGACGCGCTTCTGCGGCCATCTGGAACGCTCGTCATTCCGATATTAGGAAGCCACTGGAGGCAATGCACTTTGAAAGCGTCTTGATTGAGAACTCATTTATTTAACACTGCTTTTTGTGTTTAGTTCATGGTAACCTCCGATTAGCACGGTTGGCTATGTACAGTGTGAAAGAAGTTAAATATACATACAACATACATACAGTTAGACTTCTCCACAAATCTGGCTGTCGCCTGATGAAGCTAGTTGTAATTACTGGCAAAACGTCGTACTCAGATTGTAAATGTTGTGGCTTGGCTCTCCAACACACCGGTGTGCTGTACTAGTGACGAATTGGCCACGTTCTGTTTACGTGACAACCCTTACTAGTTGGCTGTGTCGGGTGGTGGCGGGTTTAACGACACATTTATATATTTACGCGATCCAACCCAAAAAACCCACTACTATGGATACATACATTCCCAATGCTCTTGTCACGATCGACGGGATGTGATGACCCATTGCCACGCGACTCCTTCCACTTCGAAATGTCCCGCAAAACAATATTTGTCCGTCCACTTGCAAGAATCTTGGCCGCGCCAATCGGGTGCCAGAGGAGGCAACGTCATGAGGCCTGCCCACCGTAGTCGCTGTGGTCCCAATGACAGGGAGCTCAAGTCACTTCTGTCACGGCATCTTTATATTCCAGGGGCGCCACAGTGAAGAGATGTTAACTATCTTCTTGGTTCTTTCGGTAAAGTCACGTACAAGGGAAATAATAAAATAATAAAAATAAAACATAATAAAATAATTCTCACGACGTTTCGGCCACAACGCAAGCAGCCGTCCTCAGGTGAAGAACAGGTCATTTCCCATAAATATGCTAAATTTTTCTTGATATGCAAATTCCTTTGTCAAGGCGCCCCTTCCCCCCTCCAACCCAGCTTAAATATACGCTGCCAAGCCTGGTGGTGCCCATTCAGACGCTGTCTTTCCGACAGACCTGAGGACGGCTGCTTACGTTGTGGCCGAAACGTCGTGAGAATGATTTTATTATGTTTTATTTTTATTATTTTATTATTTCCCTTCTACGTGACTTTACCGAAAGAACCAAGAAGATGAATCCCTGCAGTCACGAAAGCTTTAAATCGAGATGTTAACTACCTTGCCCGGTATGCAGGGGGTCGTGGGTTCGATCCCGACCCTGAGTTTGCGTGTCTCTCTCTCCCTGTGGTAGAGTAGATTTTTTTTTCTCCGGTTCCTCCGGTATTTCCCTCCACATTTTGAACGAGTATTTGGCCGCGACAGATTTTTCACGCGATAAGCCGCCTCGTTGAGCAATAATTCATGGCCAGGTCACTTCTGAAAAATAGCTACATTCCTCAGTGGGCCTCATCTGTTCAAATTAAAAAAAAACACTGCAGACCAACAACTCGTCGTGCGGCCGATGCTTCGGCTTAAGGGCTGGCCTCTCATTCCACCAGTGCGCTGGGAAAATGCTGCTACCCACCGTTCTCCGCAGCCATCATTGTTCGCGATGGACGTCCGAACAGAGGAAGGGGAATAAGATATTGAAACGAGACGCACATTTCCGTCACTCTCAATGTTTTTGGATGCTGACACGCGATGGACTACACTTGCGAATGACATCGCGCCATTTAGTTTTGCCCACCTGCGAAGCAGACGTTTGCTTCGTACGTTTAAACACTTCGTGCGCACAAGTGGAATTAACCGGGGCGGCCACTGGCTTTACGAACCGTGCATCTTTGCGACAGGTGGCGAACACGGCGCCGCTAGGTTGTGTCACCCGCATATGAAACGAAAAAAGTTATCCGGCTTGGCCACTCGGACGTTTCCTGGGTCATGTTGCACGAGGCTTGCACTCGTTCATTTGTTCAATGCATTTTGCGTTCAGGAGTGTCAGCGCCGTTTGGACCACAAGCTCGCCCTGGACTCGTACCTCCTGAAGCCGGTGCAAAGGATCACCAAGTACCAGCTCCTGCTCAAGGTACGGACTTCGCCGTGTGCCTCGCATCGACTCCCGTCCACCGTCACGGAAGTCCGCGATCCGTCGTTAACTCAAGTCCTGCCGTAACACGCCGCAACGGGGCTCGAAATAATTTTGTCTAAGCTCCGTCCGTCTGTCCTGTCCGTCTGTCCGCCCGTAATGGGGAGGAGCACCCTAGCCCTTGTGCAGGTGTGTTCCGATTGTGAGAGAGAAAAACTTCAGGATGAAATCGTGTTGTGTAAAAATATATCTTGAAAATATGCAAACTCGTAATGCCCTGGTCGCTACCTCCCGGGCATCCGTACTGCCAGTTGGATACTTCTGAGGACAATCACATGATGGAAAGCATTAAATAATCCGCGCATGTGCATGGTTTTTCTTGCTTATTTTGTGAAGTAAGATGCAAATCACAACAAAATCGAACGGCTCTTGTAGATTTATCAATGGAAGAAGAGCTTGATAGCTCATCGGATTCCTCCAGTATAAATAAATATTCTGGTTTTGAGAAATATTCTGAGATTCATGCGGACTTCGTTTTGTAGTCAACTGCCTTTCCTGAATGAGATGAAAGAGGTCCTGGCCGGTGAACTGAAACCTGCGGAGTCAGTGCTCAAAACAGAACTGCCTTCAAGTTTTGGGGAAACACTCTTAGATCACAAGTGTAAACAAATCAACTAACAAAGAGCAGAGCAGTCATAAACTGTTCAATGGGAGCCCACCTGGAGGGTTGTTTGGCCTACCCTTCCACGCCGGACGGATGTCTTGGGAGAGGTAGGAGCATCCACACTTTACCCCACCGCACGCCACCCGCCGGCCGCCTAGCTCGGTGGCGGTACCCATCCGTACCGCCACCACTGGCTCGACAGACGCGGGGACATTCAACAAACAAAAATAAAACCGGCGGCCTCCAGATTACAACTCCGCGTGCAAGTGCGCGCCCGTTCTCCGATAAGAGTTCGGGCTCATCTAGCCCGGCGCCACGGTATTAGACAACCCACCACCACCACCGGCGGGTGACCGGACCGCCTCTGCACTCTGCTCGCTGCGCTCCAAGGGTTCTCTCTCTGTCCGCGGTGCGCTGTGCAGGAGATGCTCAAGTGCAGCAAGAACTCGGCGGGAACGCAGGAGCTGGAGGAGGCCCTCGCCGGCATGCTGAGCATCCTCAAAGCCGTCAACGACTCCATGCACCAGATCGCCATCACGGGCTTCGAGGTCAAGAGTTCACGCGGTGCCGGCCTGGCTTGACAATAAACAAACAAACCAAAAATTACGTTGGTGAAGCCGCTGCTGCTGCTGTTGTTGCTGTTGCTCTTGCTGCTGCTACTTCTTCTGCTGTTGTTGCTGTTGCTGCTGTTGCTGCTGCTTCTGCTGTTGCTGCTGCTGTTGCTGCTACTGTTGCTGCTGCTGTTGCTGCTGCTGATGTTGCTGCTTCTGTTGCTGCTGCTTCTTCTGCTGCTGCTGTTGCTGCTTTAGCTGTTGTTGCTGCTGCTGTTGCTGCTTTTGCTGTTGCTGCTGCTGTTGCTGCTGCTGATCTTACTGCTTCTGTTGCTGCTGCTTCTTCTGCTGCTGCTGCTGCTTTAGCTATTGTTGCTGCTGCTTTGTTGTTGGCAGCCTTGCACAAGCGCAATTAACAACATACATTCAACACATTTGTCAATAACAACACTGGCCTTAGAAATGGAGCTTTATAATAATAATCAATGTGTCGGGTGATGAACCTTCTTCATTGCACGTGAATAAATATATTCATGATTTATGTGCTCATGCTGAAGGGCAATTGCCCGAAACGTCGCCTATTATTCGTTTCTTTTTAAGGCCACGCTGCGTGATTGACAAATGTGTCGCGCATTTTTGGCTCTACATCCGAGTTGGGACAGGGACAATTAGCCGATGAGGTCGATCGCCGGACTTAAAATTGTACCCGGCTACATTTTATTATTTGTCGTCTACTCCGTGGACGCGTTCTTAGCCTTCGAACATGACCAGCGCTGGTTGAGTGTCTCTCTCTCGTGGCCGTCGCGAGTCCCCGCAGCCACGGTGCCATCGGTCAACTTTAGTGCAAAAGCATCGACTACATTTGCCACGTGATGGACGTTGAACCCAGCGGTTCAGTCACGAGATTATCAGCTCGGGCGGTGCGGCAGTCGGTCAGATGGGGCCCCAATATTCGCTTTGTCTCGCTTAGATTTGAAGTTTTCGTGACTGCAAGGGTCCATACTCTTTGTTTTTTTCGGTAAAGTCACGTATGTAAAAAATTTAATAAAAATAGATTAAATCTCGACGTTTCGGAGGCAACACAAGCTTCCGTCATCAGGTGTATCACTTGATACAGTAATTTTGCTTTGACGGTGCCACCTGAAGACGGAAGCTTCTGTTGCCTCCGAAACGTCGTGATTTAATTTATTTTTATTTCATTTTTTACCTACGTGACTTTACCGAAAAAAACAAAGAGTTTGTCTCGCCTAGTCGCACTCCGGCTATTATACATCACGGCTTCTCTTGCCCTAACCACATCGTTACGTTTCGATTTAAAGCTTTCGTGACTGCAGGGATTCATCTTCTTGGTTCTTTCGGTAAAGTCACGTAGAAGGGAAATCATAAAATAAACCAAATAAAACATAGTAAAATAAAATATTTTATTATCTGGTCTGTCGGAAAGACAGCGTCTGAACATTCAGACGCTGTCTTTCCGACGGCTGCTTGCGTTGTGGCCGAAACGTCGTGAGAATTGTATTTTATTATGTTTGATTTTTATTATTTTATTATTTCCCTTCTACGTGACTTACCGAAAGAACCAAGAAGACACATCGTTACGCTCACAGTCTCGCCAATTGTACACTGTAGTGGCGCTCAGTCTTTGCCAAATGCAGCCACTGCAGATGAATAGCAGCACCTCTTTGCAACATAACGTGACTGCTCTAATTGAATTAAAATAAAACTTCGGAATGTGAATCAAAGTTCGTTCGCTTTCTCCGTCCGCTTGTCCTGGCGACGATCGCGGCTGAATGAAAGCATTTTCCTAAAAACAAACATTTAATTTAAACCGCATTTTAATACGTTTGTGTTATTTTACACTGTTGTTGAAAAATGTCTCGTAGTGATTGCCAACTCGTAGCTTTGGCCACCATGGGGAGGCCAAGGCACCCCCCAATCTCGGCACGCTACCGGTTGAACTTGTTTCACACCGTATGGAGCCAACCACGATGGTCCGACTTACGATATTTCGATCTTACGATGGGCGATAGCGATACGACAAAATTGTAAAAAAATTTAATTTCGCGCGGCAGGCAAACGCAGCAGCGTACGAATCTTGGTGAGTACAGTACAATATGATACGTTACGATACGTTCAATGCATGTATGATACGTAGCTTTAGCAATTTCATTTGAGGGTTACTACGATACGATACGTTCAATGCATGTTAAAACATTTTTTATAGCAGATAGGATTGTTTCCTGAAAAAACTTTCTACTAAATTGCATTTCATATAGGTAGGCTAAGAATTTACCTTGTTTTTTTAGTTTACATTTTACTGTGCAATATAGTATTGTAATTAATAAATACAAATATTATATATCTTCTTGGTTCTTTCGGTAAAGTCACGTAGAATGGAAATAATAAAATAATAAAAATTAAACATAATAAAATAATTATTATGTTTTATTTTTATTATAAAACATAATAAAATTGTTATGTTTTATTTTTATTATAAAACATAAGAAAATAATGATAATGTTTTATTTTTATTATTTTATTATTTCCATTCTACGTGACTTTACCGAAAGAACCAAGAAGATGAATCCCTGCAGTCACGAAAGCTTTAAATCGAAATGTTATATAGTTTATACAGTACGGTACTGTAAATTGCTCTATTTTGCTAAATTATCATCATTCTTTAAGACTCCTGGGTAGGCTAGGCCATCTTCGACTTACGATATTTTCGACTTACGATGGGGTCGTCGTAACGCATCTCCATCGCAAGTAGAGGACTACCTGTAAAACCACGACGCGTTGGTTGCAGTCTGTCCGTGCGTGTGCGCAAGTGCCCATTAGTGCACACGTACTGGACACGCCTGCAGTGTGTAGAGGGACGTGTGTGCGTACATTGATGACACAGACGAAGAATTTTGTGCTTCCGAGTTTGAAATCTTTAAAGGAGAAGGATGCGCGTTTCAGAAACTCTCGGTCTAGAAGGTTCCCCCATATGCAAGTGGCAAACAATGCAGACGGGGGAACTGCAGTTTCATAATCGTTTACACCGGCGATATATGATTATTATATTCTTGGGTTTTTTCGGTAAAGTCACGTAGGCAAAAATTTTCAATTAATAAATAAATATATTTACACGACGTTTCGGAGGCAACACAAGCCTCCAGTCTTCAGGTGGAACCGTCAAAGCACGCTCGCTGTATCAAGTACTGATTTTTATCTTATTTCAATTTTTATTTTTTACCTACGTGACTTTACCGACAAAACCCAAGAATATGAATCCTTGCAGTCACGAAAGCTTCAAATCTAGAAATATGATTATTATTTTTAAAAAATGTTCACGGATGTTTGCTCATGCTTTAGGAGGGTTCTGCCAGGCGTTCCCAAGAAGGGGCCAATGATTGCTCTGTGTGTTCCATTCGAGAAACTTGCGGGTACATTTTTAAACATCGCGTAATCGGACCACAACGCGAGCACAGGGCGTCCTACTCTTCATGAATGACGTCGCGGGACCTTTGAACGTCCGCTGTGGAGTGAACGGCGCGCGGTGTTTTTAATCGGTCGATTCGCCCCCGCCGCAGCAGTGTTAATCGGGGAGGCCGCTGGATTCGAACCGTGAACCTCTGCTACGAGAGGCGAGCGCGCGACCGCTGAGCCGCGTTACCGGTCCATCTGATCAACCACTTTGTTTAGACATCGCGTCGACGAGTTCATTACTCAAGGCGTTCTTAATGCAACTAGACTAAACAAATGTTCTTGCTGTGGATTTCACACCTGATGATGATTGCTTGTGTTGCAGTCGAAACGTCGTTAGAATTTTTTATTGTTTTATATTTTTATTATTTTATTTGAAATTTTCTTGCTGTGGATTTCACACCTGATGATGATTGCTTGTGTTGCAGTCGAAACGTCGTGAGAATTTTTATTGTTTTATATTTTTATTATTTTATTATTTCCCTTCTACGTGACTTTACCGAAAGAACCAAGAATATGAATCCCTGCAATCACGAAAGCTTTAAATAAAAATTTAGACGAAACAATGTTATATTTATGCAGGTACGGCCACACTGAACGATGTAGCTCTTTTTCAGATGAGACCTGGCTATAACAAATGATGGCTCGGCGAAGTGGCTTATCGTGTGGGGATTTATAGCAGCCAAATACTCTGACCGCGCGATGTTGATTCTTGATGCGGAGGGCAAAACCGGAGCACCCGGAGAAAAATCCACTCGACCGCAGGGAGAACATGCAAACTCCAAATGTGCGGGCGTCAGGGTCGTTATTGAACCCACAACCTCCTGCGTACCAGGCGAGGGAGTTAACATATTGCTATCGTGGTGAGACGTTCATATCCATGACACTTGGTAGAGGTGCCAAACAACTGACGATAGGTAACACTGGTAAAAAAAAATAATAATAATCTGGCCTGGACTTTTGCAGCTGTTCTAGACTAATTTCAGGGTGCTGATTCCAAATCTGATCTCAGATTTGCTCTATCACATATAATTTTTATGCTATCAGCATACCCCATTTTCATTGATTTTACCCGAAATTAACTCTGTCACTTATGATTGCAAGTTGTTGCGAGTCAGTGACTGCTTTAGTGTTAAGATATGGTGCTGTATTTTTAGGATGGTGTGTTTATAATATCATTTTATGTAGATATCCACATTTATTTCATATTTTTCTTCTGCAGTTTTTATTGAAAATGAAATATTTGATATCTCAAAAAACCTGATGTATAGACAAAAACTGATACCAGATTTGGAATCAGCACCCCAAAGTTACCTTAAAACCGTTGGAATACCTTATTCCAGTAAAAGTGTGTTGACCAGTGTAATACATCCAATGATAATGGCAACGACGGGCTGATAATTCATGACGATTGCATTGCACGGAAAAAAGAAAAATCCTACTTCACAGCCCTGCGTCAATCCACTGCTGGATGAAGGCCTACTTCCCCATGCCGTATTGGCCATCTGCGTTCTCATCTAAACGTGCGTTTAAACAATTGTTTTGCTGCTATAAATGTCCAAATGATGAGCCACTTCGTTGAGCTGTCATTTGTGGTCAGGTCGCATTTGAAAAATATGTTAATTCCTCAGTGGGACTTTGCCTGGTAGGTTGGGGATGATTTAGTGTTGTATTTGTGTGTGTTTGGGTGATTTGTTTTCCTTAAATTTCGATGTAAAGCTTTCGTGACTGCAGGGATTCATCTTCTTGGTTTTTTCAGTACAGTCACGTAGAAGGGAAATAATAAAAGAAACAAAATAAAACATAGTAAAATTAAAGATTTAATGTTTTATTTTTATTATTTTATTATTTCCCTTCTACGTCATTTGATAATATAAAATATTTTACTATGTTTTATTTTACTATTTTATTATTTCCCTTCTACGTGACTTTACCAAAAGAACCAAGAAGTAGTTTACCTTACTTGTAATTTGCGCTACAACCGTGTGTTTGTATTGTTATTGTAATGTTCTCACCTGACCCCACTGGACTTCTGTGGCAAAAGAGCAGATCCCTCCAGGATGAATAAATATTCTCAGAACATTCATTCCATCCTGGAGGGATCCGACGAGCTACAGAGATCTTCCGCCACAGGCGTCCAGCGGCTCATCCGCGATCGTTTCGCTCTGCGCTTCTACGACCTCTTCGAGGCAGAGGTCGCAAACGGGTTTTGATTCCTTACCCGTACCCGTACCCGGCCGCACCAGGGTCGCAAATGGGTACCCGTACCTGGCTGGGTACGGGTACCCGTTCCCTACCCGTACCCGTACCCTACCCGAAATGAGTGACAAACGGTTACTCATCTTCTTGGTTCTTTCGGTAAAGTCACGTAGAAGGGAAGTAATAAAAAAATAAAATAAAAAAATATTGTATTACTTCTACGTGACTTTACCGAAAGAACCAAGAATATGAATCCCTGCAGTCACGAAAGTTTTAAATCGAAACAGTTACTCACCAGTGACTCACGGCCTACCCGTAACCGTACCCGGCCGCACCAGTGTCGCAAACGGCTACCCGTACCTGGCCGGGTACGGGTAGGCGGGTATCGGGTAGGGTACGGGTATCGGGTAGGGTACGGGTATTGGGTACGGTACGGGTATCGGGTAGGGTACGGGTACCGGGTAGGGTACGGGTATTGGGTACGGTACGGGTATCGGGTAGGGTACGGGTATCGGGTAGGGTACGGGTATCGGGTAGGGTACGGGTATCGGGTAGGGTACGGGTATCGGGTAGGGTACGGGTATCGGGGAGGGTACGGCTATCGGGTAGGGTACGGGTATCGGGTACCCAGTTGCGACCCCTGCTTCGAGGGGACTCATCCTGAACGTGTCCCGTCGTCATTGACGCCGTCGCCCACAGGGAGACGTCCGAGACCTGGGGCGGCTGCTCATGCAGGGCGCGTTCAGCGTGTGGGCCGAGAGCCGCAAGGGCCACAGCAAGGTGAAGGAGCTGGCGCGCTTCAAGCCCATGCAGCGCCACCTCTTCCTCTACCCCAAGCTGCTGCTCTTCTGCAAGCGCCGCGAGGAGACGGGGGAGGGGTACGAGAAGGCGCCTTCCTACAGCTTCAAGCACGCCTTGAAGGTGCGTGCGTGCGTGTGTGCGCGCGTGCGTGCGTGTGTGCGTGCGTGTGTGTGCGAGGGTGTGTTCGCGTGTGGTGAGCGGCAACAACAACAACAACAGCGGTTAGCGCGCCGTGATACAGACACCGGCAATTATTTGTATACATATGTTGTTTTATTATTTGAAAATATATTGGTAAACGATTTGTTTACCTTTTCTATACTTTGCACTCATATCGTGTTTTGGTATTGTTTGTTGTTGAAACGTTCTGACCCCGTGCCCCCACTGGACATCTGTGACAAGAAGCTTTATAGCTCACCGTATTCCTCCAGCGCACATCAATATATTTTGATTGTGATTCTGAATTTCCGAGTTCGATTTCCGCTCGCGGTCAGCACGGCGACGATGTGATGAATATCTGGAGCGGTCGTCGATTCAGCCCAAAATGAGCACCTGCTGTGATGTGTGAACGTCAGCACTGGGAAGACGAAAGGTCACCAGCCGTGCAACTGGCCCCACCGTCTCCTCTTGCACCGTGCTGACCTTTGCAGTTGTTCACAATTACAGACACAAAGAATGTCCGTAGAAATTCTTTGGGGCACGTGCTGATAGCGACCACCTATGAAGGCCATCACGGCACAGGATGGGGTGGAGTGGCCAGTACCACGCCTGGCTAAATGACAGATCTTCTGTATACGCAGTAAACAATTGTTAATTCTCGATTTAAAGCTTTCGTGACTGCAGGGATTCATCTTCTTGGTTCTTTCGGAAAGACTTTCCGACAGACCTGTACTTCACCTGAGCAAGGCTGCTTGTGTTGTGGCTGAAATGTCGTGAGAATGATTTTATTATGTTTTTTATTTTTTATTTTATTATTTCCCTTCTACGTGACTTTACCGAAAGAACCAAGAAGATGAATTGTTAATTCGACACATATGGGGCTCTGGCCTTGCCGAATTATCCAATATTCCGAAGTATGTACAATCGTACTCCCCAGTGCCTCCTGCCCCAATTAAAAAAATGAAAAACTTGTTTTCCAAAAAATATTCCTAGGAAAAAGTAAACGCTTACCATGAGTGACCAACACAGCAGGCGAAGAAGGAGGATGTGGTAGGTTCCACGTGGTAGTTGACAGAGGTTGTGGAGTGTGACCTTAATGCACTTAGGATGCACTGACTGTACATGCATGTTCACTTTATCACTAAATTGTAACTTAAACCGAGTCGTTGTTTTATACTCTTAGTTCTTTCGTTGTTTTAGTCGTGACGCATGGCGTCGCTCCACGTGCATGCCGAAATTGGACCATTCGGTATGGCAATTCGACTCATAGCGAATTACTAATACACAGTATCTGCCGAAAGCGCAGCCGTGCCGAAATATCCCCAATTACGAATGATCAAATACCGAAATAACGAGGTTTAACTGCGTGCCGAGCGTCTTTCGCGCCGTACATAGCCAACGGTGCTAATCGTAGGTGCGTGGCAAGGACGTATAAACCTCCACCGAGGGTGACTGCGCGACGAGAGATAAGTTCGTGCTGCGCCGATTTCAGCGTCGCAGGATTGTGAGAGGCGGCGCCGGCTTGGGGTAGGCCTTCATCCAGCAGTAGATTGATCATGGCTGATGGCGATGATTCAAAACGCCGGTGTCCCTTCACTTTCCCACCCGCAGATGGATGGAGTGGGCATCACTGAGGTGGCCAAGGGCGATCAGAAGAAGTTTGAGGTCAGCTACAATGGGCGTGAGGAGGTCTACACAATACAGGTAAAGCTCCTAACCCTAAAGCACGTGTCACGACCGTCAATAACCGCACGCAACTAAATCATAAACAAGCGTTTTTTTTTCACGTTGCGAAAATGGTGTTTGTCTGATCGTTCTTTATTTGGTTTAACACGTAGGCTTTTGCGAACAATATCATTAATGATAGAGTTTATTTAGGGTTTGATCGCGTAAATATCTAAATGTATCGTAGTCAGATTGTAAATGTTGTGGCTTGGCTCTCCAACACACCGGTGTGCTGTACTAGTGACGAATTGGCCACGTTCTGTTTACGTGACAACCCTCAATAGTCAGCTGTGTCAGGTGGTGGCGAGTTTAACGACACATTTATTTACGTGATCTAACCCAAAAAACGTTCTTTATTTGTTACCCATAGTCCTTCACAATCAGCCTACTGGCTTTGCGGAAAAACAATATCCTGCAGCATTGGATTTAGGCGAGCAAACCATTGACCGATTTCCGCCTTCTGGGTCGCATCAGCAGTGAGGCTGGTTGAACAATCGCTGCTGCTTTTGCTGGATGTCATTGGCAAGAGCGCCCCTGTCCGTCTCAACGAGTGTGTAAAAAATTAACCCGTAAAAACAAAGTTTTTCACTATAAATCCTTTATATGCGTGGCAGCTAGAGTCCTCTCGTCCTCTGGCTTGAGATGGCTGCCACCTATGGGTCAGATGATTGCCTGCCACCATTAAGCAATTAGTAATTAAATATAATTTATTTTTTCCTAAAAAGTGTAAAATTTAGGTAAAAAATTTTCATGGAAATAAATTGTCACGCACAACGAGTCTGTGTGCAAAATGTCAGCTCGATTGGATCACGGGAAGTGGGTTAAAAAACGACCGAAAGATTTGCACGGTCGTAAGCGCGCAAGCAAGCAAATGAACTTAATATAAAGGATTTAAAAAGCAGTCGTGGGGCGGTGAGGTGGTCCCAGCGACGGCGCGTGCACCACTTGCTGCAGGGGACTTGCGGTTGAAATCCAGACGGCCGCCCTGGTTGTTGTCATGACGAGTGGATTCACCCACAAGTGTGCGCCGTCTGCATCATAGTGGCCTTTCAAGGTCCCCTGATTCATATTCTTAGGTTTTTTTTCTCGGTAAAGTGACGTAGGTAAAAACATTAAAAAGTAAAATAAAATAAAAATCACGACGTTTCGGAGGCAATACAAGCTTCCATCTTCAGGTGGTACCGTCACAGCCACGACAGCTGTATCAAGCTGTATTACTTGATACAGCTGTCGTGGCTGTGACGGTACCACCTGAAGACGGAAGCTTGTGTTGCCTCCGAAACGTCTCAAGCTGTATTACTTGATACAGCTGTCGTGGCTGTGACGGTACCACCTGAAGACGGAAGCTTGTGTTGCCTCCGAAACGTCGTGATTTTTATTTTATTTTACTTTTTAATGTTTTTACCTACGTGACTTTACCGAGAAAAAAAAAACTAAGAATATGAATCATTGCAGTCACGAAAGCTTCAAATCTAGGTCCCCTGATATCATTCGCAAAGAGGAGGCCATTGGTTGCTGGCACCATGGTTCAAATTTGCCATCTTCGAAAATTGCCTGCGTGTCACGGAATTGGGATTGCTCGTAGAAATCGTCTCCACATTGCAGGCCAGGACCTGAATCTAAACTAAATTAACGTAATTTAACTTTTTATTTTAGCAGGTAAGGCCCACTGAGCTATGTAGCTCTTTTTCAGAATTGGCCTGGCCACAAACGATAGCTCCATTAAGTGGCTTATTAAGTGGACATTTATAGCAGCCAGATACTCTGAGCGCATGATTCTAAATTGCGGAGGGAAAAGCCGGAGGACCCAGAGAAAAATCCACATGACTACAGGGAGGTGGAACACGCAAACTCAAAGTATAAAGCAGGCGTCCGGGTCGGGGTTGAACCCGCGACCTCCTGTGTACCAGACGGGGTAGTTAACATCTCCGAGCCACCGTGTTATCCATCACCCTCCACTGGGGGGTGCCATTGCAAATGTTTGAGATGAAAAGAGCGCTCTGAGTTTCCTTGGTCTAGAGCAAGGGCGGGGAACCTTTTTTCTGCCAAGGGCCATTTGGATATTTACAACATCATTTGCGGGCCATACAAAATTATCAACTTTAAAATTAGCCCGTTATATTTTGTCAAACATTTAATTAACTCGCCCCTAATTTGATGGCTGGAACTGCTTCTCTTTGGCGAGGCGCGTGGTGATGTTAGCTGGTATTGATGATGTTGCTACTCGCAGCTGCTTTTCCAGGTTTGCTCCTAGATTTATTGAATTTCGAGTCCCGCCTGCGGTTGCCTTGGCAGGGCCACACCAAATGATTTCGTGGGCCTCATACGGCCCGCGGGCTGGACGTTCCCCACCCCTGGTCTAGAGAGTGCTACATAAAAAAAAAATCGTAATTAGCACGTGTTTTTTTTTATTGCGACTTAACACGAACCAGCCCAGTACAAAACACTGGTCCCACTACAGGGGTGAGGGGGTGCAGAGGGGAGGGATAGAAACTCCACGAGCAAAAATCCTAGACCGGGCACATCCACGACTTAACGAAAGTGGATATTCGGGCTCTCTGCCCCATGATTAGCATACGTTGTGCAAATGCTGCTGGATAATATCAGTCTGCAAAGCCAATAGGTCAACGAATGGAACGTATTTTACTTGATAGGTGGCGGCACAGAACTATTGTGGAGGTTGCATAATGATAAAACGACGTTGACGTTAGATTCCAGATTTGAAGCTTTCGTGACTGCAAGGATTCATACTCTTAGGTTTTTTCGGTAAAGTCACGTAGATAAAAATAAATCAAATATAATAGAAATAATAGAAATAAATTAATACAGTAAATTCAGCTGTGACGGTCCCACCTGATGACGGAGACTTGTGTTGCCTCCGAAACGTCGTGATTTATTATTCTATTTCTATTATTATTTCTATTATATTTTATTTATTTTTACCTACGTGACTTTACCGAAATAACCTAAGAGTTGACGTTAGAGTCGGGCACATGATGTCACCGATGTCACAGTGGCCTTCTGCCTTCCTAGAAATCGGCAAGAGGTTGCGCGAACACCGCCACAGTTGTGACACAAGCTGCTCGTCGAGATAAATCACGCACGCAAGTCAGTCCCGTCATGTAAGAGCACATTACGTTTAAATTTAATCCTGCAGAAGTTTATTTTTTTTTTATTTTTTAGCAAAGCGTATGGCGGTTTATAGGAGCCGTGGATAGTATCCCCCCCCCCGCCCGCCCCGCATTGAGATGGATTTTTGGAGTTTAGCTTCATTTTTTTTTACCCATCATGCTCCGCAACAGCGCGGTAATGAGTTCGTGTACATTTCCGCATGCACCGTGGCGGATGTGGGGCACGTTGCTCAAGCATAGACTGGGTCCCTTGACGAATTATGAAATCTGGTGCCCATTTATGTTTGCCTCATCATCATCATCACCGCCACGGTCCATCGGCATCCGCTGCACATTTCGTCATTTGCTTCCAGTTTCGTCTCGTGCCAGTTGCTCAAGGAGTGTCCACATCTTTGTGGCACCAATCTCGTATGATTCTCTTCGTGGCACCAATTAATTACCTTTGTGGCACCGTCAATTATCTTTGTGGCACCGATTGTGGCACCAGTCTTTGTGGCATCAATCTCTTATGATTCTCTTTGAGGTCTTCCTCCCTTTCCAGTTGCTTCTGAGTTTTTTTAATCTCCAAACAGCAAACAACAACAATAACAACACACTTTGGTTCATGTCGAAAATAAAATCAAAGAGTAATAGAATACGATGTTTCGGTTGCAACACCAGCAGCCATCATCGGGTCAGAATGAATGATAAAACACAGACACGGGAACAGCATAGGCAGACACACGTGCAGAGAGTAATTCGTGCAGTCACGAAAACTTGGAATCTAGTTTCATAACAACAAACTTTAAATGGCCCTGTTGTTGTCCATCCTACATTATGTGCCCTGTTCTACCTTACCTATTATTTATCGATGTTTCAATACATTTATATTCATCCATCCAAAGCAAACCAAATCATCGGTACCTTTTAGGGGCCGTCCATAAATGACGTCACGCACCTGGGGAGGGGGGTGCCAGACATTTGTAACGATGTGTGACGAGTGGGGGGGGGGGGGGGGGGGTGAGAAATATGACGTCACGTAAAAATGCGCAACTTTAAATAAATATAGAATTGTTATAACAACACTAATTGTTATAACAACACTCCTACAACATCAGAGTGCAGCGCCACATTAAATACGCACTACAATGACAATAGTTTAAAGCGATTTGAAGCATTTTTTCGATTTAAAGCTTTCGTGACTGCAGGGATTCATATTCTTGGTTCTTTCGGTAAAGTCACGTAGAAGAGAAATAATACAATAATAAAACATAAACTTAATAAAATAAAATAAATTAAAATAAAAAATAAAATAAAACATATTTCCGTTCTACGTGACTTTACCGAAAGAACCAATAAGATTTGAAGCATGTTTTATTTTCAAAATGGAAATATGGTTTTGGGGGGGTGGGGGGCAGAGCTTTGTGACGTCATATTTGAGGGGGGGGTCTGACTTTTTGTGACGCCGTGTGACGATGGAGGGAGGGGGTCAAAAATCGCCAAAAATCGTCCAAAATCGCGTGACGTCATTTATGGACGGTCCCTTAGCGCGTGCGGCAATTGTTTGAGGCTCACGAAGGGGGCTCTTATCACGTTTCGAGACGGGCGGAGCGCTGCAGTAAATGTGCACTAGGGGGCGACGTTGCCGCACGCTAAATATTATTCGGTCACCTTTTAAAATTTGGCAAAAGAAAAATTCGGACCATGACGCCAGAGGTCGCAAACGGGTTTTGATTCCTTACCCGTACCCGGCCGCACCAGGGTCGCAAACGGGTACCCGTACGGGTAGCCGGGTATCGGGTAGGGTACGGGTATCGGGTACCCGGTTGCGAACTCTGCATGACGCCCCGGCGCGCAGTGTCTGCGGTTGTTTTTTTGGGTTTGTTCTCGAAACGACGTCAGGGAATCTTGGACGTCCGCTGTGAATCCGTCGGCGTATATTTTATATATTTTAATACTTTATTGTTAATGCACGCGCAGTATTATTTAGGCCGGCCTAACAAATTTGCACAGCACACCACATCTTTGCAACAGGCGAGGTAGATAGACATTTACACTATGAGACATCTCCTTTACCAGTGGCAAATATAGTAATAGGTTTTTACCCTTTCAACTGGTACAAAAACTGACACCTTTATACAAGGCATCATGTTTGCAATAACCACAACACAAGCAGTCAAAATGCAAACAAAAAGAAACAACTCTGATAATGATAATGATATGCACTGTCCTCAAGGAGTTGTTCCTTTTTGTTTGCATTTTGACTGCTTGTGTTGTGGTTATTGCAAACATGATGCCTTGTATAAAGGTGTCAGTTTTTGTACCAGTTGAAAGGGTAAAAACCTATTACTAGGCGAGGTAGAGTTAATGACAAATATTGTGAGTGGTTGTTTTGTATTCGTTCTTATGTACCCCTGATTTTGTGTTTGCTCTGTATATTGATATTTATATATATGTTTCCTTATTTGTTTCAGGCATCCTCAGTGGAAGTGAAGACGGCTTGGGTGCATGAGATCAGAAAGGTTCTGACAAGTCAACTGGAAGCCTGCAAAGGTCAGATGTCGCACTGCCGCAGTCAAGCTGGATGAAACGATGAAAGTGCGGTGCAACACGAGCCGATAGGGGGCGCCACGGTGGCTATGAGACGTTAACTACCTCGCCTGGTGTGCAGGATGTCGTGGGTTCGATCCCGACCCTGACGTCTGCTGTGTATTTGGAGTTTGCGTGTCTCTCATCATCATCACCACGGTGGCTATGAGATGTTAACTACCTCGCCTGGTGCGCAGGATGTCGCGGGTTCGATCCCGACCCTGACGTCTGCTGTGTATTTGGAGTTTGCGTGTCTCTCATCATCATCACCACGGTGGCTCGGAGATGTTAACTACCTCGCCTGGTGCGCAGGATGTCGCGGGTTCGATCTCGACCCTGATGCCTGCTGTGTATTTGGAGTTTGCGTGTCTCTCATCATCATCACCACGGTGGCTAGGAGATGTTAACTACCTCGCCTGGTGCGCAGGATGTCGCGGGTTCGATCTCGACCCTGATGCCTGCTGTGTATTTGGAGTTTGCGTGTCTCTCATCATCATCACCACGGTGGCTAGGAGATGTTAACTACCTCGCCTGGTGTGCAGGATGTCGCGGGTTCATTCTCGACCCTGATGCCTGCTGCTGTTTATTTGGAGTTCGGGTCTCTCTCCCATTTGTCCTGTGGATTTTTCTCCGGGTCCTCCGGTTTTTCCCTCCACGTTAAGAATCAACATGCATTCAGAGTATTTGTCTGCTATAAATGTGGACATGATAAGCCACTTTGTTGAGCGAAGTGGCTTATCATGTGCTACATAGCTCAGTGGACCTTACCTGGTAAAATAGAAATTGTTTAGTTTTTAGTTTAAATTGTCGCTAGTTGCAGAGGTTCGCGGTTCGGATCCGGCAGGCCACCCTGGCTACTACCGTGATGTGTGTCACCAATGAATGCACAGAGGACGTTAAAGACCCCTTGACGTCTTTCGAAACGAGTAGGCACATTGTGTGTCAACGCAAACAGTGCAACATTTTTCCAAATACGAAAAATTACACCGCACATTTACTCAAACTTGAGACTACACATCACATTTGTGGCCCTCCGCTGGCAGACTCCATGCCATGTGCAGGCCAGTGTCTCAAAGTGGCCTTCACCAACCCCACACTGACCGGCGTGACAACACGATCGTATAGACCCCACGACCCACAGAGTGGGGAGTCCCTCACGGTATCCCAGGTCCCAGGTTCCAGGCTCCCAGGTCCCTGGTCTGTGTCGCTGAGACACCAGGTGACCCAACGCCTCCACCCATCGAGACGCTGCACCATCAGCGAATACACACCAACATGCACAGAGACCCGTAGACTCTCACAGAGACCCGTAGGCTTTCATAGAGATCCGTAGACTCTCACCGAGAGCCATAGACTCTCACAGAGACCCATAGACTCTCACCGAGAGCCATAGACTCTCACCGAGAGACTATAGTACTCACAGAGAGACCTATAGACTCGCACAGAGACCCATAGACTCACACAGAGACCCATAGACTCACACAGAGACCCATAGACTCACACAGAGACCCATAGACTCCCACAGAGACCCATAGACTCACACATAGACCCGTAGACTCTCACAGAGACCAATAAACTCACACAGAGACCCGTAGACTTTCATAGAGACCTACGAAAATCTATGGGTTGGCTACGTACGACGCTACATTTCGTGAAAAACAAGTTAAACGTACATACATACACATTTGAGTCTATGGATCTCTATACCATCAACGGGAGCTCCTCTCAAGTACCCCCAACAGATGCTATGCCCCTTTGTACAGTCTGGCCCCAGCTCATCAGCGATCATCTAAATTCCTTGTAAATATTCCCGAGAATAAGAATTGGAACAGCTGACGGAGGCTTGTTTTCCTCCTTTTAACGTCCTAAACCTTCCTTCAAAGCATGTTTCCGAAGCAGAAGATGAGGGCTGGATACACCCGCATTTGCGGAAAGTTATTTTTGACGTTGATCCTTGTCCGTGTAGCGATAGTTCAATTTTAAAGTGCCATTTTATAGAGCAGCAGCAGCAGGGTGACGTCATCATTTAACTCATCAGGTGCAATGATTTGAGGCGGAGGGGGGGGTTATTGTAATTATATACTAGATTGGTAATCAGTCAATTGTTGTGATTAGTAGTGAGTTGTAGGGCCCCTTCCGTGCTTGGACACTCCTCACCTTGACGTGTCTGGAGAGCAATCCAAAGTTTGACGCCACGCTGTTCTGTGCCACGTGCCTTCCAGAGGCAAGTCAGCTGCAGCAGAGGATCACGGACATTTCCTTCCAGTCTCCCATGAGCACCGGCACACCCAGTAGCCCTCTAAGGTGAGTAGATACTACTGCTACATTCCGATACAGCGACACGACATTCGCCACAGCGTCGAAGACGATCCCCTCGTCTGTTTTGCTAAATATTATTTCTGTCAGCGTAATCGTTGCTCGTTTGACCTGCTCAAAGAACGTCATTGGATGACTGAATAGTCGTGCAACAATTGAGCGCGACGATTCAAGTTCTCGCCATCAAATTGAAAGTACTGTGTCTACATGGATGTGTGTGTGTGTGGGGTGGTGGTGTAGCGGTTAGCGCGCTGCGCTACGAACCCGGCGGCCCGAGTTCGATTCCTGCTCATGGCCAACACCGGTGACGATTATCTGAACCGGTCCTGGGTCTCCCCTAGGTCGACTCGGCCTCGAATGAGCACCTTGTGCGGTGTGTAAACATCGCCACTGGGGAGACAAAGACGGCCGGGCGTGGTGTTGGTCACCCACCCCCTCGTGTGCCGTGCCGGCCTTCATAGGTGCTCGCTAACAGCACTTGCCCCAACATTCTGTTCAGTGTAAATGTAATAAATAATGAATCGTTCGCATTGGTTTTTGTTTTGGTTTCATTCAGAAACCAGCGGAAGAGCGGTTGGAGTCGAGTGAAAAGCCACTCGGAGCTCGTGACGATTCGCAACAGCAACGACGGCAAAAACGCGCGTGCCTCGGGTGAGCGTGCGCCGTGAGCGACGTCTAAACGTCGCCGTGCCTGCTGATGCGACACCCTCGTGCGTTGCATGTTTGTGGTTCTGGTTAGGCAGAGACCAGAGGTCGCAACCGGGTACCCGATACCCGTACCCTACCCGATACCCGGCTACCCGTACCCGGCCGGGTACGGGTAGCCGTTTGTGACCCTGGTGCGGCCGGGTACGGGTACGGGTAGGCCGTGAGTCACTGGTGAGTAACCGTTTGTCACTCATTTCGGGTAGGGTACGGGTAGGATACGGCTACCCGTACCCGGCCGGGTACGGGTACGGGTACCCATTTGCGACCCTTGTGCGGCCGGGTACGGGTAAGGAATCAAAACCCGTTTGCGACCTCTGGCAGAGACTCGTGTGAATGCGTGTGCACGTGTGCGTGACTCAGCCTCAAGTGAGTACCCGGCGCGGTGTGTAAACATCGCCACTGGGGAGACAAAGGCAGCCGGCGTGGTGCTGGCCACCCACACCCACGTGTCCCGCGCCGGTCTTCATAGGTGCTGCTCGCTAACAGCACTTGTCCCGGCAGTCTGTTCAGGCTACACGGGGGATCTTCGTCTTTGTTTCTGTGTGCCGTGTGAAAATCTGTGGGAGCGGAAAGTGGTGGCGTTGTGGTTAGAACTCCGTGCAACAAACGCGACACAGTTTCCTATAGCCCACGATAGGATAACATCGGTGGTGAATATTGAAACTGCTCCTGGGCCTTGCCTAGGTCGACTCAGTCTCAAATGAGTACCTGGTACGGTGTGTAAACATCGCCACTGGGGAGACAAAGGCGGTCGGCGTGGTGCTGACCACCCACCTCCTTGTGCGCAGTGCCGGCCTTCATAGGTGCTACTTGTGTTTAGTTTGTTGTCCTTCCCCCGTGCCTGAGATTAACACAATTGGCTTCGTACGGTGCGAAAGAAGTTCAACATAAAACGCTAACAGCACTTTCCCCAATCGTCTGTGAAGGCTATGTGGTGGATCTTTGTCCGTGTCATTCCACCAGCCATGCGCTAACCGCCTATCAATGTGTCTCCACGCCATCCAATATCCCAAATTAACCCTCCCTTGCCCCCCCCCACCCAACTGATTTGTTGCTTACAACAAAATGAAGATCGCACAGCCCTCGACAACGCGTCCAAGAGATTCACGATTCCCAGCGCGCGAGCTCCCAGAGGTGAGAACACAGCACACAACCCCTGCCACCCCGCCGGTGGCGCGTCAACCACCATAACTATTGTAAAGATTTTTTGTTTTTATTTAATTTTACCAAATAAGGGCCCACTGAGCTATGTGCAGTAAAACCTTGGATTGCGATCATAATTCGTTCCGGAAATGTGTTTGTAATCCAAAGCACTCATGTATCAGTTGTGATCACGTGACGCTCGGCAGACAAAGCGTGTACACGTACTACTTGTACTGCAAGACCTCGCTCGTTTATCAAATTTATATTTACTTTAAAAATTTGCTCGTCTTGCAAAACACTCGCAGACCAAGTTACTCGCAATCCAAGGTGTTAGTGCAGCTCTTTATCAGAAGGGACGTGGCAATTACAAATGATAGCTCAACGAAGTGGCTTATCATCGTGCGTGGAAATTTACAAATCCCATCAGCCACCGCTGCCTTCTGGGAATTCATAATTTCAGCAGGATTGGTTCAACACAAGCAAACTCTGTACTAGTTTTGACATTCAATCTATGATCAGCAGAGTCAGACTTGTTTGAACTAATGCCTGTGAACTGTCAGATGTATATCTGTATCGGTATACAGGAGGTCGTGGACTAAATTCCGACCCTGACGCTTGTTGTACATTTGGAGTTTTCGTGTTCTCCCTGTGGTGGCTGATGGGATTTGTAAATTTCCACACACGATGATAAGCCACTTCGTTGAGCTATCATTTGTGATCGCCACGTCCCTTCTGATAAAAAGAGCTGCACTAACACCTTGGATTGCGAGTAACTTGGTCTGCGAGTGTTTTGTAAGACGAGCAAAATTTTTAAATAAATATTAATTTGATAAACGAGCGAGGTCTTGCAATACGAGTAGTACGTGTACACGCTTTGTCTGCCCAGCGTCACGTGATCACAACTGATATAGGAGTGCTTTGATATACGAGTGCTTTGGATTACAAACACGTTTCCGTAACGAATTATGCTCGCAATCCAAGGTTTTACTGTACATAACTCAGTGGGCCTTACCTGGTCAAATAACATTTTTTTAGTTGAGTTTAATCGTGTGAAGACAAGGACGATGTCGCAGAAGTAGTTCTGTGATGTCCCATTCCACGGGAACATTCTTGGACATTTGGCGACACGCACACTTCTCGGAAACAATTCTGAATGGACAAGAAGCGGAAAGTAGAACCGAAATAAGAACTGGGGAAAGGATCTTGCGTTTCTGTAAACGTTGAAGGAATATATTAACTGCTGAACTTGCTTTATTTTATACTCTTTGGTTGTTTCGGTAAAGTCACGTGGCTGCAAATAATCAAGATTGCTTTATTTTATTCTCGTCTTTTGTTCACACTCTGCTGATTTCTCTCTTCCCAGCCCTGTCGTGCCTATCCTCAATGAAGAGCGGATCCACGTTGTAGATCCGCGAGCGTCGGATTGCTGCCTAGAATTCTAGCGCCGCACCGCTGCACCCGTAGACTCCGCTTTAGTAGAACAAAAATACCGCACGCGCGGCGATTTCTTAGCCCCCGTGCCCCCGTGCCCTTTGCCCTCCTTCACCTCCCTGCTCCCATACCTCGTTAACCTCGCTCGCCCTCCATTAATGCTGCTGCCACCTCCGTCGACTCCGCGCTGACCTCTTCCGTGACCCCTCACCCTGACCGCTTCTCCTCATTATCCCCTCATCCCCTCGCCCCCCCCCGCCCTCATATTCCATTTGACCCCTGACCCCCTCGTAGACTCCCAGATTGACCTGTCCGGTGTGAATCGTCGCTACTCGGCCGCCCCCGCTCTGGGGTGCTCTCCGAAGCGCCAGCCATCGGGTAAAGGTGAACCCACAGCCCCGTTACATCCGGTTCACGTGCCCACTTTCCGTTTGAGCGAAACCGTCGTCCACGTGCGCACTCACTCACTCACATACTCACACACACACTCACTCACACACACACACACTCACTCACATACTCACACACACACTCACTCACACACTCACTCACACACTCACTCACATACTCACACACACACTCACTCACACACTCACTCACACACACACTCACTCACTCACATACTCACTCACATACTCACTCACTCACTCACACTCAGTCACTCACACACTCAGTCACTCACTCACTCACTCAATCACTCACTCACTCAATCACTCACTCACACACTCACTCATGCACTCACTCACATACTCACACACTCACTCACTCACATACTCACACACACACTCACTCACACACTCACTCACATACTCACACACACACTCACTCACATACTCACACACTCACTCACTCACATACTCACACACTCACTCACTCACACACTGACTCACATACTCACACACTCACTCACTCACATACTCACACACACACTCACTCACACACTCACTCACATACTCACTCACACACACACTCACTCACATACTCACACACACACTCACTCACACACTCACTCACTCACACACTCACTCACACACTCACTCACTCACATACTCAATCGCCCGCGTGAAGGTCACGTTGCGAATCTTTGGGGTAGCTGCTGCGGAGTGGTGGTTAGTGACACACCGGGGCCTGCAATTTCGCAGGTCGCAAGTCCAATTCGATATTCCGGTTGAAAAACAATTGGCGACTAAGAAGGCATTGTCCGTTGTGGGGATCTTCTTTTGTGTGAGAATGCACAGAACAAATTACTGTCCCCCTCCCGCCCGACCTCTGGCCAGCCCAGCAGCACTCGCCGTGATCACTTCGTGACCTTTGTCCTTTGCCTCCGATGTTGATGATAAAGGCCTCTTGCTTCGTCCTCTGCCCGATGACGAGCGCAGAGCCTCCTGCGAGTCCGGCCAAGGCCAAACGGCACGAGGTGAAGAGCGACCCCACTCCTTTGGGCTACCGAGGTGAGAGGACAGCATCGTCAGCATCGTCACGTCATCATCATCATCGTCATCATCGTCAGCATTGTCATCATCGTCAGCATTGTCATCATCGTCAGCATCATCATCATCGTCATCATTGTCATCATCGTCAGCATCGTCATCATCGTCAGCATCATCGGCATCGTCATCATCGTCAGCATCGTCGTCATCATCGTCATCATCGTCGGCATCGTCATCATCGTCGTCATCATCATCAGCATCGTCATCATCGTCAGCATCATCATCATCGTCATCATCGTCATCATCGTCGGCATCATCATCATCGTCATCATCGTCGGCATCCTCGGCATCGTCATCATCATCAGCATCGTCAGCATCGTCGGCAACATTGTCATCAGCAGCAGAAGCAGCATCACCTTCGTTCTCATAATTGCAGCAGCGGTAGCATCGTGTTTGTAACGGGTTCCGGAGACACTTGTAGATGTACTTCTTTATTACAATACAACACTCCAACAGTACTCCAACTCTCCAACAGTACTCCAACTCTCCAACAGTCCTGATACTCTGTTACAGCCTAGGTACACAGCCTAGCTACACAGCCTAGATACTCTACTCTGGCTACGCTCCGGAACTCGCCCTCACAAGGTCGTAGAGTCGGGAGTTCCAGAGTCCCAGCGCTGGCTCTCACAGCATCCCAGGGTCTTCAGATGGCTGGTCGTGGGTCTTGGGTCTTGAGTTACAACTGGGCCCCGATTGTCCAGGGAGCTCTCCTTTTATGCCTGGTCCGACGAGGGGTGGGGCCGTGTGCGCCACCAGACATCCCACAGAGCACACACAGCCCCCCCCCCCCGTTGGCGGCGCCCAGGGGATTAAGCGCCTGGGAACTCAACGCCTGGCGCCGAGAGGCTTAAGCGTCTGGACTCGCCTGGGATCCCAGAGCCCCCAGCAGCCCCTCCCTTCTTATGTCACTACATGTTTAACGGCAGCATCATCATCAGCAACAGCAGCATCAGGAAAAGCAGCACCTTCTTTGTTATCTTCACAGGCAGCAGCAGCAAAACTGTAGCATCATCAGCAGCCGTGCACAAATCCAATTACACAAAATTTGGGTAGAATTCTTCTTGGTTCTTTCGGTAAAGTCACGTAGAAGGGAAGCAATAAAATAATAAAAATAAAACATAATAAAATAAAATAATTCTCACGACGTTTCGGCCACAACGCAAGCAGCCGTCCTCAGGTGAAGAATGAGACATTACCAAGCTAGGAGCTAATATATACGCTGCGTTGGAGGTGCAAGAGCGCCTTAACAAAAAGGAATGTGCATATGAAGAGGAATTTAGCATATTCATGGGAAATGCGTAGGAGGTGGGTGGGGGGGTCATAGTCATATTTGCCCATGCATTATGCAGGATCAACAGCACCAAGGGGGGGTGCAGTAGCATTAACAAAGGAAAAGAATGTTAATAGTATGTAGCTGCAGTTACTAAACAACAACGTAGAAAACTAAAGTATAAACTACATAAAAAACTAAAGTATAAACTGCATAGCACCATCAGTATACTTACTATACTCTACAATAAGCTGAGTTACTAACAACAAGTAATACATTACAATTCTACGTCGTAAAAAATTATATAATATGCTTCCATCTAAACTTTATTCTCTTACATCACACGAGCATACACCGTACTATATACTGCCATAGATAAACCCAACATTAAATTATATACTGTATTGCTATAAACCACCTTATACATTTTAATATAACACTATGTATTATTCTACTCACCCTAATGTGTATCACACTGCTATATATTTACTATACAATTACGATACTATATATTACTTTGTACATTGTATTAAGCATATAAATGTTATACTATTTGTTATTATACGCTGTACCATTGACCGTCGTATCAATGGGTGAGTCGTGGGGGGGAAACTTGCAGCGGAGCAAAGAATCCATTCCCTGCGGAGAATACAATGCCAGTGAGTGGAACGCGGTCTGAAAGTCACCGTAAACATGAACACAATCAGTTAAGATCCGAAATGGTTTATTACGTCCTTCCAATGATTGCTAAGCCAGAATCCATCTTCTCGGTTAAAATTGTCTCTGTGTTTGTATATGTGGATCGCCTCATGAACGAATCTCTCATGATAGCCAGATGGCTTGCAGAGAACCTCTGTCTTGGAGAAGTCAATGTCAAGCTTTAAATCGAAATTTGGGTAGAATTGTTAATAAAATCCATCCGAGTTGTTTCGTGTGTTTTTTTTCCCCGTCTACCCTGTGGCGTTCTCACTCTTTTCTCTCACTGCCTCCGTCCTCGCTTTGCAGCCGCAGAGCCGCTGATCTCCGCACTCGACAAGGCCAAGTGCTTCAGCACCGGGAACCTGTCTCCCACGTCCCACATCCAGCCAGGTGAACCAGGCGCTGTGGCACATTCACCCCCCTTCCCCACTCGCGCAACCCGACCCGCGCCGGAGCCATGGCGAGCCCGCCCAGCGCGGCCCCAACGTTGGATGTTCCACTGCGCCGCTGACGTCACGCGCCGACGGCTTCCGCGTCACTGCGGTCGACAATGACCGGAGCGTCCGTTGGGACCTGCGGCGCGTACAAAAATTCTGGGGCGCGCTGTCGTCACGGGTGCCACGCGCGGTCCGACCGTGGTCCGTCCGCCACTCGCCGGGCTGTGTTGGCTTCTGGTCGTCGAACGAACGCGCTGTGAGGTCGCGCCCGTTGCACGCGAAGCGCTTGACGCAAATGATACCTCGCTGATCTTGTCAAGGAGCGTAAGCCATCACGTGAACCTCGGCCATCCCCGCAGCCGCAGCAGCAGCGGCGGGCGGCTTTGTCTGGCCGTTGAATGAACGCGGTCGACACCGTGTCGTGCGCTTTCAGATGCGCTTCTGCGGCCGTCTGGAACGCTCTTCCTTCCGATATTAGGAAGCCACTGGAGCTATGCACTTCTAGATCATGTAGTTGATTGAGTGTTCTTCACTAATTTTCAGAGGGGGCCACTGTCACCAATAAGACACCATTGTGAGGGCCGCCGCACCGCCTGCAAGGGGTGTTCTCACACGGTGCGCATTGTCGCAGGGCCGCACGCCAGGGGCCACGCTAAAGGTCACCAGGGGCCACGCTAAAGGCCACCAGGGGCCACGCTAAAGGCCACCAGGGGCCGCCATTGGCCCGCGGGGCCTTACGACGAAGAACACCGATCTAGATTGAAAACTCATTTCTTTAGAACTCCTTCTTGTGTGTTTAGTTTGTTGTCCGTCCCGCGCACCTCCGATTAGCATGGTTGGCTACGTACGGTAGAAAAGAAGTTCAACATACATGCCTACGTATCTCTCAGTGGGCCTTACCTGGTAAAATAAAAAAATATATTTACTAGTTAGTTACATTGAGGGACAGCGAGACAAACACGTGTTTAGAAAGAAAACTGCAGTCAATGACATAATTCACATTGTTAAGAAATGGTGAGCGGGTCCTGGCCAAGATGGGTCATGGTTAGAAAGATTGATGGAGCCGATGTTTCAAGGATAGTTACGGAGTGGCAGCCACTGAATGGACCGCACCTGAGTGGACGCCCCCCGGGGAGGTACAGCGATGAAATCAGCTCGTTCGCTACGTATGGTGCGAAAGAAGTTCAACATGCACACACCAATACAAATACCCGCCATTCGCCACTAAGTGACGGTGATGTTACTACGGCGCCCGTGCCAGGTTAGGTGCACTTTGAGGCCACGTGAAGTGTCGCAGGCTCGCTGCCAGGAGGTGACGTGATAGACCCAGCAGATCCCATAGATTGGCTGACTGAGATGACTTGCCGATGGATCAGCTGTGCCCCCACTGTGCCAACTCGCTGTATTTTAGCCGCTCAGCGCTCCGCTCATTGTTGTGAGCATCGCTCCTCATGTACACACAAAAACAAAAAGACAAAGATCCCCCGTATAGCCTTTAACAGACTATTGGAGCAAGTGTTGTTAGCGAGTTCTTGTTAGCGAGTTCTTTTCCTATGAAAGCTGGCACAGCACACGAGGGGTGTGTGGCGAAAACCACGCCCAGCCGCCTTTATCTCCCCAGTGGCAAAGCTTACACACAGCACCCGCTACTCATTTGAGACCGATTCGACCTAGGGGAGGCCCAAAACCGGTCCAGATCATTGTCGCGGGTGTTGGCCGTGAGCGGGAATCGAACTCGGCCCGCCGGGTTTCGTAGCGCGGCTCAGCGCTGACCGCCGCTCTGCGCAGATCGCACGCGGGGCGGCATGCTGACACCGGCGTCGCCCTGAACCCGCTCGCCCGTCCCACCCCCCACAGGGGACTGGCTGCCCAAGCCGGCGCCCACGGTGGACAACAACGAGGACTACGACGCGGGCTGGTCAAGCGCCGACGAGCTGATCAACTCGTCCGAGGCCGAGGACGAGCAGTCCACCTCGCAGGTGGGCCATCCAGCCGAGCCTTCCCATGTCCACCCTCCCGTGCCCACCTCCCCGTGTCCACCTCCTGTCCACGGATAGGCTCAGGGCAGCGGCGAGGTTGACGCACGTGCGTTCGTTTGTGTTCGGCCACTGGCTATGCGTTGTCTACGTCGTAAGCCCCGCCGCCGCCACTTGTTTGCGAGCGCCAGGTCGAGGCGTTACAGCTCAGTGGTGGCTTTACCCGGTGAAGTAAAATAATTGTTTAGTTTTGTTGTTGTTGTTATTATCGTCACGCGGCGTTAACTCCGTTACGAAGCACAAACGGTGACCACGCATGGAATTTGGGGGGCACAAGTTCCACGGGCAGAAGCCCCGGGGGGCTCAGTGCTCCTGGGTTTTCAGGAAGGGAGAGGAATTGGGCTCACTGGCCCACCCAGGTGGGGGTCTGCGAGCGGCAGCGCGAGAGTTTATATGGGGAAGGAAGGGTGGTGTGGGGGGGATATCAAAAGTAAGGGGATAAGGAAACGGACGTGATGTTTAACACTCGGGCTTTGGCGACCAACATTATCCGTAATATAGGGGTGTTTTTGGGGGGTAAAATCGCGTAAATATGTATCCCTCTATTTAGGACCAAAACAGGAGGATTTCTCCACAACTCTGGCTGTCGCCTGATGATGCTGGTTGTAATAACCGGCGAAACGTCACTGCGCTCGAATGGTAAAATGTTGTGGGTTTACTCACCAACGCACAAACCGGCGTGCTGAACTCGTAACGAATTGCCACGTTTAGTTTACGTGACAAACCCTAACTAATGGGCTGTGTCGGGTGGTGGCGGGTTTAACGACGCACTTACATATTCACGCGACGTAACCCAAAACAACCCTGTAATGTAGACGTCACGTCGATGTTCTGCTGAGGCCGAGGTGCCCTGTGTTTGTCCCGTGCAGTACACGGCTCCCGGGGACTATGAGGCTCAGACGGCAGAAGAGATCACCTTGAAGAAGGGGGAAGGCATCATTCTGCTGAAGGAGGACAGCGAGGGATACTGGTGCGGTCTTCCTCACGAGCGATCAATGAAATACGATAAATACATTTCCACATTTTAAAAAAAATCATTATTGTTGCGCGTGTAAGAGTCATGTGCAACAGCATTCGCTAAATGAAATGAAATACAATCGTTATCATCGTCACCAGCCGTGATCTACCCGCTGCTCGATCAAGGCCCTTCGAAAGCTGTCACCATTTCCCACAATCCTGTGACGCAACAATCCACCTAGCCATCTACACTCGAGCTGATTCCGTAGCTCCATCTCCACAGTGTGCGTCCTGTAGGATGAGTTGCCTCCCTTGGCTGTCCCTCAAAAGTCAATCTCGGCTGTTGACCATCGTAGCGTCTCACGATGTGCCCCACCGAAGGCCACTGAACTTGGTGCCATGTGTGCGGTGTGTCCATGCGTGTGTGCGGCGTGTCTGTGTGCAGGGTGCATCCGTGCATGTGCACACGTCTGTGTATGTGTCTTTTGAATTTTGGTGTGTCTGTGTGTGTTTTGTGCATCCGAGTGTGTGTGCGTTCGTGCGGGGAGTGCTAGTGTAGTGGTGAGCGCACTGCCCTATGTACCCAGCCACCCGAGTTTGATTCCCGCTCACGGCCAACACCAGTGGCGATTATCTAAACCGGTCATGGGCCTCCCCTAACTTCAAATGAGTACCTGGTGCGGTGTGTAAAAACATCACCACTGGGGAGACAAAGGCGGTCGGGCGTGGTGCTGGCCACCCAACTCCCTCGTGTGCCGTGCCGGCCTTCATAGGTGCTCACTAACAGCACTTGCCCTAACACCCTGTTAGGCTATATGGAGGATATTTGTCTTTATCTTTATATAGCGGTTAGCATGCTGCACTACAAACCCGGATACCCGAGTTCAATTCCCACTCACGGCCAACACCAGTGGCAATTATCTGAGCCGGTCCTGGGCCTCCCCTAGGCCGACTCAGCCTTAAATGAGTACCTGGTGCGACGTGTAAAGATCACCACCGAAGAGACAAAGGCGGTCGGGCGTGGTGTTGGCTACCCACTCCCTCGTTTGCCGTGCCGGCCTTCATAGGTGCTCGCTAACAGCACTTGCCCCAACAGTCTGCTCAAGGCTACACGGGGGATCTTCTTCTTTGTGCAGGCTGGTGAGGAGCAGTGTTTCACTCCGGGAAGGCCTCGTCCCGGGCTCTCACTTCAAGTCTCCCGGCATCGACTCCAAGTCCTGCCAGTCGCTCAGCAGCTCCGGGGAGGGCTTCCCGCACTCCGGTGAGTGCAGGAAACCCCCTTTCTTAGCGGCCACCCCTGTTCACGACTAATCGCTTAACGACGGGCCTCCATAGAGCCCAATGTGTAGTGTATAGTGTAGTGTATGCTCGCTTAACAAGCAAATCACTTAACGGCCGGTTTCGTGGAACCAATTACCGTCGTTAAGAGGGATTCTACTGTATGCACGTTGGCCCAATAGCCGATTGTCAAAACCCCCCCAAAAAACCTCCCATGCATTTAGATTGTTTAGATTACAGAGACTCCTCTAATATACGAACGAGTTATGTTCCAGAGGTCTGTTCGGAAGTCGATTTGTTTATAAGTCCAACCTCACTCCTCTCAATTCCAAACATGTTGTACGGCGTGTACACTAAACACAGGGAAAGTCGTATAATCTCCTGTAGACATAGATGCCACTGGTTCTTCATGTTCTGTAGATGTAGATGCCACTGGTTCTTCACGTTCTATAGATGTAGATACCACTGGTTCTTCATGTTCTATAGATGTAGATACCACTGGTTCTTCATGTTCTATAGATGTAGATACCACTGGTTCTTCATATTCTGTAGATGTAGATACCACTGGTTCTTCACGTTCTGCAGATGTAGATGTCACTGGTTCTTCACGTTCTGTAGATGGAGATGCCACTGGTTCTTCACGTTCTGCAGATGTAGATGCCACTGGTTCTTCACGTTCTGCAGATGTAGATGCCACTGGTTCTTCACGTTCTGTAGACGTAGATGCCACTGGTTCTTCATGTTCTGTAGATGTAGATGCCACTGGTTCTTCATGTTCTGTAGATGTAGATACCACTGGTTCTTCACATTCTGCAGATGTAGATGCCACTGGTTTTTCACGTTCTGCAGATGTAGATTCCACTGGTTCTTCACGTTCTGCAGATGTAGATGCCGCTGGTTCTTCACGTTCTGCAGATGTAGATGTCGCTGGTTCTTCACGTTCTGTAGATGTAGATGCCGCTGGTTCTTTACGTTCTGTAGATGTAGATGCCACTGGTTTTTCACGTTCTGCAGATGTAGATGCCACTGGTTCTTCACGATCTGCAGATGTAGATGCCACTGGTTCTTCGCGTTCTGCAGATGTAGATGCCACTGGTTCTTCATGTTCTGCAGATGTAGATGCCACTGGTTCTTCACGTTCTACAGATGTAGATGCCGCTGGTTCTTCACGTTCTGCAGATGTAGATGCCGCTGGTTCTTCACGTTCTGCAGATGTAGATGCCACTGGTTCTTCATGTTCTGCAGATGTTGATGCCACTGGTTCTTTACGTTCTGCAGATGTAGATGCCACTGGTTTTTCATGTTCTACTGATGTAGATGCCACTGGTTCTTCACGTTCTGCAGATGTAGATGCCCCTGTTTTTTATGTTCTACTGATGTAGATGCCACTGGTTCTTCATGTTCTGCAGATGTAGATGCCACTGGTTCTTCACATTCTGCAGATGTAGATGCCACTGGTTCTTCACGTTCTGCAGATGTAGATGCCACTGGTTCTTCACGTTCTGCAGATGTAGATGCCACTGGTTCTTCATGGTTTACTGATGTAGATGCCACTGGTTCTTCACGTTCTGCAGATGTTGATGCCACTGGTTCTTCACGTTCTGCAGATGTAGATGCCACTGGTTCTTCACGTTCTGCAGATGTTGATGCCACTGGTTCTTCACGTTCTGCAGATGTAGATGCCGCTGGTTCTTCATGTTCTGCAGATGTAGATGCCACTGGTTCTTCATGTTCTGCAGATGTTGATGCCACTGGTTCTTCACGTTCTGCAGATGTTGATGCCACTGGTTCTTCACGTTCTGCAGATGTTGATGCCACTGGTTCTTCACGTTCTGCAGATGTAGATGCCGCTGGTTCTTCATGTTCTGCAGATGTAGATGCCACTGGTTCTTCATGTTCTGCAGATGTTGATGCCACTGGTTCTTCACGTTCTGCAGATGTTGATGCCACTGGTTCTTCACGTTCTGCAGATGTTGATGCCACTGGTTCTTCACGTTCTGCAGATGTTGATGGCACCACATCCGTCTATTGCGCGGCGGTTGATCTTACAACCCTCGGTCCGAACAGGCAACTGGACATACGGACAGGTTTGTTCATATCTCTGAAAGTTCGTAAGTCGAATTTTCGTAAGTAGAGGAGTCCCTGTAAGCTCTGCAACACACGCGTGTCTCCATTCGTCTCTCAGCGTAATTACAAACGTGCATCTGTAAACGCTTTGTTTTTTTTTCACACACTCATCAGCTTTTGTTCCATGTCATTTAGCGAAATCATTCTCAGTCAACAACGCAAATCTCTCCTCTGTCTTTGCAGAGTCGGCATCGAGCAACTGAAACCCCCTCCACTGGACCTTCGGTGGGTGGTGGCGGGGGAGGTGATGAGATGTCCATCTGCTGAAGGAAGGAAATGAATGATGCACAAACTGACCGCAGTCTCTAAGAAAGCACTGTACACGTATATGTTTTTTGTACGTCTTTGTTTATTTCCCTTTTTAACTTCTCTGCTTTTTTCCGCCAAACTCAGGATGCGAGGCCGGGATGGGGGAGGGAGGATGGGGTGGGGGGGGTATCCGAAGATGAGCGGAGGAGTACTGCAACGCAATTTGAAAGAGCGTCTCGATCCAGTTGAAAGCGTAAAGGTTTAGTTTTGTGTCACCGCCAGTGGCGTACACGCACACTGATACGTCATCACATTTTGTTGTCCTTCCCCCGCACCTCCGATTAAGGCGGTTGGCTACGTACGGTGCGAAAGAAGTTCAATATACATACACACGGTGGGGAAACCCGTGGTCTTTCGCTGCAAGCCTGCCTCCTATTGAGTTCAAGTGGCCATTCTCGTAGGGTTGCCCACCTCTAGAGGTACAGAAAAACTGGGTCTTATAGTGGGAAGGGAGATCTACATCTAACTGACAAAAAAAACCAGAGTGTTTAATGCTTCACGTTCCGGGAAGACTTACAGATATTGCAGGACGGCCACCTCAAAAGAGAGGATGATCCTGGGAAAACCAGGACAGGTGGGCAAGGCTTTCAGGACTCATCCACCACAAGTTTGTGGCGGAGGGACACATTTGTGCCAAACGTGTGCCAAGTTTGTGGCGAAGCACCGTTGCATGCAATCGAAATGCGTCGGTAACTGAAACTCTTTCCAGGCATGGATTTATGTTAAGATTTTTTAAAAGAAAAAGCGACTTGGCACAAACACGAGCAGGTTGACTGCTGTGCGTGGGTATTCGCGGGTGCGCTGTTCAGCTGTCCAAAACGTGGTTATTTTGGTTCGTGCCGCGCGCATTTCGGTGTGACGGTCCCGACGTTTCGCGCTGCCGGGTGCCGCGAGCTTTTTCATGCCGCTCCGATTCGTGCACGTGGGAGAGCTTGTGCCGCGCAACCGCGAAAACCTTCGGAAGTAGTTTTCCTCTTAGGTGATTGGTTGGGTTCGTGTCCTGTTTCGGTGCAACCCTAAACGGATCGGAGAGATATTTTACTCAATAAAAAACTGAGGCTCCCACAAGGCCACGTGCGGGATGACGCGTGGCACAGTTTGGCGCCGGCTATCACATAGAATGCGGTCGTGTCGCTGCAGTTCTCTGCGGTGAGTACAAAGTCTTAAAAAACAACGGCGCTACGCCTCTCTTAAATAACATGAACGCTGAACACGCTCGCACGTTGCAAGATTCAGCGGTGAATGGGACCCCTACCCTGCAGCTTGCAGAGATGGCTCGGAACGGGAAAGGCTTAAAGGGGTTTGTTCCGTTTTTCGACTGCGTTTCAATGCTGAGCTGTGGTTTTGCACGGCCGATGCTGTCTCCTTCGCAAGCAGTTCCTCGGTTCCTTTGCCCAGCGCTCTGAATGTTGCTAGATCAGCCTCCACCGCATCCTTCCTTGGATTGCGCTGACGATGGGGGCCAGCCAAGTTGGTGTTCTCGGCTGTTGTCTCTCGAGTGGCTTGTGACTGGAGGGTGTTTTTCACGCGATACACGCGGCTCGCTCTCATTGGTTGCCGATACCTTTTCAAATGGAGACCACGACAACCCGTGTGAGAGCCACAGCCCAGCAATGGAAACACCACGATGCAGGCCGTCACCGTGCAATGCCACTGCACGGCCTGTGGTTTCCATAGCCCGGCAGCGGAAGCACGTGGCGTACGTTACAACGTCACGTATCCGTCACGTGTCCGAAACGGGTGTTTCAACATATCTGCAGTATGTGAGCAGTTCGTACTGCTCACACACTGCACTGGGTGTGCACACTAGACGGCAGATATGTGACTGTCGGATATGCAACATTGCACTGTGTACATTGGCATGCATTCTATCTGTTTCGACGCTCAGTCTACGCGGTGTCGTTTGTTCGTCCCAGCTTGGTGGTGCACGCTGGCAAGCCAGCGGTGAGAGGTTGGGAGGGTTGGTGGGTCGCGTGGAGATGAACTGGAGGACAGGCAGCGTGCCCCTTTGGTGGTGGGATGGCACGTCGAGGGTTGCACACAACAAAACAAACTGGGACATAAGATCGTGAGAAGAACATCACAATACCGGAAGAGGGGAGAAAACTACACGTGACTCCATGTCTCGAGCGGTGTATCGTTATCATTATTGTTACACAAATGATGAAAAGCTGGACTTGTAATGTCCCGGTAAGACTTACAGATTGTGCTGGATTGCTCGCAGTGTGGGAGATATTGTGAAGCCAGGATGGCTCGCAACCCCTTCAGCAGCCTGTAGCCTGTGGGTAACCAAACAGCATCCTGTAGGCAACCCGTAGTTTGTCTCATCCCTCCGAGGCACGGGCCCTGCCCTAGCACGCGCGGCCACTTGACTTGGAACGAGCCTCTGTCGGCCTATGCTGGTGGAGACGAGGCAGGCCTCTGCGTCTCTGTCCCCTGGACAGGCGCGCAGCTCACGCCGGCGATGATCGTGTTGGCCCCGCGTCGTATGAGCCACGCTCAGGCGCCACGCGCGCGCTGCTGAAGGTGTTCGTTCCATTTTCATTGCCATCACTGGCAACCCCCCCTCCCCCCCACGGCTGCAATTCTTGAAGGTATAGGGGTGAACCTTCACTAGATGGTCAACCATCGGATATCCGACCGTCACATATCCTCCCTGACGGAAGTAATCGCCCCCCCCCCCCCCACACACACAACCAGCGCAGGAGAATTTGTTTAACGGTGTAACTCGCTTTCTCTACACGTTTCACAAATTTGACCTTCCTCGAGCGTTCGCGCGTCGCAAACCTGCGGCGGTCACCGTCGCCTCGCTCAACCCGCGACTCTCCAAGGACCGTCGCTTCGTTGACGTTCCTTACGAAGGACCGCCACCGAATCGTATTCACCACTTGCATTGCGCGGCTCTTGAAATGTTGAGTTGTCGTCTTTTTTTTTATTCCACCGAATTCGAAATGAAAACGGCTGTCAGTTGTTTTTTTTCAGTCGCCCACCCGCCTGGCCTCGCGGCGGCTGCGTTTGCCACGTGTTGTGGAGGTTCGCGGTTCGAATCCCAGCGGCCGCCCTGATTAATACTGCGGATGGATTAACCGTAAATATAAATGTATATATACATAAAGCACGCCGTCTGATTCACGGTGGACGTTAAAAGAGCCCGTGACGTCGTTGGCAAAGGGTAGGCCGCTGTGTGCCGGCGTCGCGGCCCAAATAAAACAAATTCCCAGCGAAATTACTCGATTATAAATGCTGTACTGTACGTAGTACATGGCAATCATCGCCCCCCCCCCCCACCCTTTACTAAGAAATCTGTGCAGGACCCTCCTGAAAGGATCATGAGACTTGCCCCCCCCCCCCCCGAGTAAACATGCACAATAACAACGGATCAAATAATACCAATTATCAATCAGACCTACTTGTGAATGTTCACCGCGATGTTGCTGGCTCGCTCACTTCATATTTGTTTTGAAATCACTTCGCGACGCAGTATTTATTCACGACGACGACGGCGGCGGCCATGTGATCTCGATGACACTGACAGCTGATTTTCTTCCAGCTGTCTGAGCAGGGACTGGATAAAGAGAACCCCCATATGCAATTGACCGCCCCGACACAACGCTCCTCTGCGTTTCTCTACGGAACGAGTGTCCCCTTGGTCTGTCCCCTTGGTCTAAGCAACATAATTGTGGGAAGCCAACTCGATACGAAACTCGGGAGGGTGCACGTGGGATTTGGTGTCAGCGGTGTTCCGACCTGCGGTCGATTTATTTTCGTACTGTGTTCATAGAATCGCGTGATTACGTTTTTTTGTTTCTTACCGTGCAGAATGAAAACTCTAAGAAAAAACAAATGTTTGCGAGTATTGTATTGTCTGCTCATTAGCTGCGTAGACTTATGACAAATGGTTTGTCTTAAGGCATATGATGATGATAAGCGAGTGAGCATACTTTTTTATATGCAGCAATCTTTGCATTGCTTTATTGATATTCCAAAATTTATAAAACTGTAATCACTTTTGCATTGCTCTTAAAAAGAAAAAAACCACACGAAAATTATAGAACCGTACTTCATGTTTTATGAATTTTGTATTTATGTATTTATTGATTTGAATTATTTATTGGCAGTTAAAGCTCGTCTCTGTATATATCATTTGCACGACACTGAACTCACGGAATTTATAAACATGCCAATGTGATGATGGTCACGATTTGTCTCCGTCTTTCACTTTTTGTGGCCACTGCCTTGTCTCCCGCCGCGGTGTCCGATGTGTGAATGAGGAGCGGGAATTCGAGTAGATATACGACGTCCAAGCGGCGTGTGGAAGAGTAGGCCAAATACACATTGAGGTCGGCCGTCTCGCGATTCCTCGAGTGGCGGCTCTTGCGCAATGCACGGCTGCAGCGTTACCCAGAGACTCAAATCTGCGAGGCTTTCGCCACCAATATCATCCATAATACAGGTTTTTTTTGTTGTTGTTGGCTTAGATCGCGTAAATATATAAATGTGTCGTTAAACCCACCACTACCCGACACAGCCAATTAGCAAGGCGAGTCACGTGAACGGAACGTGTCAATTGGATGTGTCAGGTGGTGGCGAGTTGTTTACATAACGCGAATTGGTTATAACGCGATGAATGTATTAGGGAACACGTTTTTTTCTTGCTATAACGCGGATGCGAATTGGATATAACGCGATCGAGTGAACGTAACCACGTCGCGCGAGTAAAGAACAAGCGGTTATAGCAGCTGCCTCGGTGTAGCATCATCACACAACAAGGCAGTGGGATGCTGCTGGATGCTTCGAGATGCTACCCACGCGCCTTAGTCTTTGTTCAGCCGGCGTGCGCATCTCACGTGTTAACGCGGAATGTGCTTTACCCCTATATGTGAACAGGGTGTTTGAAAAAGATGGACCCGATTTTAAATCGTTATATCTCTGCAACCACGAACCGCCCATGAATGCAACTTTTACCACTTGGAAGGGCGGGGCTTAGAGTTTCAATGATCACCGCGAGATGCCTCTCCCAGCGCACAAACAGCCTCTAGCCTCAGTCATTGCACAAGACACACTGCCTCAACGTTGGATAGGTCGCACGGGACCCCAAGACTTGGCGCTACACTCTTGGCCCCCAAGATCCCCAGACATCACAACCTGCAACTTTTTCTTGTGGGGATACTGTCAAAGACCGTGTTTTGGTGCCACCAGTTAAGCGACTAATCTGGATGACCTAAAAAAACAGAATCACGGCAGCGGTGACTTCAGTGGAAGGAGACACTTTGAGAGGCGTTTGGGACGAATTCAACTATCGTCTCGATGTTGTCCGTACAGCAGGTGGAGGGCACATAGAGCATTTATAAAATGGTTAGTAAAACTTGACAACTCATTAAACCGTTAGTAACTTTTTGTGTAATTGTAACATGTTGTCATCGTGAAATATACTGCTTTGAAATCGGGTGAATCGTTTTAAAACACCCTGTACATTCATTCTTACAACGCGATTTTTTCATCACGCGATGTCCTTCAGGAACGCAACTACCGCATTATAGGAGAATATGAATGTGCGTGAGACCTTGGTGATGGTGTGAAATAGCTTTGTTTTTCATTCAGATGTTGCGCCAGACAGCAGATATACGTGTCTGCGAACAGCTTCGTCGATCCACTGGCTCCGCACACCGTGACATACTTCACCCCGCCGGTAAGTGGGAGTTCCAAACGAAACAAAAAGCAGAGAGCCTGCCGCATGTGGTGTTGTGCACATAACGCTGTGGTTAGACCATAGCGCAGTGGTTAGAGCATAGCGCAGTGGTTAGAGCATAACGCAGTGGTTAGAGCGCTGCGCTACGAACCCGGCGACCCGAATTTAATCCCCAGTTGAGGGCCAACACCAAGTGACGATTGGCTAAACCGGTCCTCTCCTAGGTCGACTCAGCCTCAAAATGAGCACGTGGTTGTGGAAGACAAAGGCGTGGCGAAGGAGACGAGAGCACCGCTCACCACGACTATCCACGACAGAGCAGCTTTACAGAGCACTTCTCATTTCGTCAAGCCACGAAAACCTACTACGCCGGTCTCAAATAATACATGTTTTAGTTATTTTAAACCACGATGTGATTATCGCAGTTTTACCCACAAGATCAGTACTCATCGAGGCTGTGCTTGGCAGGACACTTTTGGCTTAGGTCCACACCACCACCCCCCCACAAGCCTATCATATCATCGGAGAGTTATTCGACCATACTTCTCCATCAGCCGTTGGTGAGGGCCAAGGAGGGTATGGCACGAGTTAGCGGCTCTGCGACTGCTCGATGGGCCAGGGAACGTGAGGATGGAACGTCTGCGGTGGAAGGCTCTCTCTGCGTTCTCTTCTGTGTGGTCTGTCGCTCGCTTTCCAATGATCTCTCCTGTGCAGGGTTGGCGAAAGCGGATTGGGAAAACTGAGCTCAGCCAAGCGGCTGGTGGAGGTTTTTATTTTTAACGTCCCGAACACCCACGAGGAATCATTTGTGGGCTTTAACTGGGAGAGTAAAATTGTTTAGTTTTATTTGTATGCTTTTTTTTGGTAGTGATTTACTTTCTCTTCCGAAACTTTGCACTCCTATCGCGTTCTTGTGTTGTTTGTTGTTGTAGCGTTCTGACCCGCCCCTACTGACAATATGTGGAAAAGGAGCATCATAGCTTATCGGATTTCTCGAGTATGAACAAATCAAATTTCCGATTCTGAATTGAAAGTAAAATAACCCACGTTAGCCTCCACACTGCGTTTCACCACAAACGCTCCACTCTGGCCTGGCCCGCGTTATCATCATCACCATCATAACAATCAATAGTTAACACATTCAACAATGAATCTGTGTCCCTTCGTCACAGTGCTGTAGCCAAGCTGCACAAACTCTGCACAAATTCACACTAGAATAACATTTAACACAAAACTCGCCAAAAAAAAAATGTCCTAGGCCACAGCCTAACCCAGTACATATTTTAACAACTAATCGTGACCCTGCCTCAGTCACTCAAGAAGTAAACATGTCTGCAAAAGGTAATGAATATATAGCCTCCGTGCTGCATTTCACTGCCTCACCTCGAGGAAGAGAATCACATTTTTAACTTTCCCTCCAAAAATACCACGGTCAAATCCCTGACAATCCGTAATCCAATAATCTGCAAATTCCTCGCTGTGCTCACGTGATTTGATCAGTAATTTTTTTTTGTTAGACTTGGAAATAAAGTCGAAAAAAACATGCTAAAAATGCCCCGTAACACATGTAAGATTTGGGTCTGAGATCAAATCTCGTAACCTCATAAGTCGGCGAATTTTCTCCCGGATTTGTGAAACAGCACGGCACTTGCCTCCCCACAATCCAAGGCGAACATGGTTTCCAGAGCTCACCTCCGCGTCGTGCGCTCTACAGACTGCAAATGGTCAGTCCCCCGCCCCCGTCATCTTTAAACCTAAATAATGGATGTTTGGGTGAGGCCATGTGATCTCCTAAGCCAAGAGTGTCAACTCTGAATTCGTCTATGAGTGTGCTATGCCTGGTGGTGCGACTACAATCTACGTACCTGGAGAAACCGCACTCGCCCGTATAGCCTTAACAGACTGTAGGGGCAAGTGCTGTTAGCGAGCACCTGTAAAGACCGGCGCAGTACACGAGGGGGTGGGTGGCCAGCACCACGCCCGACCGCCTTTGTCTCCCCTGTGGCGATGGTTACACATCGCACCAGGTACTTATTTGAGGCTGAGTCGACCTAGGGGAGGCCCGGGACCGGTTCAGATAATCGTCACTGGTGTTGGCCGTGAGCGGGAATCGAACGCGGGTTGCGGGGTTCGTAGGGCAGCGCGCTAACCGCTACACTACCGCTCCCCACACACACACACAAACACACACACAGACACACACACACAGACACACACAGACACACACACACAGACACACACACAGACACACACACACAGACACACACACACACACAGACACACACAGACACACACACAGACACACACACACAGACACACAGACACACACACACAGAGACACATAGACACACAGACACACACAGACACACAGACACACACACAGACACACACACATGCAGACACACACACACAGACACACACACATGCAGACACACACACATAGACACACACAGACACACAGACACACACAGACACACATAGACACACAGACACACACAGACACACACACAGACACACACACATGCAGACACACAGACACACAAGGGGTTATTACCGTGCTCTAGACTGGTCGTTTCATAGCTCAACGAGCCAACACCGAGACGTCTTCTCGCCTGCACCTTCCAAATATCCCAAACTGAGGAGGGGAGGGGCAGTTTTGTGTTCCTCGGCCTCTTCTCTTCGCTTTATCCACTCCTAAGCCACGACCACCACGCCACTGCGGAGCTGTGTGGATTAGGATTCTAATTATATTGTGCACATTGCGGGGGGGGCGTTTTTGTCTTGGCCATGGGTTCCCTCCTTGATATGGGGATTGTGCATCGCATGCCTTGGGACTGTGTGTGTGTGTGTACACGCGAAAGCACAAAAACCCTCAGAACATTGATGTGATAATGTCAGCTTGCCCTGTGCCCGCGTGTTCTGAGTGCACCCCACTGTGAACCATGTCAAACGGGCTACGCTCTGTGTGTGTGTGGGTGCACGAGTCGCGTTTCCACATTAGGGCGACACAAAGACATGCGTTGTTGTTTTGACACGTATGCTTTTGTGAACAATATTATTCATGTTGTGGATTTACTCTCCAACACACCGGTGGGCTGAAGTAGTAACTAATTGGTGCACGCTTCGTTTGCTTGACAAATATTACGAGTTGGCTATTGTCAGGTGGTGGCGGGCTACGACACATTTATACTTGAGTAATCTCACCCAAAAATCTTTGTTATCAAAGACACATTGTACAACGTCAGAACCACCATAGTCGTATTTTGTAAAAATTTGTTGTATCGTGCAGTGAATATCAAGTCTCGACTCATTATATATATTTCCAAAGAAATATATATTTTAAACATGTTAGTTTCTGACGAAACAAAATGGTGAGATTAACACAATAATTGCAAAGAGTTAAAGAGCAATTACCAGTGAAATGAGTGCTCCCACAAACATTGCACCGAATAATCGATGGGAAGAGAGTCATTGATCCCATCGCTCCTTGTATGACTTAACTGATGGCACGCCTTTGTTGAATGCTTTATAATTATGTTTCTTGTGATGCTTGTTTATCCAGCAACGCCTCAACTGAGCCTCAAGACCATTTCCAGGAGGGTCCTGCCAAGTGTGTTCGCAGTCGGGGTCGATGTTGCTTTGTAATCCCAATTGAGGAGTGATTTGCAGGCAGTGTTACTCTTTGGTTCTTTCGGTAAAGTCACGTAGGTATAAAATAAAATTAATTAAATCACGACGTTTCGGGCGCAGCACAAGCGTCCGTCATCAGTTCGCCCGAAACGTCGTGATTTATTTTATTTTATACCTAAAGTGACTTTACCGAAAGAACAAAAGAATATGGATCCCTGCAGTCACGAAAACTTCAAATCAAGATTGCAGGTAGTGGTTCAGCATTGCGATGTGTGGCCAATACCGTATGCGGCCCTTGCCCCACCACATTCTCCAACCATTATATAAACGGAGTGGTAGCTCCTGCAATCTCTCATTTACTTGATACAGCTGTCGTGGCTGTGATGGTACCACCTGAATACGGAAGCTTGTGTTGCCTCCGAAACGTCGTGATTTTTGTTTTATTTTATTTTACATTTTAATGTTTTTACCTACGTGACTTTACCGGAAAACCCTAAGAATATGGCCAATACCGGTTACATTGTGGGACGTGTGGGGGGGTTTATAGGAGAAAACCAGCGTACGTATGAATATAAGTTGAACTTCTTTCGCGTCGTACGTAGCCAACCGCGCTAATCGGAGGTGCGATTGAAGGACAACAAACGAAACACAAACAGCAGTGCTAAAGAAATGAGTATTTCAATCCGAATTTCAAAGTGTATAGCTCGACAATTACGGCGTATCTCGCATTGTACAATATGTCTTAGTTCCCCCATAATGTGGGGACCCTACTTGTGTAAACACGAGTGACCTGTTTGACATGGTTCACAGTGAAGGGTAGTCTCATGAGACAGGGCACATGGCAAGCTGACGTTACATCAACGTTCTGAATGACTGTTGGCCTCACACACGCGGTCCCAATGCATGTGATGCACACCCCCAAATTAAGAGGTCATGCATAGCCAAGAAAAAACAAGCTTTCTAAGAGTACCAGGAGGAACCCCATGGAGAATAGGGGGGAGGGCGGCATACAAGCTCCACACATTCACCCGAGTCAGAATTCGAACCCAGGCTGCACACAATAGACTGCCTTTGAGGAGTTTTGAGCACGTCACTGTATAGTATTCACACTAGAAGCGTAAAACATTGCTTAAGACAGTGCAGTGAATGGGCAAATGCAATTTAGAAGTTGTGGGAGATGCATATTGCGAGAATCGTCATTAAAAAAATCTATATTGTATCGTGTTGTGAAAAAGTATCACGCGGCAAACCCTGGTACTTGGCGATGAATGAATGCTGGGGGGTGTCTGGGTGCATGGCGTTACATCGAGATGAAGAGTCGGGCCGCCATACCAAATTTGGTTCTGCGCTTAACTTGGATAAATTCCGGCCCTAACGACGAATCCATCAGTTTGACTGTCGTGCAGCCAAAGTGCTCCCCCCTCTCTCTCGTCTGGGCCAAGAGGTAACTTGGGGCGCTCTCAGATGGAGCCCTGCGATATCTGCTTCTGTGGCAGCGGCCCAGAGTTACAAGTCCAATCGAATTTAGTGCCACCAGAACTCTGACACAAACGGGTCATACTGCTCCGCGGAAGATTGCGAATAGCCACTTCGTCTCGCGACAAAGCGATGCCGAGAGAATCAAATTGTGGGGTAAATGCCAACAACAAAAACCAGTCACACACCACGTGACCCTTCACTTCGATGAGTGCACGCCAAAGTTTACCCATCCACCACTCCAACGAAACAAAACAACGCGTGATGGTCAGACGGGTGCCCATTTGACCATCACGAGTTAGGATTGCTCAGTCACATTCCATTAAAAGCCCCTTCTGTTCAATGGCAAACCTTTATGTGTCTCATCATTACGTTCAGCCACCCTTCACCCACTAGCCCATCCACTACCCCGTGCCACGTGGAAGGGTTCCGCACTAAACCACTTACTGCCGTCCAGTCAGTCTCATTATTTCTCGGCCGTGAGCCACACGGTGCTTGTGTTGAATCCAGCCAAGGCTGTGTTTGCAGTTTGCGGCGTTAACTGGGATGTGGAGAATTTCTTCGGAGGCACGAATTCACCCGTCATCTCTAGCCGCGGTTGGTGAACGTCAGATGTGATTTTTACCGAGTTGGTTCGTAATTTCAAAAGCTGTAAATGAGAAACCCCATTAAAACGGACACAGTGGTTAGTGTTTCCGACTCGATAAAAACCTCTATCGCGTGTCCTCTAAACAAAAAAACAAAAACGCGTTAGTGCTGTCGACACGCCAAACTCTGTTATTGAGATAATTCGCTGTTTAAATTCGCTGGACGGACAGAGGAAGGTTTATCTTGGCTCATACACATCCTTGATTACGTTCAATTAGAAGCACACGCCACACGTTAGAGGTGGCACGTGGCTCATTATCGGTAAAAAAAAATCAAACATTATTTTACATTTGCTAACAGCACAACATTCATAACCACACCGCCGTTATCCACGTACGCATTTTGAACTCCGTTCGCGCCGTACGCAGCCAACCGCTCTCAATCACTGAGATGGGAATCCGTGCCGCTGCGACACCGCGTGGAGGGCCCCGTCCGTTCTCCCTGCTGCTGCTGCTGGTGGTGGCAGCGACGGCCCCGCGGCTGCCGTGCCACGCTCAGTTCCCCAGGGACTGCGCCACGGTGGCCGCGATCCGCTCCCAGGAGTGCTGCCCCCCGCTCTCGCCCGGGGCCAGCCGGGGCTGCGGGGCAGAGGTGGCTCGCGGCTCCTGCCAGGAGGTGACGGCCGACCTGAGGCCCTGGTCGGGGCCGTACACGTTGCGCAACGTGGACGACCGGGAAAGGTGGCCTCTGAAGTTCTTCAACCGAAGCTGCGCGTGCAACGGTGAGTGCCGGTCGGCTCCGTGCGGTGCGAAAGAAGTTGAACGTACGTACGCACGGCACATTAAGTTATTCGTATGGCCGATGTAGATGTCGAGCAAATAACTATAATTTTTATTCTTAGGTAATTTCGGTTAAGTCACGTAGGTAAAAAAATGTAAATTAAAATGAATAAAAGTAAAATAAAATAAAAATAAAATAAAAATAAAAATCACGACGTTTCGGAGGCAACACCTCCGAAACGTCGTGATTTTTTTATTATTTTTTTATTTTACTTTTATTAATTTTAATTTTTTACCTACGTGACTTTACCGAAAAAACCTCAGAATATGAATCCTGGCAGTCACGAAAGCTTCAAATCTAGAACTATAATTTTACGTTGAGCTGGTTGAGCCAGATCATTGCAACAGGAGTAGTGGAGTGCATCGCTGCCTCATTCGTACTTGCGAATCGGGCGTTGAGTCGTTCTGTGATTTATTGTCTGTTCTGGGTGGCCACAGTCACTCTATACTGGAGAGTTTAAATTTTACATTGGTGCATCAATCACATTCACTGATGGTTTGTCACGCAACTGGCCGCAGATTCTAGAATGCGATGAGCGATGGTCTCATACAAATCACCGATTGACTTCACGAAAAAAAATTACAACCCATTCCTTGAAATGTGGCATTTTACTTGTTTTTTTCTCATATTTATAGCTCTTAGAATTGAACTGTTTGGTGTGATTGATATGTGATGAACACAGTTTATGCGGAATGTTAAATGTGTGCGAGTTAGTATGGATAGTAAGTTTGGCAATTTGAAGGCCCTTCGCAAGTTCCAAAGCTTGTCTCTGACACATGGTGGTGCGTTGACCACGCTGCAAATGAGATGAATAAATACGTGGGAAAAGACGTGGTCAATTCCACAGTAAGGGAATTGCAAAAGCAATGCAGGGATATTGGAAACGGCTGTGACATGGGCACGTGTGTCCCCACGCCAAATCTGCCCTATAAGACTTGGGCATGTAACGATGCGTATATTGGCAAATTAATGTTTATTCTTATTTTCATGATAAATGAATCGAATCGTACATGCGGGAATCAAACATACCATAATGGGGAGAATGTACAAACGAACGAGAAAAAAATGAGAAACAATAGGGACAGGGTAAAAACGAGACAAAAAAATTGTATTCTTGTTTGGTGACACTGATCAAATGTCTGGGGAATGCTGTGTAGAAGGTCAATTGTAATGTGTCTTAAGGATATTTGTAAGCTCCAACAATCAACAAAAGCCACGCTGTTGAGGGCGAGGGACCGACCCTTTCGTGAGATGGTCCGGCTGACTGTAAATCATCAAATCATTGAACTACAGTACTCATAGAATATTAATGACATTGCTTCATTAACATCCAATGCACGCAATTAACACTGAATACCGATGAATTAACTGAACATTTACTCTTTAATGTTTCTAACTTCAGAACAAATATCACTACAGTTCGGTTTAATCCGAGTCACATGCATCACCGCGTGAAGCACCGTAGGATTATTTTCTGACGGGCTCGAAGCGTTTATTACTTGCGAATTAAACGTGAAGCCAAAAGTCAAAGAGAGCTTTGTACTTATGTGTGTTGAACTTCTTTCGCACCGTATGCAGCCAACCGCGGTAATTGGAGGTGCCGAGGGAATGACGACGAACTGAACACGAAAGTTCCGCACAACACATGAGCAGAATATTGCATTGCTTTAGACTTGTTAGTGCCCACAGAGTCACCTATACTGCACGCGGCTTCATTAGCGCACGGACAGTGTTATGGGCCGGAATTTGGGTCAACTTTGAAATATTGATCAATTAAAACAAAAATTATAGACACATTTTAGGTAAGCCAGTTTGGCTTACTCTCGAGTCCGGCTTTGAGAGGTTCCACTAATGGACTCCGTTGTCATTCATCAAATCGCCTGCCACACATCTCGTAGACTAAGATCCCCCGTGTGGCCTTTAACAGACTGTTGGGTGCAAGTGCTGTTAGCGAGCACCTATTAAGACCGGCACGATGGGCCGTGCCTGGCCGCCTTTGTCTCCCCCGGTGTTGACTCTACCTATCGGGGAGGGTCTGGCCTATCGGACCGGTTCAAGACATTCGCTATTGACGTTATCCATGAGCGGAAATCGAAGCACGCGCGCGCTAACCGATGCACCACCACTCCTCACTCCGGCCCCTAACCCCCCCCCCACTCACACAAATAAAGATCCACCTTATAGCCTTTACAGACTTTTGGGGCAAGTGCTGTTAGCGAGCATCTATGAACGCCGGCACGGCACACAAGGGGGTTTGGTGACCAGCACCACGCCCGACCGCCTTTGTCTCCCCAGTGGGGATATTTTTACACACCGCACCAGGTACTGCCTTGAGGCTGAGTCGACCTAGGGGAGCAGGCCCAGGACCATGCTCAGATAATCGTCACCGGCGTTGGTGGCCGTGAGCGGGAATCAAACTCGGCTCGCCCGGGGTTCGTAGCGCAGCGTAGCCTCTGACCCCCGCTACCACAACCCACCACTCCCCGACTCACGCACGCACGTGCGAGCGCGCAGGCAATTTCTGGGGCCACAACTGCGGGCAGTGCCGGCCGGGCTGGACAGGCACCTCGTGCGATGCCCGCGCCCCGACCGTGGTTCGTCGCGACGTGCGGAGTCTGTCGCCGAGCGAGAGGGCCACCCTGCTAGGCGCCCTGCAGCTTGCCAAGGAGACGCCGCACCCGGACTACGTGGTGTCCACCAACCACTGGCTCGGCATCCTGGGGCCCGACGGGAACAGCCCCATGTTCAGCAACGTGTCGGTCTACGACTACTTCGTGTGGCTGCACTACTACTCCGTGCGGGACACTCTGCTGGGTGCGTTGGCCCACTGCGCGTCGGTGTTTGTCTGTACGGAGCAAACTCCCCAGTCCGGTGGTTATTCTCAACCGTGTTCCTTTGGGTCTTTCGGTAAAGTCACTTGGATAGGTTGAAAGAAAATGACAAACAAAAACTACGATGTTTCGGTCGCAACGTAAACGATCGTCATCAGAAAGGGGGGAAAAACGTCGTAGTTTTTTGTTATTTTCTTTCAACCAATCTACGTGACTTTACCGAAAGACCCAAAGAATATGAATTCCTGCAGTCACGACAAAAGCTTTGAGTCAAGATTTATTCTCAACCTTGTTTGGCTACTGCTGTACCCTCCTGCTGCGCACTTGTTGAATTTTGTTTCGACCGAGTACCTAAACCACCTCCCCCACTCCCCCTTGCCTGACCCAGCACGGTTCTGAGCAATAAACGCATGAAACACATTCATGCGGAGAGAGCTGGTAGGAAGGTTGGGTTGCTCGGTCAATGGCCAGGGTCAACGGCGGCGTGGTGTATTCCGCAAATATGCCCGACTGTGAGTAGGTTAAACGTTGAGTTTTATAAGGGCACCACGGCGTGACCAGCCCCTCCCACCCCCCACTCAGCCCCACCCTCTCCACCCAGCCCCTCCCCACCCTCCCCACCCTTCCCACCCAGCCCCTCCCCACCCTCCCCACCCAGCCCCTCCCTGCACGACGGACGGACGGACACAATAATCCCCTGTGGGCTGGTATAACCAAGAGGTTCCTATCAGTAGAATCCCCTGTGCGATGGTGTAACCAGGAGGTTCCTACCAGTATAAGCAACATTCTGTGAGGTTCTTCTCACTAGATGAGTAACTGCAAACGAATATGGAAACATGAACGGATCCTCTGCATGTATGCCGTAATTTGTTCATGCTCGCTGGTTACACATTGAAACCAGCGGTTACTCGTTTTAAACTCACGACAGACTCTGCGTTGCGCTCGTTGTTGTGTCTCCCCTATCTCTCCGAAGGTCCTGGCCGACCCTTTACAGCTATCGACTTTTCACACCAGGGGCCATCTTTCATCACCTGGCATCGGTACCACCTTCTCCTGCTCGAACGAGACATACAGGTCAAGGGACACACACAGGGCTCCGTTCAGTGCCAGATTAAGCTAGTGTGGGCCTGTAGCAGATGTTATAAAGGGGCTCTAAATACAAAAAAAACACGTAAATATTAAAACGCAATTTATTTTACTTGCATAGTCAAGTAATTGGATTTTTTCATTTGCTATACAGCCAGATAATACGATAAATCGCTAACCGTAAACACACGGTCGTTCATAAAAGTTGAAGGCAATACAGTACTATAATAATAGAGCAAGTGCTACCGGAATTGATAGCTTGAAAGCATTTAACGCGGGGCCCTTGAAAGTGCGGGGCCCGTAGCATGTGTAGCTACTTGTGCTACTAGGATAATCCGGCACTGGCTCCGTTAGCTTTCAGGGCTCGCTACCTTCCTGGGAGGCTTAACCACATGGTTGGATTCTAGATTTGAAGCTTTCGTGACTGCAAGGATTCATATTCTTAGGTTTTTTCAGTAAAGTCACGTAGGTAAAAAATTTAAATTTAAATTAATAAAAGTCAAATAAAAATCACGACGTTTCGGAGGCAACACAAGCTTCCGTCTTCAGGTGGAACCGTCACAGCACGATAGCTGTATCAAGTGAGAGAAATTCCAAGAAAACAGTCCTTGTATATATACTGGTTGAGAGTGGGAGGAGCCAAGGTAGACCCTGAATATTATTTTGTTTGTGAGGTTCGGTGCGGCTGAAGCACGCTGTTAGGAATGAGCCTTTGTTGTGTAAACTAGTTGCGGACATGGTTGGAGCAGGTGGCTCCTCCCTCCATGTTAGCCCCCGCCCACTTTTACAAAGCCACGCCCGCTCAACGCTAGCCCCGTCCACACATTGAGTGTTTGGAATTAGAAGTATATTATTTGGGTGTTGAGATGATTTTGTTAGACAGTAAATCCCCGGGTTGCAGAAAACCCGACTTAGGAAAAGCCGACTTTACGGAAATGCTCCCATAAATGATGTTGAAAAAAACATTTTGATATCCGTAAATGTTTGCGTTAGTTACGAGGGGTAAGCGCCACCTTACACCTTGTTCTATCAAACCACCATTAGGATGAAGGGAAATGGACATTTTGTAGCATTACGTGATTCGTTTCCTTTTGTAGCATTAAGTAATTGTTTGAATTCTATGCTTGGAACTATCTTTTTTGCCCCCGTGTTTCTATTGCTTGCTTTTTTCATTTTAAGTTTATTTCATGAGTAATTTACTGTATGTACTTTATTTAAGACAATTACATTTCGATTGCGTATGGTCTCGGCCAATAGCTATCAGTGAAGCCTAGGCCTAGCCTAATGCACGGTAAACAAACATCGGAAGTGACTGCGTTCTGTTAACAATTAATTTCAAAATGTTTCACGGTATTCATAAACAATTGTACACAGTATATGTTCCATTAGTTAAATTATGGGGGTAGAGTTAGGGTAGAAATGAAAGAATCGTAGGAAGTGCAGAGCGTACGTACAGCGATAGGATACAGGAAGCGATAGAAAACGGATGACAGCGTGATACGGCACCGAGAGAAAACGAACCTAGTAATCGGGTAGGGGAAGCACAACTATTTCCGGCTATGGGATTTCATCGTTGATTTTCGGGGGAAATAATTTAGTTTCCAACATACGGAAAATTCGGGTTACGGATCATTCTCCGGAACCTAACCCTTACGTATCCTGGGGAGCAGTAGTGGGAGCGGTGGTGCAGTGGTTAGCACACTGCCTACGAACCCGGCAGCCCGAGTTCGATTCGCGCTCATGGTCAATACCAGTCACGAATATCTGAACCGGTCGTGGGCCTCCCCTAGGTCGACTCAGCCTCAAATGAGTACCTGGTGCGGTGTGCAAACATTGCCACTGGGGAGACAAAGGCGGCCGGGCATGGTGCTGGCCACCCACCCCCTCTTGTGCCGTGCCCACCCATCATAGGCACTACTCGCGAACAGCACTTTCCCCAACGGTCTGTTAAGGCTATACGGGGGATCTTTGTGTTTGTCTTTGTACAGAGGCTCACAGGCGATCCGTCATTCGCGCTTCCCTTCTGGGACTTTGCGACGGGCAGCGCCGCGTGTGACGTGTGCGTGGACGACCTCTTCGGGGGCCCTGACCCCGCAGAGCCCACTCTGCTGAGCCCTGCGTCCCCCTTCTCACAATGGAAAATCGTCTGCAACAGGTGCCAGCATTCCCGGTTTAGCAATTATTATGATTATATTTCTTCTAGGGTGTCAGTTTTGTATCAGTTTAAAGGGTAAAAACCTACTACTTTATTTTGCCACTGGTAAAGGAGGTCTCATAGTGTAAATGCTTACCCCGAGCTCTCAATACTCTGATAGTGCACTGTTTTTGAGTTGTACGCCTTTTGGTGTCATCTGGTCCAACACCAATGGAGACTAGGCTCTAAGGAAAGCTGTCTCGGGTGTGGACCAATCAACTTCAATGACAGTGCATATCATTATCATCATCAGAGTTGTTTCTTTTTGTTTGCATTTTGACTACTTGTGTTGTGGTTATTGCAAACATGATGCCTTGTATAGAGGTGTCAGTTTTGTACCAGTTTAAAGGGCAAAAACCTACTACTATTATATTTCTTGTTTTGTTTCGCGATTTTTTTTGCGATGGTGCATTGGCATTCGTGCACAGGCACAAGTAACTTAATTTCAACAGATATGTCAATTATACTGCCCTTTCTAATATGGAGAAGGGCCAATGCCTGCTGTATCACCTATTTTATGTTTTTCTTCTTGGGCGGTGTTATTGGTGATGAGGTTTTGAGTGTCTTTTTGTTAATGAGCCTACTAACACAAATGAATACGGATTGATTTTTTTACCCACAGTTCGTACAATGTGCTCTGTGTATGGTACCTATCTGTGGGGAGCGGTGGCATAGCGGTTGTGGCACTGCGCTACGGACCCGGCAAGCCGGGTTCAATTCCCTCTCACGGTCACCAACACTGGTGACGAATTATCTAAACTGGTCCTGGGCCATAAATTAGTGTACATCCGCAGAATTTGATCTCTGATTCGCACATTTTTAACGCGAAAGAAAATGTCCCCCTCACTCCCACCGAAGGCGTGCGACTTAGCACGGGCCGTCCTCCCCACCAAAGGCGTGTGAGTTCGTATGGTCGTGTGCGCGTCATAAATAAATAAATAAGAAAGCTTACAGAAATCGCACTAAATCGCTAATTAAACTAATTTAAAGTTGACGGATGTGAAATAGGAATGGCGCTTGCTCACCGCGGGGCTTACGGCGTGGTGCCTGGCTATTTTTATTTTTACTAAAACCCCACCGTTGGAGAGCCAAGCACGTGACCACACACAAACCCCGCCACAAACCCACACACAAACCCCGCCACAAACCGACACACAATTTTTTACTTTTATAGAAATTTTTATAACGTCACGGAATCTTTACCAGTTTTGACCTGGGGGCAATCTCTGGGCTCCAGCCGCGGAAACACGCCACCAGCGCCGCGGCACCACCGTGCCACGTTCACCACCGCCGCCCCGCACGGCGTTTCCACGTGGGCTTGCGGCACGTGTTCGGTCGCTCCGCTTACGCTGCGGGGTGGGAATCCCTTTGCGGGTGACTGCAGCTTGGACGAATACAACCTGCGAGTCACCCTGTGCAACGGATCGGCCGAGGGACCCATCCGTCGGAACCCGGGGGGCGACATCTCCCACCCGGGGGCCGGGCGCCTGCCCACGCGCGACGATGTAGCTCAGTGCCTCGGCGTGGCGCGCTTCGATGACGAGCCGTTCTCGACCAACTCTAGCCGCAGCTTCAGGTGACACGAAAATAAAAACAAAAGGAAAACAAATATTAACCCGTCTGCAGGTTCCAGGGTGGGGGTGTTCCGTTCGCCGTTGAAGCTCGGAACGCGCGAGCGGTTCAGCGGAGAGGCATAGCACCGCTGTTTTGAAAGACATTGTACTCACCGCAGAGAACTATAGCGACACGACCGCACTCGATGATAGCTGGTGCCAAACTGTGTCGCGTGCCCTTCTGCATGGCCTTGTGCAAGCTTCGGTACTGATGACGTTACTTTATTTTCGTTTTTATTTCAGTTCCTTTCCAATGACAGTACACGTCATTAGAACAGATTTGAAGAAAGACTGATGATGTACACATACGTCATCGGAATGGGAAAGGGTTAAAAATAATATCAAGGTGGTGGCGCGGGCTGACGGGAATAGTTTCGATCAATAATTTTTTCTTCACAGCCCTCTTTGTCAATTTAGATTTTTTTTTTGGCATCGATTACAGGGGTTTCAAGTCACTTCTACGTAAATGATTGTTGTATCTAAACTTGTAAATAGGATAAACAGAATACACATATATTTTATATTGTTATTCTTGGTTCTTTCGGTAAAGTCACGTAGAAGGGAAATAATAAAATAAAATAAATATATAAACAATTAAAATTATCACGACGTTTCGATTGCTTGTGTTGTAGTCGAAACGTCGTGAGAATTTTTATTGTTTTCATATTTGTATTATTTTATTATTTCCCTTCTACGTGACTTTACCGAAATAACCAAGAATATGAATCCCTGCAGTCACGAAAGCTTTAAAAAATATTTTTATATTTTGTCAAACAAATAAGTGCTTTCAAATTACTTATTTCAAATCCAGTGAAATAGTGGTAAATTCAGGTGGAAGTAGCTTGGCTCCAGCCAGTACGTGCCTTGGTCTTCACCAATAGGGCTGACGATGTAGACACGTAGCAGTCACCCGGCCCACACCAGACACTAGGGATGTTGTGATATAATAATTAATAATATTGTGATATTATATTTCACGATGTGACGATAATCGCGATATTGGTGTCCCTTAACTTTGTAATTCTATTTCACATCGTTATCCAAATGAAATGCAAATCTAAGTTAAACGTGTTTTTCTTTTTAGCTTTATTTCTGCAGTCATTGGCGGTCGGGCTGAGACCATCAATCAACTCTTGAGAAGCCGGTTTCATCACCCAGGACCTCAGATTTGCCAGCTCAGCACTCTGACCTCTTAGCCACCCGGTCACCTCTTAACCCCCCCACTTGCTGAAGAGTGACACCACCTAATATTCCAACCCTTCCTGGACAGTACTTGATTATATACATGTTCCACCACCATCATCAGCATCAGCATCAATAGCTGTGATCTTTTTCATTTGTTTCGTTTCGTTTCTCAATCCGCTTGTCCTGGTGAGGGTCGCGGTCGACATCCATGATCCATTATTCATAATTTGTATTCGTTTTTATTAAAAGTAACCATAACACTGGTCAACACACTTTTTCTGACATAAGGTATTCCAACGGTTTTAAGGTAATTTTGGGGTGCTGATTCCAAATCTGGCATCAGTTTTTGTCTATCACATCAGATTTTTGAGATATAAAATATTGCATTTTCAATAAAAACTGCAGAAGAAAAAAATCAACCCGTAAAAACAAAGTTTTTCACTATAAATCCTTTATATGCGTGGCGGCTAGAGTCCTCTCGTCCTCTGGCTTGAGATGGCTGCCACCTATGGGTCAGATGATTGCCTGCCACCATTAAGCAATTGGTAATTAAATATAATTTATTTTTTCCTAAAAAGTGTAAATTTTCACGAAAATAAATTGTCACGCACAACGAGTCTGTGTGCAAAATGTCAGCTCGATCGGATCACGGGAAGTGGGTTAAAAACGATCGAAAGATTTGAACGATCGTAAGCGCGCAAGCAAGCAAGCAAGTGAACTTAATATAAAGGATTTAAAATATTAAATAAATGTGGATATCTACATAAATGATATTATGAACACACTATCCTAAAAATACAGCACCATATTTTAACACTAATGCAGTCACTGACTCGCAACAACTTGCAATCATAAGTGACAGAGTTAATTTCGGGTAAAATCAATGAAAATGGGGTATGCCGATAGCATAAAAACGAGATGTGATAAAGCAAATCTGAGATCAGATTTGGAATCAGCACCCTGAAATTAGTCTTAAACAGCTGCAAAAGTCCAGGCCAGAATTTTTTGTTGTTGTTGACCTGTGTATAATATATCCACTGCTGGATGAAGGCTTCACTAAACTGTTGCCATCAGCCACGGTCTCGCGATGCGACCATCCATCCAATGCTCTCCCTTGCACGACGCGCCACCGCGGTCTGGAACGTCCAACACCGCGCACGAACAACCCGTGGTAGCGGCGGCGGTGACGCCACCCTGAGTCGTTCTCTTTGCCCAGGAACGCCCTGGAAGGCTACGACCACCCCGACGGGAGCTACGAGCCCGGGGTACTGAGCCTCCACAACCTCGTGCACCGCTTCCTCAACGGCACCGGAGGCGCGTCCTTCTCGTCTGCCAACGACCCCGTGTTCGTGGTACGCCTCTTTGCGCGTGTGTGTGCGAGTGTATGTATGTATGCGTGCGGGGAGCGGTAGTGTAGCGGTTAGCGCGCTGCGCTATGAACCCGGCGACCCGGGTTCGATTCCCGCTCACGGTCGATACCAGTGATGATTATCTGAACCCAGTTATGGGACTCCCTTCGGTCGACTAAGCCTCAAATGAGTATCTGGTGCGGTGTGAAAACATCGCCACGAGGGAGACAAAGGCGGCCGGGCGTGGTGCTGGCACCGTGTCGGCCTTCATAGGTGCTCGCTAACAGCACTTGCCTGAAGTGTCTCTCCGTCAGAGAAATGTTCCAACTAGCCAGACAGAGGGCCAGTATCGGATGAAGCTCGTGTGGGGCCTGTAGCATATGGTATAACGAGGCCCTAAATAACAAAAACACTTAAATATTAAAACACATAAATGTTTAACTTGTATAGTAAAGTAAGTGCATTTTTTCATTTGCTATGCAGCCAGGTAATACGACAAATCGCTAACCTTAAACATCCAGTCGTTCATAAAAGTTGAAGGCAGTACGGTACTATAGTAATAGAGCAAGTGCAGAATCACTGAACCGCAATGGATAACTTGAAATAATTTAGCGCGGGGCCCTTGAAAGTGCAGGGCCCATAGCTACTGCACATGTAGAAGCTACTACATATGTAGTAGCTTCTACATATGTAGTAGATTCTACATATGTAGCTGCTATATATGTAGTAGATTCTACATATGTAGTAGATTCTACATATGTAGCTGCTATATATGTAGTAGATTCTACATATGTAGCTACTTTTGCTACTAGGAAAATCCGGCACTTCAGAAGGGCTCAGCTTTGTTCATTGCGCCTACATCCATGCTAACCACAAGCAAATATTTTTTTCATGACACAATATGGTACGGTATGAAATGTCACCATACGATAATGGTAGCGATGTCACTTTCCCAAAACTTTGTCATGGCTCTATGTTTATTTTGTGCTTTTATGCACTGCAGCTATGAAGAGATTGCTTAAAAGTTTATAAACTGCAGGTCAGTAAGCAGACGTCATGCCATGAGCTCTATAATCTATAATGATTATAATGCAACATGCTGTCAGAAAAAAAAAACGATGTAATATTCACCGTGGCGCTAGGAGCTCTTATTTGGAAACATTCTAATCGTATTTGAGGGAAATTATATAAGCCACAATAAACAGGATATGACAAAAATTGGCAAATCTTACATCGTATATATTACTATTTATTGTTCGATATAAGATCGACATTGATAAAAGAGGTTCTTAGCTCAATGGGCCTTACCCGAAATGAATTGACTAACTGATATCGACATTGGCTACCATAATTTCATACCAAAGCTTTAACGACTAATGGTTAATGCTTCATATTTACTTACGGGTCAGGTCGTGTCGGAGTAATACCAATTGTTAACTATAACTCCCCACTTACCCAACAGTCTCAATCTAAACTATAAACTAAACAATTTTTTATTTTACCAAGTAAGGCCCACTGAGCCATATGGCTCTTTTTCAGAAGCCACCTGGCCACAAATGACAGCCCAACGAAGTGGCTTATCATTACGTGGACATTTAGAGCAGCCAAACACTCTGAACGCGAGACGCGGATTCTAAATGTGGAGGGAAAAACCGGAGGACCCGGAGAAAAATCCACGAGACTACGGGGGAAAGAGAAACACCGCAAACTCAAAATATAGAGCAGGCGTCAGGGGTCTGGATCGAACCCACGACCTCCTGCATACCAGGCGAGGTAGTTAACATCTCCTAGCCACCGCGGAGCCAATCAAACCAAACAGACACGTGCGCAAATGCGCTAAGTGATTTGTTTTTTCAACATCCCCCCCTCCTCCTCCACTGCAAAACTACAGGAGACGACATTTGAATAAACTTAGCACCCCCCGAGATAGTCTTGCGCTCTGTAAGAATTGCGCACGAACGAATTCTCGGTTTGATTTCCCCCCCTGCCCCCCTCCCTGCCCCCCTCCCTGCCCCCCTCCCTGCCCCCCACCTGCCCCCCTCTCTGCCCCCCACCCTACCCGCCCCCCCATTGTTCAGGTCCTCCACACGTTCGTCGACGCCGTCTTCGATGAATGGATGCGGCGGTTCCGTCCGAACGTCACGGAGGCTTGGCCCGAGCAGTTGGCGCCGATCGGGCACAACCTCTACTACAACATGGTGCCCTTCTTCCCGCCCGTGCCCAACCAGCTCATGTTCGTGCCCGCCGAGGAACTGGGCTACGGCTACGACATTCGGCTGCCCGGTGAGTGCTTGTTTTGCGGGGGGGCGCGTACCTCTGCGGGGAGCGGCGGTGCAGCGGTTAGCGCTACGCTGTGCTGCGAACCCGCTCCACCCTAGTTCGATTCCCGCTCACGGCCAACACCGTTGACGATTATCTGAGCCGGTGTCCTGGGCCTCCCGTAGGTCGACTCAGCCTCAAATGTGTACCCGGTGCGGTGTGTAGTCAACATTGCCACTGGGGAGACAAAGGCGGCCGGGCGTGGTGCTAGCCACCCAACCCCTTGTGTACCGTTCCGGCCTTCATAGGTGCTCGCTAACAGCACTTGCCCCTCCAGTCTGTTAAGGCTACACGGGGGATCTTTGTCTTTGTGTGTCTGTGTGGATGGTCGTGGGGAGCTGGAGTGTAGTGGCGGTGAGCGCTTCGCTGCAGCTGCGAACCCGCTCCAACCGAGTTCGATTCCCGCTCACGGCCAACACCGTTGACGATTATCTGAACCGGTGTCCTGGGCCTCCCCCTAGGTCGACTCAGCCTCAAATGAGTACTGTACCTAGTGGCGATGTGTGAACATGTGTCAACATCGCCACTAGGGAGACAAAGGCGTGAGTGGAAATAAAATGAAAAAAAACTGCCCAACACATTTTCGAGAAGGCAGATGGGGTTCTCGCTCGATCTTTTGGGGGTGTTCTCTGGCCGTGATTTTAGGAAGTGGTCCAAGTCATAAATGCACGAGAATCGAGTGAGACGGTAGAGGAAGAAGGAAAGTGAGGGAGTCGGGGGGGGGGTGGTTGTGTGCGAGAGGAAGTTACAAAACGGGAAGTAAAATCGAATTGCATCAACAATCAGTGACTCGTGCAGCCAGCTATGGCTGCAGGGTTTTGGTAGGACATGTTGTTTATGTCATTTATTGTGAAAATTCCATGACAGTTCCTATTATCACTATTTCATTGCTTTCATGGCTTTATTTTGGTGATTTCGAAAAGTTTATTGGTTTGGCCATGTTTGTTTGTTGTAGTACGGAGTAAGACTGATGGCCTTAATCTAAGTTTTCTTGTGGTTGTTGTTGTTGTTTGACTTGCATCCCACTGGGAGTTTTGCACACAGCGTTGGTGTACGGTGCTTTTTCTGCAATATTTTGCTGTCTTTTCTTGGATTTTCTGATTGCACTTAGTCACATAGTCACTTTAAGATGTTTTCTTGTTCATGTTTTTGTTTTTTATTTGTTGCGGTTGCACCCGATTCAAGAGCCGAATGGCTCACAGGGCTATACCAAATGAATGGACTTGAACTTGAAATTAACTTGAATAGGGAAACAAGCAATGTTGTGGATGTTTGCAGTGTGGGTGCGCGTTTGGTGGAGTGTTTGGTGGCCCTGTGACGTGGTGCTTTTGAGAGTGTGGTATGGGTGTCTGTGAGCGCTTGTGTCTGTTTATAGGTGGGGAGCCATAGGGGAGCGCTACGAACCCGGCGACCCGAGTTCGATTCCTGCTCAAGGCCAGCACCAGACACGATTATTAATAGAACCGGCTATGGGCCTCCCCTAGGTCGACTCAGCCTCAAATGAGTATCTGGGGAGACAAAGGCGGCCAGGCGTGGTGTTGGCCACCCACCCCCTCGTGTGCTGTGCCGGCCTTCATAGGTGATCGCTAACAGCACTTGCCCCAACAGTCTGTTCAGGCTACAAGTTTGAATGTCTCTCTCTCCCGGTGGTCGCGTGGATTTTTCTCCGGGTCCTCCGGTTTTTCCCTCCACATTTAGAAAAATGCTTTTAGATTACTTGGCTGCTCTAAATGTCCACGTGATAAGCCACTTCGTTGAGCTATATAGCTCAGTGGGGCCTTAAATAGTAAAATAAATAAATACATTTGATAATTCAGTTGAGTTGAATCTGTGTCTTTGTCTGTAGGTGTATGTGAGTGTGTTTGTTCGTAGGTGCTCGCAAACGGCACTTGCCCCAACAGTCTGTTAAGGCTACACAGGGGGGTGGGGAATCTTTGTATGGTTAGCACGTGCGCTACAAAACCCAGACACCCGGGTTCAATTCCCTGCTCAAAGACAAACATCAGTAACGAATGTCCGAACTTGTCCTGTGGCCCAACTTTAAATGGCCTCTTCGTAGCTGTTTGGGTGTTTGTGGGCGACTCCGTTTGTGTGCGGGAGCGATAGTGCAGCGGTTAGCACACTGCGCATCCAACTCAGTGGTCCAAGTTGAATCCATGGTCACGCCAAACGCCGGTTGCACATTACGTCTCAACTGATCTTGGATCTCGCCGAGGTCAACTCGGCCTTGAACGAGCACCAATATTAATACCACCGCCATTCGCCACTAAGTGACGGTGACGTCACCACGGCGGCCGTGCCAGGCCAGGTGCACTCTGAGGCCACGTGAACTGTCGAAGGCTCGCCTGACCCGGGTGCCATGGGTTGGCTGACTGAGATGACCCATAGATGCACATCAGAAAATGGGTGCCAACTTGCTGCATTTTAAATGAGCACCTGGTACAGTAAAACGTCAGCATTGAGGGAAACGGAGGCGGTCCGGGCGTGGTGCTGTCCACCCACCCCCTCGTGTGCTGTCCCGGCCATCATAGACACTCGATAACAGAACTGGCCCCATCCGTCTGTGCAGCCGCTAAGGGGATCTCTTTCTTGTTGCCATTGATGCCAATGACGCTGCTGATGACGATGATGATGCCATTGCTGCTCTATTGAAAGAGTGAGGCTCCTGGTGATGATCATGATGAAGCTATTGCTGCTCTATTGAAAGAGTGATGCTCCTGATGATGATCATGATAAAGCTATTACTGCTTTATTGAAAGTGATGCTGCTGATGATGATCATGATGAAGCTAGTGCTGCTCTATTGGAAGAGTGACGCTGCTGATGATGATCATGATGAAGCTAGTGCTGCTCTATTGGAAGAGTGATGCTGCTGATGATGATCATGATGAGGCTAGTGCTGCTCTATTGAAAGTGATGCTGCTGATGATGATCATGATGAGGCTAGTGCTGCTCTATTGAAAGTGATGCTGCTGATGATGATTATGATGAAGCTATTGCTGCTCTATTGAAAGAGTGATGCTGCTGATGATGATCATGATGAAGCTAGTGCTGCTCTATTGAAAGTGATGCTGCTGATGATGATCATGATGAAGCTATTGCTGCTCTATTGAAAGAGTGACGCTGCTGATGATGATCATGATGAAGCTATTGCTGCTCTATTGGAAGAGTGATGCCGCTGATGATGATCATGATAAAGCTAGTGCTGCTATATTGAAAGTGACGCTGCTGATGATGATCATGATGAAGCTATTGCTGCTCTATTGAAAGAGTGATGCTGCTGATGATGATCATGATGAAGCTATTGCTGCTCTATTGAAAGTGATGCTGCTGCTGATGACGCTGCTGATGCCATTGCTGCTCTATTGAAAGAGTGATGCTCCTGATGATGATCATGATGAAGCTTATTGCTGCTCTATTGAAAGAGTGACGCTGCTGATGATGATCATGATGAAGCTAGTGCTGCTCTATTGAAAGAGTGATGCTGCTGATGATGATCATGATAAAGCTAGTGGTGCTCTAGTGAAAGAGTGATGCTCCTGATGATGATCATGATGAAGCTAGTGCTGCTCTATTGAAAGAGTGATGCTGCTGATGATGATCATGATGAAGCTAGTGCTGCTCTATTGAAAGAGTGATGCTCCTGATGATGATCATGATGAAGCTTATTGCTGCGCTATTGAAAGTGATGCTGCTGATGATGATCATGATGAAGCTATTGCTGCTCTATTGAAAGAGTGATGCTCCTGATGATGACGCTGCTGATGCCATTGCTGCTCTATTGAAAGAGTGATGCTCCTGATGATGATCATGATGAAGCTATTGCTGCTCTATTGAAAGTGATGCTCCTGATGATGACGCTGCTGATGCCATTGCTGCTCTATTGCAAGAGTGATGCTGCTGCTGATGATCATGATGAAGCTAATGCCGCCGCTGCTTTTACTACCTCTGCTAGCGATGATGCTTGCGACGACTGACGATGTACTTGTCTCCGAACAGAGCCCAGTTCTTCCACGCCACTGGTGCTGAGTTCGACCCTGTGCGCGGTGGCTCTGGTTCTGGTCTGCACCAGCATCCTCGTTCTGCTTCGTCGACGCAGCAACGGAACGTACCGCCCGCTCCTGGCTAACGGGGGTTCCATCATGACTTATACCAACTCCGTGTGAACGCCTGCTCGCTCGCTCACTCGCTCATCGTCGAATCTACACTGTTGGTATCACCCGCAGTTGTGAGGCGCTCCGATGTTGTTCGTTCTTTCGTGTTGTAACCACCCCGTTGTTCCATACGATGTCCGACGTTTTCTTGGATCACGTAGAAGGGAAATAATAAAATAATACAATAAAACGTAATACAATTCTCACGACGTTTCGGCCACAACACAAGCAGCCGTCCTCAGGTGAAGAAACAGAGCTGTCGGAAAGACAGCGTCCTAATGAACACTGCTAAGCGTTGATTTAAAGCTTTCGTGACTGCAGGGATTCATATACTTGGTTCTTTCGGTAAAGTCACGTAGAAGGGAAACAATAAAATAATACAAATGGTATTGTTTTATATTTGTATTATTTTATTGTTTCCCTCCTACGTGACTTTACCGAAAGAACCAAGAATATACTGCTAAGCTTGGCAGCGTATTTTAAGCTGGGTGGGAGGAGCAGAGCGCCTTGACAAAGGAGTTTACATATAAATTGATTTAAAAAACGCTGCCAAGCTTAGCTGTGTTCATTAGGTCGCTGTCTTTCCGACAGCTCTGTTCTTCACCTGAGGACGTCGTGAGAATTGTATTATGTTTAATTTTTATTATTTTATGATTTCCCTTCTACGTGACTTTACCGAAATCAAGCATATGAATCCCTGCAGTCACGAAAGCTTTAAATCGAAAGATGTCTGACGTTTCGCGCCACGTGCTGGGAGCTTCTGCGGAAAGTGCATTCCAGCGACTGGAGCGAAACGTCTGGCATACGTTCCGAACAACGCGCAGTGCCAACCGGATGCACATCAGAGAGCCGAACAGCACCACCGCGAAAACCCGCACAGAAATATTACGCACAATTAGTATTAAGATCTTAAAGACACCTTTGGCAGCTGCAGCAACGTCATAATTTCACCAGTTTACATCAGCAAACAGCATACAAAAAAACAGCAGCAGTAGCTTCATTTTAAACCGCAGCAAATTGTTCATTAGCAGCAGCCAGCCTCATCATTAACAGGAGCAGAATCATAATAATCTGCAGTAGCAGCGAAAACTAGAAACTGCTTTTTTGTATTTTACCAGGTAAGGCTCACTAATTTTATAATTGTTTTGCTCCTCCCACTCAGCTTAAAATACGCTGCCAAGCTTAGCAGTATATTCTTGGTTCTTTCGGTCACCGTAGTAACCAAATAATAGCTCAACAGAGTGACGTATCATTTGGAATGTATAGCAGCAAATTCTCTAAAGGCACGTTGCTTCTAAATGTTGAGGGAGAAACCGGAGGACCCGGAGAAAAATCCACGTGACCACGAGGAGAACATGCAAACTCCAAATATACAGAAGGCGTCAGGGTCAGGGTCAAACTCACGACCTCCTGCATACCAGGCGAGGTAGTCAACATCTCGCCACCGTGGCACCCAAAAGCAGTCGTTGGCTGTCGCTCGATTCCAGGATGATCTCTAACCGCCAGTGCCGGATGTATCCTACGGGCCCCACACTTTCAAGGGCCCCGCGCTAAATGCTTTCAAGCTATCAATTCCGGTTCAGTGATTCTGCACTCGCTCTATTACTATAGTACTATACCGCCTTCGACATTTATGAATGACTGATATTTAAGGTTAGCGATTCGTCGTATTATCCGGCTGTAGAGCAAATTAATAAATATAATTACTTTACAATGCAAGTGAAAAATGTATGTGTTTTAATATTTACACGTGTGTTTTTTACGTAGGGCCCCTTTATAACATATGCTACAGGCACTGCACTATCTTAATCCGGCACTGCTAACCGCAGTGTACATATCGGTCCTCAGATGACTCAGAAGTCAGACGTGGGAAACAGGGTTGGAACAATAACTCATCCGTGCTTCTTAACCCCTGTTTGGATGACGCACGGCGTCCATTCTCCAGGCCACTGCCTAACTACGGGATGGTATTACGATCATTGGTGTTGCTTAGATCCCGATGTTTCATCGTCGCAATTTAACCGTGACAATTTTTGATTGTATGACCAGTGCAATGCATGCAATCAAACTGTCGCGTGTTAAATAATTCATTCGCACGACGGTAAGAGGACGGGAAAAAGGTTTAACCCCCCAAAAATGTCGTGCTCATTCTAGATTTGAAGCTTTCGTGACTGCAAGGATTAATATTCTTGTTTTTTTCGGTAAAGTCACGTAGATAATTTTTTTTAATAAAAAATTTAAATTAATAAAAGTAAAAATAAAAATAAAATAAAAATTACGACGTTTCGGAGGCAACACAAGCTTCCGTCTTCAGGTGGAACCGCCACAGCACGATTGCTGTATCAAGTAAGAGAAATTCCAAGGAAACAGTCCTTGTATATATATACTGGTTGAGGGTGGGAGGAGCCAAGGTGGGCTCTGAATATTATTTTTGTGAGGTTCGGTGCGGCTGAAGCACGCTGTTAGGAATGAGCCTTTGTTGTGTAAACTAGGTGCGGCTGATGTAAAAGTGCGTGTAAATGGGACTGAGCCTTTTTTATTATTTTACTTTTATTAATTTTAATTTTTTAACTACGTGACTTTACCGAAAAAAACAAGAATATGGCGTGCTCATGCCACCGCAAGTGAAGTCAAATCCACGAGTGGTTCTCTCTCACGCCAGCGATGCGACGGGTTGGGAGCGGTGTAGCAATGCCCGCGTTACGGTCACGGAAATGTTGGCCTTTGAACGTTGCAGCAATGGTCACTTGTAGTTTGTAAGAAGAAGGAAAAAAAAACAAGCCTCGCCCCTTGCATTGCAGAATACCGTTGTGAACATTGTGGTAACCTCGTCCGGACGCTGTGTGGGAACGTGGCCACAATGTCGTAAGGTAAAACCGCGCGCTTAAATGTATACAGCCGTGTGAGAGCGATCGATTGCGAAATAAATATCGCACGCAACGTATAACTGATTTTTTAAAAATATCTTTATATTTACAAAAGTACCAATTTTTGGCACAATTGCGAGCATACACACCTTTAAGTGAATACAGCGGTCACGTGACATGCGCCTAACCGCCATTAATGTTAACAGCCAATGAGGAACGATAGAGGTTTGTCTCGCTTAACGGGCGTTCGTTAACATCTTGACATCGTGGCGCCCTCGAAGCCCCGTGGTTTTGTATTTCCCTCTCCTTATACTGCACAGTGTACCCCGTCTCGTTCTACTGGTAGGAACCTCCTGGTTACACCAGCCCACAGGGGATTATTGTGTCCGTCCGTCTTGCAGAGAGGGGCTGGGTGGGGAGGGGAGGGTGGGGAGGAGCTGGGTGAGGCTGGGTGGGGAGGGGAGGGTGGGGAGGGGCTGGGTGGGGAGGGTGGGGCTGGGTGGGGGGTGAGGCTGGGTGGGGAGGGGCTGGTCACCCCGTGGTGCCCTTATAAAATTCAACGTTTAACCTACTCACGCCGGATTGTGCCCGCCCTCACAGTCGGCCATATTTGCGGAATACACCACGCCGCCGTTGACCCTGCAAGGCCATTGACCGAGCAACCCACCAACGTTCCTACCAGCTCCCTCCGCAGCAGGAATGTGTTAACGCCTCTCTCATCCTCTCCACTTTCCCGCCAATCTGCATCTTTTTGGGGTTCCCCAATCCCCGATCTCACGCCTTAATTGTTGTAACGTTTTTACCCTCCCCCCCCCCCGTACTGGACTTCTGTTAAAAACAGAGCGTTCTAGCTGAGCGGATTCCTCCAGTATAAATAAATGCTCTGATGTTATCTCTGGACGTGGACCTTTGATCTTTGTGTGACCCCTACTCCCACGCCTACCTTGTCCCCGCATGAACCCTATAAAGATACTATATAGGGCCATGGGCCTTGCGATGAAACTTTCACGAACTGTATTTCAAGGTTGTATTAATTGTATGATTATACTGGACAAAGATACTATATAGGGCCATGGGCCTTGCGATTAAACGTTCACGAACTGTATTTTAATGTTGTATTAATTGTATGATTATACTGTACTTGTCTTGAATCAGCATTAGAAATCCATATTTTAAGCAGAAGAAATTATGCGATTGTGTCGAGAAAGTCAGTCACGAAAAAAGTGAGTTTCGATAAAGTCAATTAAATCATGGAAATGGATGCAAATTTCTGTCGTACTTTCCTTTGTGTCTGTTTAAAACAATGAGTCATCCGGTCATCTTGGTCAGAGAATATCTCGCTGGTTGTGCTTTTTCTTTTTTTAACGCAGCATGATGCGGTCACCTCGTTGCAGCTCAATCTCTGTGCGGATTTGTAGGCTAATTAAACATGAAACTAAATGATGACTTAAGCTTTCGTGACTGTAGGAATTCATATTCCTTGGGTCTTTCGGTAAAGCCACGTAGATAGAAAAGAAATAAAAATATCACGACGATTGCTTGTGTTGCGATCGACTTGTCGTGATATTTCTATTATTTTTATTATTTTCCTATCTACGTGGCTTTACCGAAAGACCCAAAGAATATTAAACTAAATGGTCCACAATGGAGTTATGGCGATGTTTCCACCAAACATGTGCCACATTTAACACATTCCTGCGGAGGGAGCTGCTAGGAACGTTGGGTTGCTCGGTCAATGGCCAGGGTCAACGGCGGCGTGGTGTATTCCGCAATATGCCCGACTGTGAGGGCGGGCACAAGCCGGCGTGAGTAGGTTAAACGTTGAGTTTTATAAGGGCACCACAGAGTGACCAGCCCCTCCCCACCCAGCCCCACCCCTCCCACCCCCCACCCAGCCCCACCCCACCCAGCCCCACCCCACCCAGCCCCTCCCCACCCAGCCCCACCCCTCCCACCCCTCACCCAGCCCCACCCTCCCCACCCAGCCCCTCCCCACTCAGCCCCTCACCACCCAGCTCCTCCCTCCCCACCCAGCCCCTCCCTGCACGACGGACACAATAATCCCCTGTGGGCTGGAGTAACCAGGAGGTTCCTACCAGGCTAACGTTTACAACGTTGCACAATCTGTACTAAAAAAATAACCAAGAGGTATTGCCATAATTTATTTACTTCTTGGTCAAGTCGTGTACAAATGTGTGTCGTCAACTCTCCTCCACCGGTGTGTGTATGTACGTTGAACTTCTTTTGCTCCGTACACAGCCAACCGTGCTAATTGGATGTGTTGGAAAGCAACCTCAGAGTATTGAAATGGATAAACGACATTTCGCTACAGATTGCAAGCAGCATCATCAGGTAGTTAACAGGAGCTCAGACCTCAAGTGAACGTGCTTCCTTATCCGGGTCCTTAGGTAGATGACATGACGTCACGGCGCAGTCATGCACGTGATTTGGTGCAATCATTAGTTGACTGATTTGGTTGTGAATGGCATGTTAGTGTTGTGAGGTAAATCTATTTAGCGATTTGGTGAAAACAGGCTATTCTTAATCATGTTCATGTGTATTGTTACGTTTGTTTGTTGTGAAACGTTGCGACAACATAACGTTCATTCAAGCAACCTCATGGTAACACCATTGCCCTAACGTTTATGTTTTGCTGGTTAATTGATCACTCACCGCCTTTGTAATGAAACTTTGGTTATTGAATAATAAGGTCTTTGTGTTTATTAAACCTTACAAATATCTCAAAGGAGTATTGCCTGCAAACACTGAAGATTTGGTTTAGACCAAGCAAATTAATTGCGTAAACAAATCCTGTGCAGCTGTTAGTTTGGAAATACAATCTAATGTCGAGAGATGAAAACACCCCATTAAAACAAATACAGGGACTCCTCTACTTACGAACATCCGAATTGCGAACTTTCAGAGATACGAACAAACCTGTCCGTATGTCCAGTTGCCTGTTCGGACCGAGATACGTAAGATCAACCGCCGCGCAATAGATGGCGGTGGTGGCATCAACATCTGCAGAACGTGAAGAACCAGTGACATCTACATCTACAGAACGTGAACAACAAGTGGCATCTACATCTATAGAACATGAAGAACCAGTGGCATCTACATCTACAGAATGTGAAGAACCAGTGGCATCTACATCTGCGGAACATGAAGAACCAGTGGCATCTACATCTACAGAACATGAAGAACCAGTGGCATCTACATCTACAGAATGTGAAGAACCAGTGGCATCTACAGAACATGAATAATCAGTATCATCTACATCTACAGAACATGAAGAACCAGTGGCATTTACAGATCATGAAGAACCAGTGGCATCTACAGATAATGAAGAACCAGTGGCATCTACATCTACAGAACATGAATAATCAGTAGAATCTACATCTACAGAACATGAAGAACCAGTGGCATCTACATCTGCAGAACGTGAACAACCAGTGGCATCTACAGAACATGAATAATCAGTAGCATCTACATGTGCAGAACATGAAGAACCAGTGGTATCTACATCTACAGAACATGAAGAACCAATGGCATCTACATCTACAGAACGTGAAGAACCAATGGCATCTACATCTACAGAACGTGAAGAACCAGTGGTATCTACATCTACAGGACATGAAGAACCAGTGGCATCTACATCTGCATAACATGAAGAACCAGTGGCATCTATATCTACAGAACATGAATAACCAGTGGCATCTACATCTACAGAACATGAAGAACCAGTGGCATCTATATCTACAGAACATGAAGAACCAGTGGCATCTATATCTACAGAACGTGAACAACAAGTGGCATCTACATCTATAGAACATGAAGAACCAGTGGCATCTACATCTACAGAATGTGAAGAACCAGTGGCATCAACATCTACAGAACGTGAACAACCAGTGGCATCTACAGAACATGAATAATCAGTAGCATCTACATGTGCAGAACATGAAGAACCAGTGGTATCTACATCTACAGAACATGAAGAACCAATGGCATCTACATCTACAGAACGTGAAGAACCAGTGGCATCTACATCTGCGGAACGTGAAGAACCAGTGGCATCTACATCTGCAGAACGTGAAGAACCAGTGGCATCTACATCTGCGGAACGTGAATAACCAGTGGCATCTACATCCACAGGAGATTATACAACGTTTAAAATCAATCCCCGTGTTTAGTGTACACGTCGTACAATATGTTTGGAATCGACAGGAGTAAATTTGGACTTACGAACATACCTCTGGGACCTAACTCGTTCTTTAGTAGAGGAGTCCCTGTATGTAAAATACATTTATAGAAAACAAAAACCACTTGCTTATAAAATGAAGCCCGCTTCAACATGCCAACGTGGGGCCAAAGTTGATATGCGGTTCGAGCCAACGTTGGCCCAAGTTTCCCCGATCGTTCCTAGTTTACTGGGTTTATGGATGAAATTAAAACGAGAATAAATCAAGACAACCACATTCTTCCGCATTAATCGCTGAGTCGCCAAATACAGTAACTATAAACACATTTTTAAATCATTCACATTATTATGCGCACTTACAAAATACTCCCTGACCACGAATCTCCCAACTATTGCAACTTTACAATCTCTCACGATTATTACGCACATTCCGCCAGTTACACAAGCAAATCCGATCGTACAAGCACACGACTGAAATTATTAACTCAGCAGCGACTTAATCGCAGGCCCGCTGCTGCTACTACTGCTGCTGCTGCACCTTCAGCTGCCGCACGTAGAGATGGTGAGAGATCGTGAGATCGGTGACGCGTGCGGTATTCCTGACCGACCTGCCCGCTGTCACAAGCCCACGGGCCTCAGTCGTCTACACGAGCGCGCTCTCCCGCTCCATGACCCCTTCGGCGCCGGTCGTTGGCGCGGCGCTCTTTGAGAACCGCACGGATTGCAGGAACTCCGCGCGGATCTTCTTGCTGGAGAACACGAAGAGCAGCGGGTCGAGGCAGCAGTTGGCCGACGCCAAGGGACGCGTCACCTTGTAGGCGGTGTTCACGGCGTTCAGGAGGCCACACGATGCGTCGCCGACGCCCCTCATCGCATAGTAGAGCGTGCGCGTCACGTGGAAGGGCACGAAGGAGATCGAGAAGACGAGCATCACCGTGAAGATGAGCCTCGTCGTCCTCATCCTGAAGGCCCGCGAGCGCTCGTTGAGGCCCGCGCCGCCGCCGGTGCGCAGCTTGCGGACGATCATGCAGTAGGACGCGAGGATGGAGCAGAGCGGCAGCGCGAACAGCGTGACGGACGTCACGTAACTGTAGACGAGGAAGCTCTGGAAGCGCTCCTTGGTGGTGGTGTCCGGGCACACGATCTTGTTGGCCGACGCCGAGGGGGCCTTGGTGGTGGTGAACGAGAAGATTGGCGCCGTCTGAGCGAGCACCGCCACCCAGACGGTGGCGCAGACCCAGGGAGCGGCGCGCGCGCTCAGCAGGTGGCCGGCGACGCGACCCACCGTGGGGCAGCCGCTCCAGCGCACCTTGAGGTAGCGGTGCGCGCTGATGCACGCCAGGAACATGATGCTCGTGTACATGTTGAAGTAGAACGTGAAGCGCGCCGTGGAGCAGAGCGCGCCGCCGAAGGGCCAGTGGTTGCCGAGGGCATAGTAGACGCCCAGCAGCGGCAGCGACAGCGTGTACAGCGTGTCCGACACGATGAGGTGGAACATGCAGTGGTAGTAGAAGTTCCACCTGCGCTTCTGTCTCAGGAAGATCCAGAGGGTGGCGCCGTTGAGGGGAGCTCCCAGGGCGAAGCACAGCCAGTAGGACAGGGGCAGCAGCACGTACTTGAAGTCCTCCTGGAAAGTGCAGCGGTATTGGCCAGGCGACAGCCGCGGCGAGGCGCTGCTCCAGTTCGCGGACGTGTTCCACGGGGCCGGAGAGGTGAAGCTTGTCGAAAGCTCGTCCGGTTCCGTGAACGTGTCCATCATGTGGGGGTGGGGGCACGCGCACACGCACACCTGCGGAGATGCAGGATGATGGCAACTATGTCTTCAGTAGTAATAGGTTTTTACCCTTTTAACTGGTACAAAATCTGACACCTTTATACAAGGCATCATGTTTGCAATAACCTCAACACAAGAAGTCAAAATGCAAACAAAAAGAAACAACTCTGATGATGATAATGATATGCACTGTCATTGAAGTTGATTGGTCCACACCCGAGACAGCTTTCTTTAGAGCCTAGTCTCCATGCATCCATGATGTTGTGTGGATGCGCCGATGCCCGAACAGCGTGTTGGTAATTACAAGCCCATGGGCTGCACAACAATATAGCAGCCTCCTACCGTTGTTATTAAGCTGATCTGGCCCATGCCTTCCAATCCCTCCAGACCAGGTGCCAGCATCATGACCAACTCGGGTCACACACACACACACGTGCGCTGCATCAGTCGCGTGGCTTGGCTGGCACGAGCCCCCACGGCAACACTCAACCCCGTAGCGAGACCCGTATCGAGACCTTGTTTAAAGGGGATCATACAAAGCTTCAGGGGGGAGTTGGTCGGGGTGGAGGGCACGACACAGCCAATTTCAAACTTTGAACACGTGCGAAACGCGAAACAGAATGGGCGACGGGACGATCTGCTTTTGTCTATTTTATATTCTTCTCTCGCGCTCACCCCCCCGTGTATATTGAGGGGGCCTGAGCTTTCAGCAGCCCCCCCCACCCCTTCCTTTCCCCAGGTGCCGTGCTGAATTGTATAAACACAATAAGAATATTTTGTATTATACCCTCTCTGGCAACAAAACGGGTGTTAAAGATGTTCAGACACCGGATACCTTTTGCAATGCCTCAAATCTGCATTAACCACACGTACTTGTGACCAAAACATGCAAACAATTACACTCTGATAATAATACTAATAACAGACGCATTGTCTTTGAAACTGATTTGCCTACGCCAGAGACAACCTGTTGCATTGTCACAAAGTGTAAAGCCTATTCTTATATTTTCCCCCATCAATTTGATACTGTAAGAAAAGTCCCATGGATACATGCTAGAATATCATTCAACTAGAATATCATTCAGCATCTTCTTGGTTATTTCGGTAAAGTCACGTAGAAGGGAAGTAATAAAATAATAAATAAAAAAATAATAAAATAATTCTCACGACGTTTCGGCCACAACGCAAGCAGCCGTCCTCAGGTGAAGAACAGGTCTGTCCAGCTTAAATAGTCGCTCCAAGCCTGGGGTGTGTCATTCAGACTGTCTTCTCGACAGACCTGTTCTCCACCTGAGGACGGCTGCTTGAGTTGTGGCCGAAACGTCGTGAGAATTATTTTATTATGTTTTATTTTTATTATTTTATTATTTCCCTTATACGTGACTTTACCGAAAGAACCAAGAAGATGAATCCCTGCATTCACGAAAGCTTTAAATCGAAATCATTCAGCATGTTTGCTGTAATTCCAGATGGACCTCCCCAGGGACGTGGAGCGAAACATCGGACATCGTGCCGAACAACACGAGGCACTCAATCCGTCAACAAAACCCCCAAAAAAGACATCGAGAAAGCAGCGGTGACAACTCTACGGCTTCGATAACGCTGCCGGCGTTGTTGATTTCTGTGTTGCTGTTGTTGTTGTTACTTACTTCACTCGTTCTCACCTTGCCTCTGGAGGTTCACCGCTTGGTGACTTGGGGTGCCTCTTATCAGCAGCACCCGTTGTGGTTCTGCGATAAGTTTGCGGGCTGCCCGGGGAGGGGGGGGGGTCTTGTCGCACTCGTGGCACCAGTTGGGGTGGGTGTGGCTCACGAGCGCACGGAAGTTTCCGTTCCCTCGTGGAGTCAGCGGATTTCAGCCGGCGACGCCCTCTGCAAAAGCCGACGACTGAGTTGGATTCCCGAGCCTGGATCTTGGCATCTGCGGCGATGTCTGCACCGGCACGGGCATGCCACCGAACGCTCTCTTCGCGAATTCTCGCACTGACTAGCGCGGGGAAGTATGGTCAAAATTACCTTCCCTCCTCCCCCACGATACACACGAAGCGTTGGGGGAGGGCTTCATCCAGCAGTGGATTGGCAAAGGGCTGTACATGCACTGTGTAGAGCAATGTCGTCGCCGCTTCGTCTGCAGGGTCTCGGTGGGTCGTTGCATCGCGCCAGCGAGCGAGGCAGCGACGGCGTGGAGATGGAGGACCTTCGTCCAGAAGTGGATAGATCATGGCCGATGGTGATTGTAATTGTACGCATGTGATAGAGGATCGTGGAGTTTGACTAACATTGACTTGCCCGTCAAGGTTCAACAGCTCCAATTAGACATGTTCAATTGCTGGTTGAAAGTTATCTTTCGTTCGAAGCAGTAATTGGAATTAAAAGTACCGATTTGCCACTTTGGCCATACAACCCGAACAACGGACCGTGCACTGCAACCCACTGTAGCGTGAGCTCCTTAGACGGAGGAGTAAGAACGAAACCGCACGAAGTCTCCCTGCCGAAGCCCTCTCGTGGTGAGCAAAACTCGACATTGGCATTTAGCCCCTGCAAATATGAATACAATTACAATGGGGGCCGTCCATAAATGACGTCACGCGATTTTGGACGATTTTTGACCCGCCCCCCCCCCCCCACTTCGTCACACGGCGTCACAAAAAGTCAGACCCCCCCCTCTCAAATATGACGTCACAAAACTCTGCCCCCCCCCCCCCAATTTTTTAAACATGCTTCAAATCGACTATGAGACCTCCTTTACCAGTGGCAAAATATAGTAATAGGTTTTTACCCTTTCAACTGGTACAAAAAATAAAAGCTGTCTCGGGTGTGGACCAATCAACTTCAAGGACAGTGCATACATTATCATCATCATAGTTGTTTCTTTTTGTTTGCATTTTGACTGCTTGTGTTGTGGTTATTGCAAACATGATGCCTTGTATAAAGGTGTCAGTTTTTGTACCAGTTGAAAGGGTAACACCTATTACTATGCTTCAAATCGCTTTAAACTATTGTCATTGTAGTGCGTATTTTATGTGGCGCTGCACTCTGATGTAGGAGAAAACATTTATTAAAAAGTATATTTAATTAAGTAGAACGTGTTGTCTATATTTATTTAAAGTTGCGCATTTTGATGTGACGTCACATTTCTCAAACACCCCCCCCCCTCGTCACACATCGTCTAAAATGTCTGACCCCCCCTCCCCCCTAGGTGCGTGACGTCATTTATGGACGGCCCCCTTGCGCAGGGATCGACAACTCAAATACCAAGAAAATACTTTCTTTCGAATTCGTTAAAAAAAAACCCTCAATATTTCAAGCTTCGCAACGCTTTGTGGTGAATACGATACGGCGGTTCTCAATTAAATAACGGTCACGCGGCAGTCCTGAACGAGACGCACGCGGCACCGGACCTGCAGGTTGCTCACCCCTGCCTGGTTCCATGCGCACGGCGAGAATGAAACTGCAGTACATCCCACGTGGCGTGCAGCAGAGGGCAGTAGGGCGACATTTATTGCGAAGCTCCCACGTCGAATGCACCCCGAGTCCCCGACTCCTCGCGTTGACCAGCGTGGTGAAGTATGGTCATATTATCAACCCACGATCTGCACAGCGTCGTTCAGTTCATTCAGTTTAATTGATTAGGTATAGCCCTTTTTAAAGCTTTCGTGACTGCAGGGATTCAACTTCTTGGTTCGTTCGGTAAAGTCACGTAGAAGGGAAATAATAAAATAATAAAAATAAAACAATAGAATAATTCTCACGACGTTTCGGCCACAACGCAAGCAGCCGTCCTCAGGTGAAGAATGAAAGCTTGGTGGTGTTTCATTCTTCACCTGAGGATGGCTACTTGCGTTGTGGCCGAAACGTCGTGAGAATGATTTTATTATGTTTTATTCTATTACTTTATTATTTCCCTTCTACGTGACTTTACCGAAAGAACCAAGAAGAGGTATAGCCCTGTGAGCCATTCGGCTTTTGAATCGTGTTCCTGTGCGAATTAAAAACAACATCCCGTGGCGAGATGTCAACTACCTCGCCTGGCACGTAGGAGGTTGTGTGTGTGTCAGGAGCGGTAGTGTAGCGGTTCGCGCTACGCTGCGCTACGAACCCAGCAACCAGAGTTCGATTCCCGCTCACGGGCAAAATCAGTGACGATTATCTGAACCGGTCCTGGGCCTCCCCTAGGTCGCCTCAGCCTCAAATGAGTACCTAGTGCGATGTTTAAACATCGCTGCTAGGGAGACAAAGGCGGCCGGGCGTAGTGTTGGCCACCCACCCCCTCGTGTGCCGTCCCGGCCTTTATAGGTGTTCGCTAACAGCACTTGCCCCTACAGTCTGTTAAGGCTATACGGGGGATCTTTGTCTTGTGTGTCTCTCTCCCTGGGGAATTTTCTCCGGGTCCGCCGGTTTTCCGCCGTCCGCATTTAGAATCCGCGACGCGTTTGGAGGATTTGGCTTCTGCTCGACATTTCCACACGAGCCACTTGGTGGAGCTGTCATACGCGAAAGCCGGGTCGATTTAAGGGGCCGTCCATAAATGACGTCACGCACCTAGGGGGGGTCAGACATTTGTGACGATGTGTGACGAGGGGTGGGGGGGTTAAGAAATGTGACGTCACATCAAAACGTTCTACTTAATTAAATAGACTTTTTAATAAATGTTTTCTCCAACAACATCAGAGTTGCAGCGCCACATTAAATACGCACTACAATGACAATAGTTTAAATCGATTTTAAGCATGTTTTATTTTTTGAGGGGTGGGGGAGCAGAGCTTTGTGACGTCATATTTGAGGGAGGGGGGGGGTCTGACTTTTTGTGACGCCGTGTGACGAAGTGGGGGGGGGGTCAAAAATCGTCCAAAATCGTGTGACGTCATTTATGGACGGCCCCTTATGGAAAAGAGCCGTATAGCTCAGTGGGCCTTACACCCGATAAAAAAGAAGCTACATTGTACGTCTTAAGAAAACAAATGCATTGAAAGAAACTTAGGAATACCGAGGGAATCCCGTACAGAGCACCTAGGGCAGCATTCAAGCCCTACACACAAAGGCTCGAGCGAGTTAAGAGTCCCAACCCCATCACCTCTCGCTGCGAGGAACACGTGTGACCCCCTCCGCTCGTCTGGGAAACACGCCACCTGCGCAATTGCGTTGCGACAATGTCAGTGTCTAGTTTAGCACATCGCACGCTTGCGCGACCAATATTATTCGTGATAAAGGTTTTTTCTTGGGGTGAGATCGCGTAACTAACACATTCCTGCGGAGGGAGCTGGTAGGAACGTTGGGTTGCTCGGTCAATGGCCAGGGTCAACGGCGGCGTGGTGTATTCCGCAAATATGGCCGACTGTGAGGGCGGGCACAAGCCGGTGTGAGTAGGTTAAACGTTGAGTTTTATAAGGGCACCACGGGGTGACCAGCCCCTCCCTACCCAGCCCCACCCTCCCCACCCAGCCCCTCCCCACCCTCCCCACCCAGCCCCTCCCCACCATCCCCACCCAGCCCCCCGACCCTCCCCACCCAGCCCCTCCCTGCACGACGGACACAATAATTCCCTGTGGGCTGGTGTAACCAGGAGGTTCCTACCAGTATCAATGTGTCAAAACCCTCCAATACCCGACACAGCTAATTAGTAAAGGGATTTGTCACGTAAAGAAAACGTGGCAATCTCTTCTGGAAAATCGCCCGATGATGCCTTATGTAATTACCAGCGAAACGTCGAACTACTCACATTGTAAATGTTGTGGATTTACTCTCCAACGCGCACCGGTGGGCTGAAGTAGTAAACTAATTGGCACGTTTTTGTTTAAACTTAATTTGAAGCTTTCGTGCCTGCCGGAATTACTCTTGGGTTCTTTCGGTAAAGTCACGTAGAAACAAATAAAATAATAATAGAATTTGACGTTTCGATTGCACCACAAGCAACCATCATCAGGTACAGATGAATGAGAACAAACATAGTAAACTTGGAAATATAATGCGATACAACACAGAGAGTCGGCCAACACAGCAGTCAACACCCCACCTGGTTGATTACGTTCTTCCAAAGATTGCTAAATTTGAGAGAGAGACAAAACACAGACACGGAGACACACAGACAGACACACAAGCAGAGAGAGACTCACACAGAGACACAGAGAGAAAGAGACACAACAGAGACACACAGACAGACACACAAGCAGAGAGACACACAGAGACACACAGAGAGAGACACACACAGAGAGAGACACACACAGAGACACACATACAGCCACACAAACAGAGAGACACACACAGAGACACACAGACAGACACACAAGCAGAGAGAGACTCACACAGAGACACGCGCAGAGAGAGACACACACATAGGTACACAGAAAGACAACGTTTTGTTTACGTAACAAATCCCTTACTAATTGGCTGCGTCGGGTGGTGGAGGGTTTCGACGCATTTATACTTACGCGATCTCACCCAAAAGAGACCCCTTCATCATTAATGTCAGTCGTTCTTCACTCATCTTTAGAGGAGAGGGCCACTGTCGCCAATGAGACATCGCCGGTGATTTCGAAAAGTTTGCTGGTTTGGTCATGTTTGTTTGTTGTAGTACGGAGTAAGACTGATGGCCTTAATCTAAGTTGTCTTGTGGTTGTTGTTGTTGTTTGACTTGCATCCCACTGGGATTTTTTCACACAGCGTTGGTGTGCGGTGCTTTTTCTGCAATATTTTGCTGTCTTTTCTTGGATTTTTTGTTTGCACTTAGTCA